GAATGACTACTTACTGTTCTCTCGGACCAGGCACTCAACCTTTCCGAACCTCTGGTTCCCTACTTTATTTGTTTAACAAACACTTGTGCAAACATTAACCAACCAAACGGGGCAGGTCCTTCCGAGCAGACACCTTCTCCCAGCTTCCAAATGTGGAAACCGGTGCCCAGCGAGGCCAAGTCACGTGTCCAGCTCCTGAGCTGGGAAGGAGTGGAGCCAGGATTTGAACCCAGTCCCCTAGGTTCCTGAGGTCATGGTCCCCCTGAAGTGTGCAGAGGAGCGATCCCTGCCACTGTCGCTGCTCACAATGACACAGTGTCCACGAGGGGACATTGCGTGTGGCACAGTGTTTTGCAAACACTGGTAATTGTTAGTCGGTGGTGACTAGGCAGTGCTCTGGGAGTGGGTGCCATTCTCGGGGGTGATTCTCAAGGGCACAGGGAAAGGAGCAGAGCAAGGAGCAGCCCTGGGCAGTGTCTGCTGGGGATCCGGAGCCCGTCTCGGAAACACGTGACAGAGTTGCTGCTGGCGTCCTGGGGGAGTGGCAGCATCAGTGGCAGGATCCGGACAAACGTCCGGCCCACAGACCTCGGGCCCCTGCTCAGGACACGGGGCCACCGAGTGTGCACAGGGAGCACGTATGTGTGGAGGGGACGGCAGCCGGGTCCGCCCGCTGGCAAACCAAGAGCTCAGACGGGGCCACAGACCACTGGGTTCTGCCGCTCGCCTCCGTTCCTTCCTCTGGTGCAGAGAGCTCAGCCCTGCATTCTGTTCGGGACCAGCACCTTCCCGGGGCGGGACAAGAGCCAAAGCCCTCTGTGCTGGCCCAGACTCTGGGTTGAACAGCTGGGCCATCCGTCTTGGGATGGACTTTCGGGGGGAGTGCCAGGGAAGGACGGAGGTGGGCAGAGCATGCGACCTTGCGATCCTGCGGTCCCTTTCTGTGTGGCCTGGTTTGGGGGTGGGCATGGGTGGGCGTTCCTCTTCACCTCAGTTACCTGCATGCAGAACAGGGTGGGCCTCAGAACCGTGTCCCTACCTCTGCCAGCCGGGGGCCGATGTGTGTAAAGTGCTTCAAGGGGCTGAGGTGAAGGGCTGCTCCCTGGCCCCCAGACTGCGACCAAAACAGCCTCCCGACCGCCTCCCCCGGGCCTGTTAGGGTGGTGTGGAGGGCTGTCCCCGCCTGGAGGGCTGTTGGCTCCAACACTGCCAACCTGTTGGCCTTAGAGCAGGGTTTCAAACCCCAGGCCCTTTGGCTTCAAAGTCCATGCATGGAGCGGGGCCCCCAGGCCTCCCCCGCCGTGCTGACAAGCGCAGGCCGCAGCACTGCGAGCCGGGGAGAGAAAGGAGTCCTCTGAGTGGGGGAAAGTCAAAGAGTTCCAGGTCGAACTACGCGGTGAGCCACCCAGCTGACACGGTGACATGGGAGAAAGAGTCCACCCGTGTATGGTGGTCTTCTGTCCTCGAAAACCAAGGCATTTCTGGAATTCGCCAACTTCTCGGGGGTTACCGTGCAAACTGGTTTATAAAACAGCAGATGCCCCCATTGTTGTCTTTGCCTGGTGTTTCAACCCCAAACGATTTTGATCTCTCGGCTCGAGGTGTGGCTTTGAACTTGAGGTGTGGCTTTGAACTTGAGGTGTAGCTTTGAACGCCTCAAGGCTGTTACCAGTGCTTTGCTCCAGCAGACAATTCTCTCTGGGTCGGGCCCAGAAGACTGAAGGCACTTCAGTCTTCTGACCGGAGGGAGGACCGACTGAAGGGACCACGCTGATGCAGGACAGTAATGACAAGTAGAGAGAGGTTCGGTTTTCCCTGGGACCCATCTGGGAGAGGAGCATTTCCGTGCTTCGTGACACCCCAGCTGTGTTGCGGCCACATTGTTCCTCGATGCTGGAGCACAGGGGGACTCGTCTGGTCCGGGTGGGACACACGCAGTGTGTGTGGGAGTGGAACCACCTTGTGTCTGGCAGCAGAACTGGCCAGGACAGTGGAAGTGTGAGTCACACTTGAATTTGCTCCTTTGCATGGGCCCTGGCTTGTCAGGCCCTGGGGAAGCTGGCTGCCTGCCCGGAAGCCTTGGCGGGCCGGGGCATTCCAAACCTTCTCTCTTGTTCTTTAAAAGTACACCCCCTGGGGATTTGCTGGGGCTGGTGCCCTCAGTCCCCCAGGCTCTGGTTGTGGATTTCCCCGGGTGGGCAGGCCTTTGTAAGCCTGTATTGCCCCCTGGCTCTGGGGGGCAGGACCAGAAGACCTTAGGGACTGCAGCCAACCAGCCAGCCCTGGGCCCTGATTTCACAGGTGACTAGTGTGCCTGCTGACGTGGCCCCTGGAGAGTGACCAGATCAAGGAGCACTGTATCCCTTTTTCTAAAATAACGGTTTGCATCCCATTTTTATTCTTCTGGCGGTCACCTTTATAATGTTTGCAGTCCTGTTTGACTTCACAGGGACACCGTTTTGAAGGCTAGCCATTCATCAACAAGGAATTCTTGAGCCGCCTACCAGGTGCCAGGTCCTTGGGCCAGCACTGGACAAACAGCTGTAGCCACGGTCCCTGCCCCAGAACGACCTCCGGATGCTTTCGCCCGAAGCTCACCTCCCAGAGCTTCCATGTTGCTTGGTGTTTTGATTTCGTCTGGCTTTCAAAGCTCCCAGATTAGTTACGTATGTGAAGTTTGTCCTTGCTGTGAAACTTTTTCCATTTCCATTTGGTAGTTTTGCAGTTCTTATTTAGATTCATGCAAATATTTACCACTTTCTTTTCTAACACTTGATCTGGGCCCCTCCCCTCAACGCCTGATCTCTGGACTTAGTTTCCTTGGTGACGGCGGATGGTCCAGTGAGTTCCCAGTGAGCGTTCGGCGTTGGTTTGTCTCGAAAGCCCGTCATGCCCTCTCTCGAATGACACTGTAGGACTTCAGAGCAAGAGGCCTTTATGTGTGTTATATGTTGTGAAATGATTACCCCAGTGTGTAGCTAACCCCCAGCCCTCACACAGTTATAAATTGATGTCTTTCATCCATTTTTCTATCTTTTTTCATTTTTTTCCTTGTTGTTTTTAGGAATTCTTTATAAATCAGAACGGTTGGGCCTTTTTCCGTCATGTAAGTTGTAAGCATTTTCTCTCATTTTGCCGTTTGTCCAAATACTCAAGTCTGTTTCCGTAGCTGACCGTGCTGTCCTCACGTGTGTGTTGAAAGGAACAGGCTTATGCAGAACCGTGTTTCAAGACCCTGATGAACGATTTACTTACAAGAGTTCACAAAATCTAGAACCCATGCAATAGAGACAAACCCCCAAACGACCTTTATGAAGGCACAGGTGTGCAAGGCTTATCTGTACAGCATATTCACACCGCAAAGCCAGAGGAACTTAACATATTGCATAACCGAATCAAAATTCAGAATATTTTAGCAGCCTGGAAATACGGGCCAACATGCACAGGATACCAAATTTGGTAGAAATAACATTGTGTATTTAGGCTTCACACATTCATTTCATCATAAGTTCAAGTCCGGGAGCACCTGCCTGCACAGAAATTCATGTGTGTCAACTCCGGGTTTTAGTTGACCACACAGGTACTTGTCTGCAAGGCCGGCAGGGTGCCCCACTTGCTCACAGAAAACGCCTCCTCAGAGCGAAGAGGAGCAGCTTACCCTGACCTGGGGGGAAACTACCCCTCTGTCCTCGACACTTGCCGGACCACACCCAGAACCGTGCATTCCGTTTGGTTTGGGGGATGACAAGTTGAGAGGGGCAGGGACGTCCATGAGCAAGTCCAAAGCAGGGAGCCTGAGTTAGTGACCGGTTTGGAAGGCGTCTCAGGAACTGGGAGATTTTATCTGGAGAAGGGAAAGCAAGTAACTGGTGAAGTATTTCGAGGCCGTGGGGTGGAGGAGAGCTTAGGATTATTTGGTTCTGCCCCAGCGAGCTGGCCTGGGACCTGTGGTCCTGGCCCCAGGGTCGGGCTCCCTCTGAAGGGAACCCTGCTATTCGTGCCGCAGGTGAGGTCAAGGGCTGCTCCGTAACCTGCCAGCTCCGTGTGGCCGGAGGAGTTTTGGCGGAAGTGTCGGGTTTGGGGGGAAGGGTTTCGGAGAGAAGCATCAGGTCAACCGGCCACCAGTGCACAGCGTTTCAGGAGCCTGGTTCTTCTTTCCTGGCTCGTGCAAAAGCGGTGTCTGCTTTCTTTCCGGCATCTTCTGTTCGGGAGGAACAAGAGCAGGTGGGATTCTTTGGCTGACGAAAGCGGACAACAATTTAGGAGAAACATTCATCTGTCGCCTTCCATGTTAACGCGTGTCAACCTGGGGTTTCAGCCGAGACGCCGGGCAGCTTGCTAAGACCAGGAGCCGCACCCTGCGGAGATCGGGCTCTGTGGGCTCCGACCTGTGGCTCGCGCCCTCCGACCCCTGGGCCATTAGTGCAGGGGCCTCCGAATAGCCCCCACAGGGATCCTGCTGTCAGACTCAAGTGGGCACACGAGTCAGAACCACGCAGGGTCTGGTCTTGCCCATCAGAGGGGCGCCTGAGGTGCTACCTGGCCAGTGAGCAGGGCGCGGGGTTGGGGGGGCCATCAGGGACCCCATGGAGTTGCCCGGGTCTGAGAGTAGCAGGCTCAGTGTGCGGCCCATTAACCACTTGGAACAGAACCACTGCCCCAGCCTGTTTCAAATGCAGATTCCAAGGCCACGCCTCTGGCCTCAGAGACCAGAATCGAGCAGTGGGGCCCAAGCAGCAGCCCTCTGAGCTGGCACAGCAGGTGATTCTTTGGTACATTCAAGGTTTGAACTGCCGGCCTGTTTAGAATGGAGGAACGCCTCGTTCAAGGGCCAGAGTGGGCTACAAACATAGCCGCCTGTGTTGAGCTGGGTGGGGAAGAAGACAGAGGGGCTCTGGGTGAGCCGGGCGGCCTGGGGCCCTCCGCTGCTCTCCTGTTCGGGTGACGTGACCCCGCTCGATGAACCGTCTTCTGTCCCCTGCTCTTCGCTGTCCTCCCAGATGCTCAGCATGCTGCACCCGCCCCACGCCCAGGCGCGCTGACCATGAGCCTCAACTCCTCGCTGGGACACCGGAAGGAGCTGAGCAACCTCACGGAGGCGGCGGCCGCGGCCGGCGGGGGCATCGTCGTCGCCGAGTTCATCGCCATCGTCGTCATCACCATCTTCGTCTGCCTGGGCAACCTGGTCGTCGTGGTCACCTTGTACAAGAAGTCCTACCTCCTCACCCTCAGCAACAAGTTCGTCTTCAGCCTGACCCTGTCCAACTTGCTGCTGTCCCTGCTAGTGCTGCCGTTCGTGGTGACGAGCTCCGTCCGGCGGCGATGGGTCTTCGGGGTGGTCTGGTGCAACTTCTCCGCCCTGCTGTACCTGCTCATCAGCTCGGCCAGCATGCTCACCCTCGGGGTCATCGCCATCGACCGGTGAGCTGGCCGTGCTCAGGGAGCAGAAGAATTGAGGGCAGCGTGCAAAGGGGGCCCCCCCGGGCGGGTGGCTGGCCCCCGGACTGTCACGCTGGCTCGGTTTTTCGGGAGGGTGTCTGCTCTGTGGGAGGCTGAGCGCGCAGAGCTCTGCCTGTGCTCCCGTCCCCCCAGCCAGAGGCCCTCGGGTTGTAGCTCATCTGCCTCTCACGGAGTTTTATTTCTGTATTTATCCCACATTTCTTTGCTGCCACACTGTTTGGTGCCGTGGAACACAGCCCAGAGCCGTCCTCAGGCCAAGAGAGCGAGAGGCCAGAGAGAGGCCCGCAGTGGGCATTCGATCCCGGAGTCCATGTGTCTATAATCTGTGATATTTGTATGTGTTTACATGTAATTCTCTCCGGAGTTTAGTTTTTCGAAAGAGGTTCCATGGCTTAAAGAAAGTTCTAGGGACCCTTGATTTACAGATTGTAGATGAGACACAGGCCGAGGAAGGCACTGCATCGGGGAGGGTCAGACTTGCTGTGTGCTCTCTGCTGCTTTGGGCTGACGGGAGGTGGGGGACACAAAGAGGAGACACAGCCCCTGTCCCCAGCAAAGGGACCTCAGCCGTCAGCTCAGTCCAGGAAGGTGGGGAGCAGGGGAGGGAGACGACCCAGGGAAAGAAGACGGTGGCACCGGGAGAGACGGTGTGCACTTGTCACAGTCTGGGTGGGCCCTTCTCGTTGGGTGCCGGACGCAGTCGGTCCGAAGGGGCCCAGCTGTGAGGCCCCTCGGCTGCCCCAGCAGGTGCCTCGGGCCCCCGCGTTGCACTGGCTGCCGAGTGGACTCTGCAGGCCTCACGGCTCTGGCAGCGCTGGCTCCACCCTCTAGCTTCAGCTCATAGGTTGGCGTTTTGCCGACGGTCACTTCGTTCAACCCAGGCAAGAGTGCCCTCCCTGGGAACAGGGAGGGGAGGACGCTGGCTGGGAAAGGCAGAGGGGACGAGCCAGTGATGATGTCACTGAAGGACCACCAGGGTTTTAGCCGGACTGTCCACCCGGGGCCCAAGGCCACACTCCTTCCGGCTGTCCGCAGTGCAGAGGACGCAGAGTGAAGGAAGCGACGGGTCACGGCCCAGTGGGGTGGGTGGAGCTCCGGAGCTCAGACCACAGGCTGGTTAGTTACAGAGAGGACGACCCGGGTTCAGTATGTCGCTTGCTCACTGGGGTGGCCGCCGTCGGTGGAGGCTGGCTCTCTGTAGACGAGCCCTCCATTAAAACCAAGTCGTCACCATAGGTGTGGGTGACAGAGTGGAGCCAGGGAGCCCGTGCGTGCACGGCGGCCTTTTGGTTGCACCTGACATCAGGAAAGCCCCTCTGGGGACCGAGGGTCGTGCCCAGCCCCCGTCTAAAGCGAGCTGCCGGAGAACAGACAGAGACCTTCAGGAGGCAGTCGGGGCAGGAAGCGAAGGGACCCCCTTGACTTCGGCCCTCTGTTCCGCTGCAGGCCAGGGGGAGTTGCTCTTTTCTCTGTTTCCCTTTGAATCTAGGCCGCATGAGGCATAAGTGGAAAGTATGAAGTTTCAAATCTGTGAAATCCATTCTTCGTGGGCCAATGAGGAAATGCTTGCTTTCTGCCTTGTTGGTGTACATTTGTGCACTTCAGTGGACATGTGTTTTGCCCTCCACGTCCCCCTAAAACCAGCCTGCCCCTCCCCCGGGTGGGGGCCAACACAGGCCACACTCTGGCCAGCCTAGCAGACTCCCTCGGGTGGGTGGGCCCCTGGGATTTGGACGCAGCTGGGAGACATCACTGTCAAGTCCGCTGGGCTTGCTCACGCCAGAACCCTTGTCAGCCAGTGATATAAACACCGTTTGTTACAGTAAAGCAGAAGTCTTGCCATAAAATAATAGTAGTCACGGGGTCTTGAGACGAGCCAGAGGCTGCGTTGCAAAGGATAACTTATCCATCGTAATTCTTTCACGACTGCCGGGCAGGGCTGGTCCGGGGAGAAAGGGACAGCTGCTGGGGGCTGGCCTGGGCTTCCCAGCCCACCCTGCAGCCGCCCTGAGGGGACTGATGCCAGGGGCCCGCCCCTCCTGTCCCGGGACAAAGAAAGTAGAAAGTAGCCTTTGTTCTCCTTGGAACTGAAGGACACCTTCCCAGAAGTGCCCCAGACAACTCCCTTCACATTTCATTAGCCAGGATGCCGTCACACAGGTCGGTGTCTTAACTGGTCACCTGGCAAGGTGGCCCCCAGAATGGTCCGATTCGTCCCCCAGGCCTCAGACGAGCCAGTGTCCCCTACGGTCACGGAGGTTTTACGGAGCAGAAACAAGAGGGGGTCCTGTCCTTAAGAAGGAAGGGGAGTGGAGGGTGGCCTGGCAAAGCCCACGCCACGCACAACGCTGCCCGGTGCAGGGCGGCGCCGGACAGGCCTGGCCCTCGCTGACCCAGCCGTCCTCAGGGACAACCTATGGCAGAGGGCCTATGGCCGCCTTTCACAGATGGAGAAACAGGGGACCCAGAGAGGGCACAGCGGCTCCCCAGGTCCCATAGCCCACAGACGGCAGAGCACCCCCCTGGGGGGATACCCTGTTCGCTGGCGGGCCGTCCCCTTGGGTCAAATGTCTGGGCGGAGGGCGCTCTCCACCTGGGAAAGCAGCGGGTGCCCCTCCTGGTGCGTGTCTATGCCGACGCCGCTCTCGCCCCCTCTGTCCTTTTCCAGCTACTATGCCGTCCTGTACCCCATGGTGTACCCCACGAAGATCACGGGGAACCGTGCTGTCATGGCGCTGGTGTACATCTGGCTTCACTCCCTCATTGGCTGCCTGCCACCTCTGTTCGGCTGGTCGTCGGTGGAGTTTGACGAGTTCAAGTGGATGTGCGTGGCCGCCTGGCACCGGGAGCCCGGCTACACCGCCTTCTGGCAGATCTGGTGCGCCCTGTTCCCCTTCCTGGTCATGCTCGTGTGCTACGGCTTCATCTTCCGCGTGGCCAGGGTCAAGGCCCGCAAGGTGCACTGCGGCACCGTGGTCGTGGTGGAGGGCGACGCCCAGAGGCCGGGGAGGAAGAACTCCAGCACCTCCACCTCCTCCTCGGGCAGCCGCCGGAATGCCTTCCAGGGCGTCGTGTACTCGGCCAACCAGTGCAAAGCCCTGGTCACCATCCTGGTGGTCATCGGGGCCTTCATGGCCACCTGGGGCCCCTACCTGGGGGTCATCACCTCGGAGGCCCTCTGGGGGGAGAACTGCGTCTCCCCGAGCCTGGAGACCTGGGCCACGTGGCTGAGCTTCACCAGCGCCGTCTGCCACCCCCTCATCTACGGGCTCTGGAACAAGACCGTGCGCAAGGAGCTGCTGGGCATGTGCTTTGGGGACCGGTATTACCGGGAGCCATTTGTCCAGCGGCAGAGGACGTCCAGGCTGTTCAGCATTTCCAACAGGATCACAGGTAACATGGGCGCCTACTGGGGGGGACGCTCCTCCACGGCCAGGGGTGGCCCTCAGTCCCCTCGGCCTTGCGGGCAGGGTGAGGGCGGAGGTCTCACGCCGACTGCAGCCTCAAGGAGCAATGCGCAGGTTGCCTTTGGGGGTGTCCAGGAGGGGTCCCCTGTGATTCCCGCAGCTTCCCCGAGCAGCCCAAGGCAGGGGACGCCAGAGTTCAGGCATCTGTTTCCTCTTGCCCCCGCCGTGGCCCGCTCGAGGCTCTGGTCCCTTCCGTCTGAGAGAACAGAACGGAAGCATCGGACCAGCTGCCTGCACAGGCCAGCCCTGCCCTCCTGATGCTCTCAGAGCAGAGGCCCCGCACCTCAGCACTCACCCCTGCACAGGCTCGTCCTTGGGTCCTTCATCCTGGGTCCCTGGTGTCCTTGATTGTCCCTCGTAACTCAGGACATGTCAGAGCCAGCTTCAGCCTTCCACCCCCCGCACACAGAAATGTCACTGCCGTGTACACACGGGACACTCCTCTCCCTCGGATAATCAATTCGGAACGAGCAGGGTTCTGGGCGCCACCCTGTCACCTTTGAGGAGACCCAAAGGAGTCACTCTAGGAATCTGAGGCTCGTGGAGGAGTTGGAATGACAGGGAATCCCGGTCCCCCGGCGTCCGCTAGGCCATGCCTCTCCCGCTCTGAGCGTCTCTCAGACAACGGACGTTGATTTGCCTGCATTTGGGAGGCTGGAAATTGAAGATCAGAGTGCTGGGGGGGGGGTGCTGGTGAGCGTCTCTTCCTGCCTGTCACCTTGCTGTGTCCTCACGTGGGGGCAGGGACGGGACAGAGCAAGCTCTCTACTCTCTTCTTACGAGAAGCCACCCTCCTGAACTCATCCGCCCCCCCCCACCTCCGCAGTCCCCATCTCCACATCCTGTCCACGTGTGGATTGGGGTGGGAGGCGCATTCGGTCCGCACGGTTGGGTCAGGTCTGCTGGGTTTCTCCGCGGGCAGGTCACCGTTTCTCAGGTCGTAGTCACTCACTGTGACAGAGCGGCCACTCCGAGGCTGTCCTGTGAACGTCCCATTTCTCTGTCAGCTGTCACCCGCTGTTCGGGGCCCACATGGTGGGTCTTGCCACCGGCAGTCACTGCCCTGTTGTCCCATCAGGGGAGAAGCAGCAGGATTTTTAGGGTCATGTCGGAGGGGGGCCATTGCCTGGAGGCGCTGTCGGAAGAGCTGTGTTGAGGCTCTTACCAGACAGTTCCTGCAAGGGCCCATTCAGGCCGCGGGTCTTCCCTCTGGCTGACGACACTTTGGGCAGCGCAGACCCTCAAGGTGACATTTCCTCTTCCGGAAATAGAGGGCTGTCCCCCTCCCCTCTCAGGAGGGAGGAAAGAATAATCCTAATTACCACCAACGCCCAGTGACAGTGATGATAGGACGTCCTCTCTGTGAGGCGGTCACATGGGCCGACACCCCTGGTTTATTTCCTGGGTTGATGGGGTGGTGCTTTTTGAGAAATGAAGGAATTCTGGGCCTTTTTATAGTGGCCAGCGGAGGACCCCAGTCTCCCTGTACCCCGGTATTTCAGCCTCGGAAATGCCCACGCCCCTGACACTGGCCAGACCCTGTTGTCACGTGTGACTTTCGAGCCAGGAGTACGTTCGGGATGTGGTTTTGTTTCACTGATTAACTTATCAGTTCAGATTTTGTAATATCACTTATCTTCTAGGCCAGAAAAATAGTAATAACTCAATGTACTCTATTCGGATGATGTTGAGAACGAGGGAGGGAGAAAACGAGGAAGGAGAATGGCGGGGAAGCGGGTGGACAGAACAGAAGGAAATGTCTGCTGCTCGGGCCAAGCAGACGGCCTGGGCGTGGCCTGGAAGAGTTTGTGAGGCTTTGGGGCCGGGGGAGAGCACCCACTGTGGCTTGGTTGGCAAGTTCAAGGCCGCTGGCGGTCTGCGACTCATTGAGTGAAAAGCAAGCTTGTGGGCTGATTTGGGGTTGAAAAGATGTTGGCCGTCTGCAGGAGAGGGAGCCCCTGTCGTCTCTTCCCTGAAGGTTCTCAGGAGGAGAAAGAGCGGAAGGCAGCACCCACCAGCTCCACACTCTGGTCCCTCTGGCCCAGCCAAAGCTGGGCAGGCCCTGGTCTAGCGCCCTCTGTAGGCACGACTTAGAAGTGCAGGAGACTCCTCCACCCCTGTCCCAAGTCTACCCTGGGCAACCCCCTCACTGGAGAGTGACCACGGAATGACCATCTCTCCAGACGGGGCCTGTGATCAGAGGCAGAGTGGAATTCCAGAAATACCTGGAGCTCCCCAGCCGACCCCAGGAAGCCAGGAGTTATATAAACATGTTTGTACATAACGAACAAGTTTGTTTCGGACATAGATTTCAGCCACCATCAATGGATTTTGGTTTCCTCATTCTGATGGCCCGCGAAGAAGTGCCAAAGGTCTGGTTTTCCCCTGGGTGCCAGCTGTCCCTGGGCCACCAAAGTGCCTCCTGCTTGTGTGGTCTGGTCAGCAGACTCCCATGGGCCCCCCCAGGAATTTGGGGCGTGGCCTGGACACCAGGGGAGGATGGCCTCTCTGAAAGCCTCTTGCCTAACATTTGAAGTTCTGGGATCGGGGCAGAGCCTCCATCTCCAGGGGACAGGGACACTGGCTCGAGTTAGCCCAGAGGCCCTGCTGTGCCCCCAGGCCAGCAGCTTTGAGGGGCCTGGGCTGGAGGGATGGGGGCCACCCTTTGAATTTTGCCACTTTGGTCCCCCAAGTTCCTTCCCCGGAGGGGTTGCCCAGGGTGGAATGAGGCTCCTAGTACTTTAGCTTCTAGTACTGCTAGTGGTTCTGATCCCTGCGGCCAGGCCAGGCCTGTCACTTTGTGCCTTAAAAAAAAAGAAAAAAAAGAAACCCTTCGTACCAGGGGTTGGATAGGTTATTTCAGGTGAAAAACCTCACAGTCACTGCACCCGCTCTAGCGGTGAGTGACAGACAGACCCGGAGTGGCGAGGCCACCTGGCTGCACGGGCTGGGACCGTCCAGCCGAGCCACAGTGGTCTGGCTGCCCTGCTCCCTCCCGCTGGTGGAGACCAGGCTTGTTCCTGGCTTTTGCCGCAGCCTCAGAGACGGTGTCCAAACCCCACTGCGGCCTCGGCCTGCCCAGCTGGCAGAGGATGGTCCCCACCGGCTCCTCCCCAAGCCGGCTCCTTGCTGGGACACAGGCCTATTCTGGGCCAAGACCCCAGAGGGGTGGTCGTGCGGGGTCTTCTCCCTGTCCCAGCCGACCACACCAGCCCTGGCTAAGAGGGCGATTCCCGAGGGTCATGAAGGGGAAGGAGGAGCCTGCCCTTCCCCCTGTCACTCCAGAGAACAGGGCAGAGGGCAGGTCTGTCACTGGTCCCCTCGGGAACATCAGTGTAAAAGTACAGGCCAGGGTGCCCACCTCTCCGGGAGTGCTCTGCGGTGGTCAGTCTGCCAGAAGCAGGCCCCCTTCGGGAGAGGGGACCCGGACTTCCAAGCCCAGGTTCCTACGCCTGGGGGCTCCCTTGTGTTCCCCCCACGCTCTGCGTGGCCTCTTCCACTCACTGGTTCACTGTTTTCTCAACGTCCCGAGGATTCCCTGTATTGCCTTCTCTGGGGTCCAGTCCATTTTTTTCCTTTCTTTTTTATTCCTCTGTCTTTCGAGCGGCGCCTTTCCTCACATGCCTGGTGGTCTGGGCCGTCCCTCCATCACACATAACAAGGCCTGGGCAGGTGGCATGTTGGCTGCAGGGTGTCCGGCCGTCAGTGTCCATGGGGACTGTGTCCGCTGTCTCGGAGGCCAGGCTTCCTGTTCCCTCCACTCTCCCCTGACGCCAGGGACCCACTGCTTCCTAGGAAGACTCTCTGTTGAGCCCCATCTGCCTGCAGAGACTGCGGGGCCCGCCCCTTCCTGAGCTGCGGGCCCAGGCGAGAACCAGCTCCCTGGGCCCCACCTCCGACGCCAGCTCTCCCCCATTCCCCCACCGCCCTGCAAACGAGCGGGCGGGGGTGGGGTGGGGTGGTGGTTAAACCTCCTTTAAGTCCCTCCCTGTTGGTATTCGAGTGGGATTTCAGGTGGTCAGTGCGCACTCACGTTCCACATCGAACTGGAGATTCGCCCAGAGCCGTTCACCTGTTCTCTCTCCCTCCGGCCTCACTGGTGGGACGTTGTCACGGGAGGGCCCCTCTGGGGAACCGTCCACTGTGTCACAAACAGCCACCGTGTCACAAACATCCACCGTGTCACAATGCAGACTGCCCTGGGCCGGGGGCAGGAGCACAGTGGGGAGGGCGGCCGCTGAGGGCTGCCTGCCCGTCAATGGGCTGAGAGCACTTCTGGCAGGGAGGGCGGGGGACAGGAGCGCGAGGTGAGGCCGATGGGAGGGCCACTCTGCGTGGGACGGCCGCGTGGTGTGTCCCGCCAGTGCTGACTTTGCCTTTCAGACCTAGGCCTGTCCCCGCACCTCACGGCACTGATGGCCAGCGGCCAGCCCCTGGGGAACAGCAGCAGCACAGGAGACACCGGCTTCAGCTGCTCCCAGGACTCAGGTAAGCCTCGGGCAGGTGCGCCTCCCCCGTCCTGTGTCCCTGGCTCGGGGGTGGGCACAGGTGGTGGGCCCCTGCCTTGCCGCGTGGAAAGAGCGTGGGGGCTGGAGTTGGGAGGGTCGTGGTGCTCCTTTTGTGCCTGTTTTCTCCGGTGTAAGACAGGGACCTCGGTTCTGTTCTCTCAGACGCGCAAGGTGGTTATGAGATTCAAATTAAGTGGGAGCCTTTAAAGAGTAGAAACGCCAAGTAGCTGTGTGCAGGTGACCGTGGCCAGTCTCTGGAGTCTGGCCCCTTACGAGCCGCATTGTCCTTGGCAAGGTGCTTCCTCTCCTCCTAAACCTTTGCGTCTCCGAATTTGTGCGTCAGGGAAAGTGGTCATGGTCAGGGGCAGCCCCAGCCGGGTCTGATACCCTCCCTGTCACCGAGTGATGTGCCCTGCGCCTCGTCCCCTGGGAGAGACATCCCCACCACAAAGTCTCCAGCTCCTCCAGGAAGACCATGCACCCCAGGGCTCCGTGAGGCCAGGGTCTCTCCTGGCTGCCCGTGGGGAGCTGGGTGCTGCCTCTGTGCCTGCCATGCGTGTGGTGGGGCTCTCACAAGGCCCCAGGTGGGGGCGAGAGGGCAGAGGCTGCCAGAGTCTCCACCAGCCGTCCGTGGCTCCACGTGGCTGGAGAAACGCCAGATGTTACCGGCCTAGGGCTCTGGCGTGAAGGGAGCCGCCCGGAGTCCTGGATCACAAGGCATAAGGCGGGGCAGGGGGTGCTTTGCTCTGGGCTCCGGTTGCCACTGCTGGTGGCTTTAGAAAAATCGCCTTTGCCTTGACCTGTGTTTCTTCGCCTGAGCCTGTGGCATGCACTCTGGGGGCAGGCACCGAGACAGGCCTTCTGTCCCGGAGTTTTCCCTGAGAGCGTTCCCTCCCCTGGCCACATGCAGGGCTGACCCACGGGTCACACCATCCCCTGTAGCCTCGAGTCCTTCATGTGATTTGAAGGAGGGGAAAGGTCTCTGTCCCTCCTCAGGTTATTCCCCCATTCTCAGGCAGCCACCAGGGATCCGCAGACACTATGGCACACGTTCATTCAACAAATATTTGCCAAGCCCCTACTTTGACCGGACATCACTGTCCTGGGTGCTGGAGACACAGTGGTGAACTGCCCCCCTGGGACTTTAAATCTGGTGGGGCGACAGGCAACCCACACCCTTGGAATGAGTGAGTGGTGTGGGATGGGAACGACACCTCAATAATTCTGTTGTTCAAAGAGTGTGAGAGACTTCCAATCAAGATGGCGGAGTAGGAAAACTCTGTTCTCGCCTCATCCCACAACCACGTGAAAATTACAACTAAATTACAGAACAAGCATCATTCAGAGCCATCTGAAGACAGCGGAACAGCACTCCTACAATAGCACTCTTTAAGGATATAAAGAAGAAGCCATGACGGGGCTGGTAGGAGGGACCGAGACCCCAAACAGGAGGGTCTCACACCCACATGTGGCAATTCAGAATCAGGAGAGACACCACGACCACAAAGGAGCCTCAGGCCCAGGCCGGGCTCCCTCACTCAGAGCACCAGTACCAGGAAGAGGAGACCACATAACATCAGGCTGTGGAAATCATTGGAGACTCCATTTGGGTGAGACAGAAGGCTGCTGCAGACTCAGGCATCCTCTGTAAGGGCCTGAGCTCAGAAACCCTCACCCTGAGCTCCAGCAAAGGGACAGCAGCTCAAAAAGCACCAGGGACACACTGGGAGAACACACTGGGAGAGACTGGATTGTCTGGATTCAGGGTGAGGGCTGGAGGGGCAGCTGGCCCTGGGACAGAAGTGCTGGCAGCTGCCATTGATCCATTGGGAACCCTCCCTCCACCCAGCCCACAGCAACCTGGCTCACACCTCTTACCCCACCCAGGCGATCCCCCGAGGCTCCCATCTCCCACCCATCTTGTGTACCAGCTGAACCTCCTTCAGTGGCTTTTCCTCCCAAGTGGCCAGCCTCTGCCCATGCTATAGACTTTTCTAAAATCTCTCCAAGGTCCACAAACCCCACAAAAGCAGCATCTGGCCTGCATATGGCCTGGACCTCTTGCTAAGTAGCCCCCAGCCCAGCAGGAGTGGCAGTCAGCCTCAGTTCACAGCATAGCCTCTCCCAGTACCTCCATTTCCAGCACAGGCAACGTCCAACTGCAGACCACTCCGAGGCTCCTACCAGGTGGCCCCAGGCACAGGCAGCAGCTGACCTTGGTCTGCTCTGAAGTCCTCCTAAGAGGTGCCAAAGCCAACACACCCAGTGGTCAGCTTCAGACCACACCAGAGCACCCCCTAGCCAGCTCCACAGACAACACGCCCAGAGGGTGGACTCTGCTGGAGCCTGGGTCCTACTACAGTGAGTCCTGCTCATGGAGTCTGCCCTGCACAACAGCTCATTCCCTGTATTCATGGCCAGACAGACTGACGACCCTCCCACCCACAGACTGCCTACACTAATCAAGGCTCAACTACAACAGGAGGGCACACAATCCACAAACAGGACACCTGCAGAGCACCTGGCCCAGGTGACCAGGGCGGCTGCACCGCTGGGCCTCACAGGACACCTCCAGCGTCAGGCCCCCCTGTGAAGACTGGGAGAGGTGGCCGCCCTCCCTAATACGTAGAAACAAGCACAGGGAGTCAGCCAGACTGAGGAGACGAATAATTATGTCCCCAATGAAAGAACAGGAGAAACCTTGAGAGAAAGAACTAGATGAAATGGAGGCCAACAGTCTAGCAGGTGCAGAGGTCAAAACGCTGGACATAAGGATGTTCAGTAGCTTTGGGGGAGAACAGGTGGACTCAGCGAGAACCTGTACAGAGATAGAAAGCATAGAAAGGAGCCAGTCAGAAAGGAAGCACACAGTATCTGAAGTGAAGAGTACATCAGAGGGAACCAACAGGAGGTCAGATGAAGCAAAGGGCTGAATCAGCACTTTGGAAGACAAGGCCGCAGAAAACACTTTCTCAGAGCAGCAAAAAGGAAAAAAAATTTAAAAGGGAGGACAGTTTAAGGGACCTCTGGGACAACATCAAGTGTAACAACATTTGCATCACAGGTGTGCCAGAAGGAGACCAGGGGTTGAAATCTATTTGATGAAATCATGACCAGAAACTTTCCCAGCCTCGTGAAGGAAATAGACATGCAAGCCCAGGCAGTACTGAGAGTCCCAAACAAGACGGAGCCAAGGAGACCCACACCAAGACATGTCATGGTTAAAATGGCAAAGGTTAACAACAAAGAATCATAAAAGCAACAAGAGAAAAGCAGTTAGTTACCCACAAGGGAGCTCCCTTAAGACCTCCAGCTGATTTCTCAACAGAAACACTTCAGGCCAGAGGGACTGGTGTGAAAAATAGTCAAAGTGATGAAAAGCAAGGACTACAACCAAGATTACTCCACCCAGCAAAGCGGTCATTTGGAATGGAAGGGCAGATAAAAAGACCTTCCCAGACAAGAAAAAAGCTAAAGGATTTCATCACCATCAAACCATCATTAAAAGAAATGTTAAAGGGACCTCTCTTCGCAAAAGAAGAAAAAACACATCCAAAATATGAATAATAAGCTCTGGCTGGTGTGGCTCAGTGGACTGAGCACCGGCCTGCAGACCAAAAGGTATGATTCTGCTCAGGGCACAGGCCTGGGTGTCAGGCCAGGTCCCAGTAGGAGGCGTGTGAGAGGCAATCCATTGATATATCTCTCACAGTGATGCTTCTCTCCCTCTCTCGCTCCCTCCCTTCCCCTCTCTCTAAAAACAAATAATTAAAAAATAAAATATGAATAACAAAGTGGCAATACTTACATTACTTATCAATAATTACTTGAAATGTAAGTGGATTACACCACATATAATATCAAACTCAAAATGGATTAAAGACTTAATAATGTAAGGCCCGAAACCATAAAACTCCTAGAAGAAAAAATAGGCAGTAAATACTGTGATATGCTCATAATAATATCTTTTTGGATATATCTCCTCGAGCAAGGGAAACAACAACAAAAAAATAAACAAATGGGACTACGTTAAAGTAAAAAGGGTTTGCACAGCAAAGGACACCACTGACAAAATGAAAAGACAACCAACCACACAGAAGAAGATATTCACCACTAATCATCAGGGAAATGCAAATCCGAACCCCAGCGAGCGAACCCCCACACCTGTCAGAATGGCCATCATCAGCCAATCAACAAACAACAAGTGCAGGTGGGGACGTGGAGCAACGGGAACCCTCGTGCACTGTGGGTGGGGTTATAAATTGGTGCAGCCCCCGTGGAAAACAGTGTGGGGAGTTCTCAAAAATTAAAGGCAGAGCTACCGCACGATCCAGCGATTCCACATGTGGGTATGTATCCAAAACCCCCCCCCAAACAAACGCCAAAACAAACGCTAGCTCAAAAAGATACATGCACCCCCATGCTCCTGGCAGCCTTATGTACAACGGTCGAGATGCAGGAGCAGCCCGAGGGTCTGACGATGGATGATCGGAGAAACGTGTGTTGCATATGTACCACGCACTATGACTCAGCCACACAAAAGAATGAAGTCTTACTATTTGCCACGCCATGGATGCACCTGGAGGGTATTACGCTAAGTGAAGTAAGTCAGACAGGAAGGCACGTCCCATAGGATTCCACCTGTATGTAGAATCTAAAACGCCAAATGACCACAGACTGGAGGCAGAGGTCAAATAAAGGTTGCCGGACGGGAAGGGGGTTGGGCTGAGTGAAACCGGGGACGGGATTAAGAAGCACAAACTGGCAGTTACGGTCTCGGGGCCACGGCAGGCAGCATGGGGAATATAGTCAATAATAGTGTAACAGCTGCAGGATGTCAGGTGGGTGCGAGACTCACTGGGGACCGCTCTGTGAGGTCCACACGGGAAACTAATGTCTTACTGAATGTCAACTGTAATTGGAATAACATTTAGTGCTTACTTAGTGCAACACATTTTAACCACAATGACAGAAATTCAAACTGTAAGAGGGATCCCTCGAAACACACAGCCCTTTTTCCGGGCCCCCTCCTCCAGGCAGCCCTCCTCCCCTCCCCCAGTCCAGGTCTGGCCCACTTGACACTTCGTATGTGCCTGCGGTGGCTCAGAAGCCACCACTCTGTATGTGTATCATGGCTGCATCTCTGCGTGTCTGAAGCAGCCCCACGGTTGGCTGCACCCTCCTCAGAAGAGGATGACACAGTATTGATTTCCTGGGCACTTGACCATGGGCTGGCACTAGTGGAAGAGCGTGATCCCAGGTGGGTGAGGAGGGGGCGGGGAGGAGGACGCAGCCGGCCGGTCCTCTGTGCACACCTTGACCTTGGTTTTAGGGACCGATGTGATGCTGCTGGAAGACTGCATATCTGATGACCAGCCTCCCTCCCACTGCACTTGCCCCCTGAAGAGGAGGAGCTCAGTGACCTTCGAAGACGAAGTGGAACAGATCAAAGGTCGGTCTGTGTGGGGGGAAGGGAAGGACCTTAAGGAAATCTCTGTCTCTTCCCCGTCCAGCCCCAGCACACAGGGGCTCCACCTTCGCCCACCTGCAGGGTCCTCCTCCCTCGAGTCCTCCGCTTCCCAGCTGACTGATCAGGCAGCTGCCAGACTGGGCAGACCCGGGCTGCCGAACTCTACGCAGGCACACGTGTCCTCAGACCGACTCCATCCTCCCCAGAGTGAGTGGCAGGGCAGGGACAGGCCACGTCCCTCCCCGTCTTCTCATCATTTCGGATGTCGAAGCCTCATCCTGGGGGTGGGAGTGGGGGGCGCGCCTGAACCTTCAGTGTTACTTCCGACCCTGAGGTTGTGCAGGATTCTGGGGACCTGAGCCAGTGCGGAGTGGACAGAGAGCCCGGGGGCTTGAGGAGGTTTGGAGCCAGGGCAGGGAGCCCGAGTGCCAGAGAACTCCCCCAAAGCCCCAACATGTCAGCGTCATCAGTCGGAGGAGGTATTATCAACCCTCTGCCCTGAGCCAGGCCCAGGCCTCTTGGGAGGAATGGTTTGATCATCACGAAGAACCTGTGCAGCGAGGGGTCTACACTGATCCTTGCTCCACACAGGAGAAACTAGGTCAGGTTCAATCCCGCTAAGATTTCACAGGCAGTAAGGAGGGGAATCGAGGATTTTGGCCGAGGGGCTCCGACTTCGAAACCCTCGCCCCTCACCTGGGCCCGCCTCCCCTTGAGGGGCAGGGCAGCAGGCAGGTCCTGGGACAACCAGTGGTCCCTCGCTCACCCTTTCCCTCCTTCTCCCTTAGAAGCTGCCAGGACCCCCGTCCTCCATGTGAAAGCCGACGTGCACAAGTCCTTGGACAGCTACGCAGACGGCTTGGCCAAAGCCATAGAGGCTGAAGCCAAAGTCAACTTATTCGGAGAGGAGGCTTTGCCCGGAGTCTTGCTAGTGGCAAGGACCGTCCCAGGGGCTGGGTTCGGGGGCCGCCAGGGCGGCCGAGTGCCCGTGAGTCAGAGGCACCAGCTGCAGAGCATCGAGGAAGGGAACATTCTCACTTCGAAACAGAAATGAGGGCCTCAGGGTGGCCTGTCCCCCCCAGGCAGACACCCGCGGCCGACCCACCGAGCCGGGGCCTGGGAGCACGGGGCAGGAACGGCATCTGGTGTGCAGGTGCCTGAAAACACACGAGGACTGTGCCCATGGCCAGAGACTGCAGGGTCAGTGTGAGCCCCCACGTGGGCCTCTCGCAGACCCCCTGACGGGACCAAAGGCATCAAAAGCACAAAGAAACGCAGACAGAGGTGTGGCCGTGCCTTTCTGGGTGGTGGGGCGTGGAGGGGGGCCTCGAAACCGGGCTGGGAATGGGAAGGAAGCACCAGGTGGGTCCTGTTCTCCCATTCAGGCCTGCATCCCGGATGCCCACGCACTGCCCCAGGGGCAGAGGCTCGGGAGGCAAGCCCTTCCCAGGGCGCCCGGGCTTCCGCAGGGTCCCTAGAGGAGACCCCAGCAGCAGAGCCCCCACGACTCGTACCCACGCCTCAGCGCTAGTTGGGACCTTGCCTGGGTGAAGCCACCTGCTGGTGGTCCCGGGCAGTCACAGACCTCCTCCCTACTCACTGATTCTTTGCTCTTTCAAAAGAAGGGAGAAACCACTATCCAAGATGGGAGGAAGGAGCAGGTACCAGGTGCTTCCTTTCCAGAATTTAAAAAAGCAAATGTATTTGGTTAGGACATGCCACCGACTTACCAAGCTTGGACACGGCTGCGGTTCCGGCCAGTGAGGAGGTGGCGACACTGTTGTCCTAGAGGAACCCCTTTTCCTCGGGAAACCTCTCAGAGGGACTCCCTGCGAGATGCTTGATTGACAGGAGATGAGGCAGAACAGCAATGGTGCTGGGCCTGGAGCCACACCCATGCTCCCGGCCTGGCTCCGCCCCTTCTTTCTCCGGTCACCTGGGCCTTCCCATCCAGTCTCTGTGCCGGAAGATGGAATGTGAGCGTGGGGCATCAGATTGAATGGTCTCCAAGGTCATTTTCAACTGTTGACCTTTGATGATCTTTGTCAGGTAGAGATCGGGGTGGGGGGGGTGAGGACCCCCAGACTAACGCTGCACAGCTTCCTAACGTGGTTTCTAAGGTTTCTAGAGGCCACAGGCCCAGCTGTGCGGACTCCCCAGCTGGTGTGACCCCGCCCTCCAAGATGCAACTATGAAGGAAAAGACGCCCCCTCCCAGGTGGAGTGGCTTCGTGGGGGTAGACCTCTGCCCCCTCCCCTCGGAGCTGGGACAGCAGTGAGGTGGGGCCTGGAGCGGTGGCCAGGTGACGTGGGGGAAACATTTGCCTGGCCCTCCGAGGCGCAGGTGGTCAGCAAAGGGGACCGGCAGCGTGCGCCCGGCAGCTGCTCCTGAGTGTGGTGCGTGCGGGGGGTCAGCCAGCTCCCAGAGAGGCGGTTTCTTTCTTGCTGAGTAAGCACAGTGGTTGGCTGGGCCCTGGTCTGCAGTTTGCAAAGACCTTGACTGAGACCTGGGGGCTTGCCACCTTCACTGTGGTCAGGCTCACTACAAGTCTGGGCCAGCCAAGTGCCAGGCACTGGGCAGGCTCTGGGGGAGGGGAGGAAGAGCAGAGGGCTTTTCTAGGGCAGAGGTGGCTTCACTGGCAGGTTCTTCTCCATCAGGGGGTGTTTTACATGGTCTCTGTGTGTATTCCCAGCACTTGTGTAGGTCATAAAGGGACCCTGTTCCTGCTCAGCTGGCATGTGTGGGGGCGGGGCTGGGTGGAGGCCTCCGCCTGAAGGTGAGAGTAACCTGGGGCACCAGTGAGGCCTCTCCGAGGGCAGCCAGTGGGCTTGGAAGCCCAGGGTTGGAGAGTGCACCCCCTGGGCTGGGCTGAGTGCTAGGAAGGGTCCGGAGACCCCAGGTCCCCACAGGTGTGGCCCAGACAGGCTGGGACTTACTGGATCAGATCTGAGCCTATCTGAAAGGGCGGCACCTCACCAGAGGACTTGCTGTCACCTTGCCTCCTACCGAGTGAGGTCCTCCACTCACCCCTCCACCAGCCCCTGCCCCTGCACCATGCAGGGCACCGAGCCCAGCCTGTGAGCGGTGACAGGACGTCTTTCCACTTAATTCAGGGAGAGACCCAGGACGCTGATGCTGTAAGTGGCTGAGACCAGTACCGATGACAGAAAGGACTGGGCTGCAGGGGAGGTGACCGCCTCCAGCTGTGGGTGGGGGTGGAGAGGGGGTAGCTCCCCGGAGGCGGCAGGTGGAGCCAAGCCTTGGAGGATGTTTGGCAGCGAGAACCACATTTTGCAGAGTTGGGAACTCGAAGTTGCCAGTTCCATCTGGGAGAGCGAGAGAGGGAGGGAGGAGGACTGGGGGGAATCGCACACATTCTGAAGCTTCTGAGAGGCATTTCTGAGGACAGCTGCTCTTGGTGCGGGTCAAAACCCCACTGCCCACGAAACCCAGGCCCATATACGCTCCTGACACCTCCCTGAGGGACTGACTGCATGCACTGTGGCAGGTGGGGCATTTGGCCCCTTGTCCACTTAGAAACCTTCCTGTGTCTCTTGGTTTCCACAGGACGTTTAGGACTGTTGCCCACCTTGGCTTCTTTGATTGGGATTGCCACCTGACAGGTCCCTGTGCTGCACCCCCCCCCCCCCCCCCAGTACCAGGGCTCAGGGCTATTGTGACCTAGAGGCCTGGGAACCCCGCAGCCTACGGTGCAGCCTCTTCCCCGGCCTGGGAAGGCTGCAGTTCAGCACCGTAGACACTAGGTGGCAGCAGTGGAAAGCACTAAGGAGACACCTGAAATTCTTGCTCAGAACTTGTCCCCACTTGTCCCCACTGAGGTCCTCAGCTTTGGAAGGACCACCCTGCCGGCTTACATGTGGCTCTGCCCCTGCTCAGCCATGAGACGCTCAGTGACTGCCATAAGGTGGGGCCATGAGGGGGCTACTGGAGGTACTGCAGGGGACCAGCATGTCCTGAGCGCCTACTGTGTGCCTGCCACGTGCTTGTTCCAGGTTTACTCGGGATTCCCGGGAGCGGGGCAGGCTTGGCTGGGTCAAGTCCCGAGTTTGTACCCATGCTGCCACCACCACTGCTGACTAGGTGTTTTCGGGTCACGGCGTCTCCCTGTGCTGGTTTTCACATCTGTGAGATGAGGTTTCGTCCCGTTTCTATGTGGGGACTCGGGATGTAGGCCTCCCCTGGGGAGGTGACGTGGGTTCACACACCCAGCACTGCCGTGCACACAGTGGTGCCAAACCCGTGGTCTCATCCCTGAGTGTAGGTGGGTGTCTTATCCTTGTGTCCCAGGGACCCGAGACACTGTTATCCTGGGGACAGGTGTTGACGGCTGGTGGGAATGAAGGAGTGGGGAGGATGGGGGAAGGTGAGGGAGAGGAGGGAGGGTGGCCCGGCACTGGGAGCTCCCGAGGGCTGAAGGGGCAGGAAGTGTCTGTCACGGGTGCTGGGCCCTGGGGTGGCCTCCACAGCGTGAGTTCAGCCTTCCAGCCTGGAAGAGGCGCGCTCCCTGAGACACAGCCTGGGTCCTGCGGGGACAGGGACTGCAGATTCTCTGACCCTGCACCCTGAGGAGGGGGCATGGTGGGACTGGGTCAGCGCTGCTGTCCCCGGTGCACGTGAAGTCTCAGGTGAGCCGTGGGGGCAGGAGGGACCAGGCACCATCTTCCCCTGGAACAAAGTAGCAGGAGGAGGAGCTCACCTGTGAGCGCAGTGGTGCACTGACTACAAGAGGGGCGGAGCCTGACGTTCCTGGGTTGGGGACAGACACACAGAATCCTGGGAGCCTCAGAAGTGAGGGGGGTGTCCAAGGTCCCCAAGTGCATTAAGCCAGCATCGAGGCCAAACACCCCGTCTTGGCCACGTGATGAGAAGGAAGGAGCCAGCTTTGCAGCCGAGGATGAGGGACAAGGATGGGTGGAGAGTCCTCGCTGTTGGAGGCCAGGCCAGCGGGGCTTTAGCAGGTAGGGAACGCTACTGCATTGTAACCTGAGGCACTTGCGAGGCTGGAGGGCCTGCTTGCCAGCCCCACAAAAACAGCGGGCCCAGGGTGTGTGGTCGGACTCCCTGGGAAGAATTCAAGGCACAGGCCGCTGCCCACATTACGTCTGCAACAGCACCATTTTGCTCAGCACTGTTTTTGGGGACCTTGGACACAAGGGCGGGACAGTTCCCCCAGAGAGCAGGTTCCTGAGCCCTATCAGCAGCTTGGGAATCAGAGGCCACTTGTTTTTCCCTTTGACACCGTTTCAATGTCACCAATCATAGGACGTCCCTGGGCCCCTGATCCTGCACCAGGGACAGGCCCCTGCAGTGTTCTGGCAGTGGGACCCCGGAGACAAAAGCAGTTGCAAACCCACCTTCAAACAAAACAATGACAAGCTAATCCTGAGACACATTTCACTTGAGTTTTGGGATTTTTCTGAAGCTAAGAAAAATATTTAGAATTACTGTAAGTCAGTATTTATAAACAAAAGTGTGTTTAGAATAGTTTTGCTTACCCGATTAAATATCTGGTCTGTGGAAGTTGTGCGCTTGTCCTTGGACTTGTGGACTTCCTGGTCCTTCTCCACCTTCACCTCGTATCTCCGTTTCCCAAAGCCCCTAAAGCAGAAGGAGACGGAGAAGGGAGGGCCGACTGTTGCAGAACTGGGGGGCTGGGGGCCCAAACCACAGCCACCCGGGCGCATCCATCCATGTGTTTTTGAAATTCCCCCAAGACAGTGAGACTCACCGCAGGTTGTGGAATACAGAGCAACCACCCCTGATGCAAAGAGTTTCCAGCTGATGTGTCCTCCCCACCAGTGCCAAAGTCAAGGGCGTGTGGTGATCATCACCGAGACGACAAACCTCCTCGGGCCCAAGGACCACCCTCTCCCCGAGCCCCTTGCCTGCCACCGCTAAAGTCCACAGTCCTTAGGCAGGGGGCAGAGGCGAGCTCCAGGGTCCAGCCTTTGGCTTCCTAGACCGCGCCCCCACCCCGCCCGCCCAAAACACCCTCTGAACCACAGCCAGGAGCTGCTAACCTGCCTCCAGAACACTTTCTCTTTCTGCCCCTTGGTTCTCTGTAATGCACAACCCCAGACTCTGCAAAATCGCTTAGGGGAGACCTAATTCCTTTGACAAATACCAGTTAAAAGAGAAATGACGGTGTTAGAGAAGGTTCTGGTTCCAAGCAAAACTAAGCAGGAAGTTAGGAGTCCCGAGTGCCTTCGGCCCGCCCCTCTGTGCTGCGCCCTGCACCAGAGGGTGTGCGTACCAACCCGGTGGATCTTCTCCTGTCACTTCTCCTGCCAGCTTCTCCCAACCCCATGGAATCCTCCAGTGGCCTCTGTGTGGTGGGCTTCCCACGACCTCTCCACAGCACCCCGACTGCTTGGTTGCGGCAGAAGAAACGATGTTGCCCTGTGCGCCCACCGCGGGCAGTCTGGCTGCTCTGCAAAGCGCCTCATCCTCTGTGGTTTCATGGGCCCTGGGGTGTAGGTGCTGCAGATGGGAATTGCACCTGCCCCCCTAGAGGAGACGGGGAGCCCAGAAGAGTCGGGTGGCATCAGCAGGTCACGTAACTAATTGGGGACCAGAGGCTAAGACCCGGGCACTTCTGGGGAGCCATCTGTACCCTTTGGGTGGAAGCGTTCAGTGAACGCCTTCTCACGGAGACAGGCGGGCCTACCCAGGGCCAGCGTCAGCCACTGAGCCAACCGAAGAGGGACTTCCTCTCTGCACACCTGTGCCCTCCCCCCTCAGCAGCAGGGCTTCCTGGGGGGGCAGCCGCCTTGGGAGGACCACTCTTGTCCCCAGACAGGGATGCTCTGCTTGGCTGCACCCAAGTCCTCGAGCCCAGCGGGGCAGGGGGAGGGCAGGTGAGCAGCAGGCAGGGAGGGTGGGGAGGCTCACGCTGCGGGGGCAGAGCCAGGCTGTGACCTGTGGGGCGGGGCCGCGGCAGGCAGCTTGCGTGGAGGTGCACGCTGGGGCTGAGAGAGACCAGGAACGAGCAGACAGAGTCTCGGGACCGGGAGACAGAGCCGACAGCACCGGCTTGTGCTGCGGTCTCGTGAGCACCCACAGGAAGCCAGACTCCCACCCGTGGGCAGGGAGGGTCCACAAGCACTGCAGTGACAACTGGAGGTGAAGGGAAAGGACTCTGGGATGAGACGGGGAAAAGCTCTTCTATGGGATTCTATCACACACACATCAGAACAGAAAAGACTCTTAAATCTAGAAAAGAATAGACAGTCTTAAGTCACGGAACAGGCAGGAAAACACGGGTCAGGGTAACAAGGCATCGAATACAAAGTCAAATTCAGGAGATCTTAAAACAACCAACTTCTTTAATCAGAAAGCAACAAACATGCAAATGGCAAGTGTAGAAATTTATTTGAACCAACATTGTCACTACGGGAGAATTGCTCTCCAATGTCGATCTGGCTCCCCCGCCTGGAGATGAGGGGTATTGCACTTCGCGGCTAGCACGGCTCACACACGCAACGAGGGCTAAAGACACCTGCTGGGTTTGTCTGACAGGCTCTCCCAAGTTCATGCACACAATCATTCCACACCAATGCCTGGCTGTCCCCAATAAGGGAAGACTCCAAAAACCATAACCTTAAAATTGCACTGAAGCTCTGTAAAGAAAAAAATATAATAATGTCTTATACAAATTCCAACACGTGTTAAGTGCTGGCCACTCTGAGCTGCTTATTCCTCGTCTTCGTTGTCGTTCTCCTGCCCGGAGCCCTCCGATCGGTCGCCCTCCAGCCGGTCTGGAAAACACAGGGGGAGACTCACGAAAGGCGCATTTGCAGGGTCGCAGCCCACCCCAAACACAAAGTTGGCAGGGCTGAGCTCCTCCTTCCGCGGGCCAGGGAGCCTCGCTGCAGGGACAGTGTGCCTTCCTGCGGACTAGACTGCGGGCCCCCAGAAGGGGCCCCTCATTTCTTTTCCTCTAATATCCCCAGGGCCTGGGCCTTCCCTCTAATATCACGTGCCCGCCTGGGGCACGTGATGAGTGGAGGAGGCGACAGCATTTCTACCACAGACACATGTCCCCACGGAAACACAGAAAATGCTGGCACTAGACACGCTCATCTGAAACGCAGATGGAAGCTGAGGTTTCACCATCTACAGAGGCGTCAATGTGCCCACCGAACCCCACCAAGGTTAGGGAGCCGGAGGGGAAGGGCGGGAGGTGCACTGAGGTGGGAGGAGTCTGACAATCCCACACTCAGAGAGGCTCAGGGTGGGGGAGTGAGCGGGAGAAGCAGACCAGCTCGAGCCAGCCGGAGGATGGCAGCCCACGTGCACGACATGAACCTGTCCCCACCGCTGAGTCCACGGTCAAGGGGACCAAGGGCCTGGAAGCTTGTTTCAAATTCAGGCTTCACCCCGATCCATGGTGCGGCCTGGGGTCAGTCATTACAAACCCACTTGGTGGGGGGTCAGAGCCCAGCGAGGCTGGACCTGTGATGTGACCCGGTGCCGGACACAAGTCTACAAACGCTCGTCACCATCCTTACTGACTGGGAGGTGACGCCACGAGTGAAGACGTTTGATTTATGAACTCAGTGGGCAGTGATGGACACCTGTTCAGTGAACACATTTTGTTTGTAAAGGATACTAGAACTTTTTTGTTGTTTGGTCCACAGATTATTGAATTCCTTCTTGAATATTAATTAGAATATTTGCACTCTGTCTTACTGGGGCACTGGACCTCAGTTTATCATTTAGAACAAAAGGATACTGAGGAAAACACAGAGGTGTCTGCTTCAACCCTAGCACGCCTCATTTCTTTTCGTGGGGGCCACACCTGATTTTGAGCAAAGGGACCACTAAAGGGTACGGACGGTGACACCAGGATTCCTGGAAGGAGCCTCCACTCGAATAAGAAAAGCAAAGCAGCTGAAAGTTTCAGGTGAAAGCTGCCTCCATCCCCCCACGCGGACCCCCAACCGCAGCATGTTCCCCACCACAGCTGCCACCCGGGGATGGGACGGCCCTCACCGGCTCGGATGTGGTTCAGCGAGGCCAGCATCCTCAGCATGAAGGAGGCAGGCACGGTGATGGTGTTCCGGGTCTCCTCCAGCATCAGCTCGTTGCGGGTGATGACCTGGGGGCGAGTGCGGCCACACATCAGAGGCCTGGGGCAGCCACACCACCCCCTGCAGGCTGGGAGGGCGGTGCGAGAGCGGCCTCTCGGCCTCCAGGCTGCTGTCTACGCCACACTCCCCCTGAGGCTCCCCAGTGCCAGACGGTCACTCTCAGGTGCTCGAGAGGAGGGAGGCAGAGAACGCTCCTCCTCGGGGCAGGAGGACAAAGGCCCCATCCTGCTGTTGACACACTTGAGAACTCAACTTATCTTTCTGTTGGGCCCGGTCATTTTCCCCGACAGAAGAGATACCTTCAGGGCACAGGAGGATTTTAAACTGTTGTCCTTGGATCGCTGAGGTCCTCGACTGAGGCAAAGGAACCTTGAAAATGACCTTTGGACACGAGCTACCAATGACTGGTGTCTTAAGAACAAGAGCGGGACTAAATGAATACCCAAAACATGAGAGATCCATGGTACAACTGCAGGCAAAGGGGCAAGGTCAGTGAGAAGCAAAGAGCGTGGGGAGGGGGAGGGAAGCCTGAGCGAAGACGTGGACGCGTTGGTGGGCCGCCCCAGGGAAAAACAACACAGCTGCCGCCCGGGGGCCCACAGGGCCCTGACCGCCTACGCCCGACAAGCTTCTCATCCGCCTGAGCGCCTTTTGCACACACACACACACACACACACTCACTGCTGGTCTCTGCACATGGGAACACATCGGCCCTTGTGTCTCAAGGGCTCCTTGGTGCCGTCTGCCTGGAACCTCAGTCCTGGCAACTTCCACGTCCTCCTCGAGGACGTCCCCACCCCGTCTACTCCCAAGTGCAGCTGTCCCTCCCTACAGGCTTGTGCATGCTGTGTGGACGTCTCGGTCCCTGACCGTGTGAGTGCCAGCTGGCTGGGTGGCGTCCGCCCTTCCCCTCGCACGAGCTCCGAGTGCAGGGTTTGCTCTGTAACCCACACACCCAGTGCTGTGGGCCGATGCCTGTCACAGGAGTGGACACCACATGGGGACCGTGCTCCGCTGTACACCTTGCTCTGAAGGACTCTGCTTTACCCACCATGTCCCGACCTTCTGAGCAACAGGCCCTCATGATCTGCTTGTTCGGAGGGAGCAGCAGCCCCCTGAGCTGCACTCCCCTCCCCCAGGAGCTCAGGGGTCGGCATCCGATTAATGCAGTGGACGCCTGCTGGCATGAGAAACCGCCCAGGGAGACCCCCAGGTGAAAACCCAAAGGAAAGGCTGCTGGTCCACTTCCTGCCCGGTTCCACAGAAAACCGAGAACCTCACGAGCTCGGCTGGAAAACCGCTGACTCGGACAGGAAGCTGCGGGAGCCTTGCAATACCAGAACAAAGGAGAAGATCCCCATCGTTCGCCCTGCTGCCCACTGGGCCGCGGCGACGGAAGAGGACTGAGGAAAACCACAGGGTCCGGCACAAATAACGCCCCTGGTTTATGCGCTGGTAACCCGTACCCAGTCTTTTATTACAAAATTGTTAGCATGTAACTCTGTGACGACACAGTGTCACACTCAAGCACATCGTGTGACATTCTAGGCGACATGTTCAAAGTGCTGTCCATCTTGTGCGTGACATTCACGTACGCGACCAACCTCACTCACACAGGCATTCCTACCCCCGGACACTGTATTTTCTCAAAAGGACAGAGCGTTTGTTCAATGCTCAAACTATTTTTCTCAAACTATAAAACAATCTGGTATCACTAATACTCAGCCTTCAAAGTAGCAAAATACTAGTTTGACTTTTACCTCTAGCAATGGAGGCGCGTTTTCATCTTAAGTTTTACTTTGTAAAAGCCGGCCTCCTGAACTGCAGGGCCTTGCTCTGGGCACCCACCCCTGTGGGGCTGCTCTGACGCTTCTCAGGAAAGCCTTTGGGGAACAATGTAAAACGCGCTCTGACACCTGCAACAAACACACAGCTTACCTCATCAGCAAGTTTTCGGTTGAAAATCCTCGACTCTTCCAGTGGGGACCAGATCTTTATGTCGTAGTCAATGCCAGATGAGGCCAGAACTGGAAAGGAGACGCACGGTTACCCTAGACTCCAAGCACAAGCCACATCTTCGAGGTGTGCGTGTGTACATGCATGTGCGCATGTGTGTGCGTGCAGATATGCACGTTCACGTGCATGTACAGCAGGGCCTCCAGTATGTCATGTTATTTCATGGCGATAACAACCAGATGCCGCAGGTATGTAAGTCATGACCGTAACAATTCGCTCGTGGTAAAATTGGTTTTCTTTCTTTCTTTTTTAAGATTTTATTTACTTATCTTTAGAGGGGAAGGGAAGGAGAGGAGAGAAATATCAATGCATGGTTGCCTCTCGTGCATCCCCTGCTGGGAACTGGCCTGCAACCCAGGCATGTGCCCTGACTGGGAATCAAACCGCGGTCCTTTGGTTTGCAGGCCTGTACTCAGTCCACTGAGCTACACCAGCCAGGGCGGTAAAATTGGTTTTCAATACACTGTTTTGCTTTATGTCCCCAAACCTACCCATAGCGTCCAGTGAGGACCTACTGTGTGTACATGTACGGAGAGAATGAACTGAAGTGGAAACTGTACTGATATATCTGTTTACCGAGAACAAAACAATGTTCTCGGTTAACAGATGACACCCTAAAATACGATTTTAAGACCATCTCGAAGGACTCAAAGTTCTTTAGTATTCACGACTGTTTTATGAGAAACCCGGGCAATTTCCAATGGAAAGCAGGAGCCAGCCAGTGCGCCCTTAGAAGTGCCATGTGGAGAAGCAGCAGAAGTTCGCCCAGCTCGGGGGACACATTGGGAGAACACACTCTTTGGCCGAACCCCCCCCATACTTCCTGCCAGAAGCAGGCTGTGTTTGTTCTGAGCCCAGCACAGCCGTGACGGCCAGCGGTGGCTGCCCACTCGGGTGATTCTCGAGTTAACCGGAGGACCACCGGCAGAGCCGATGAGTCGCCCCCGGGGTTCCTTGCCCGGCCGGGGCGGGGCGCCCTTACTCGGGTCGAAGGGGTGCGGCTGCAGGCAGTTCACCACGTGATTGTCCGCCTCCAGCAGCATCAGGTGCTCCGCCGTGCGCCGGTCCCAGATGAAGATGTGGCCACAGTCGGAGCCGCTCATCACGAAGTTGGCGCCCCAGAAATTGGCTTCTTTGATCTGAGGGTTACAAAGAGGAAAGCAGAAGGAACTTCAAACCCAAGTTATTTAAATAAACATTTATTCTAAATCCATATCACTGGCTTAGAAAATAAGAATTAAAGCCTTCTCGTGTTCTAGTATCTTTGAACCGCGACGGGGATTCGTGGGTGGGGGAACACGACTCCCAGCCGTGGCGAGCCCCCAGCAAGCGCGGGGGTTCTGCTCTGTCCCACTCTGCTACACGTCTGAACGTCTGAAACACGTCTGTCTACACGTCTGAAACAGTTCTTAGCGCACAGTAGGTGCCGAATCAGTAACTGCTAAACGAATGCAGGGGACCTCTGGGCTTCTGACAGCGTAACAGAAAGCCCCGATCTCTCTCTCCGCTGTCTAAGCTCCCATGGGCGAGGAAAACTACAGACACACTGGCTTTTTCTGGGGTGACGAGACGGGGCGGAGGGCCCCAGTGGCTGTGATGACAATTCTCCAGTGGGTGCGTGCAAATGACCTCCCAGTCCTGGGACTTCAGATCCGCCTTTTTCCGGTCACGTCCCCTGCAGCTGCTACTCTGCTCTTTTTTTGGCAAAGCAAAAATGGAGCCAATTTTGTTGTTACTTGGAGCTACTATTATCATTTACTCAACTTCTCTTCATTTCATCCCAGCCCCTAATCATTTTCCTCCAAAATTTTAATCAGCAAAATGCAAGCAATGTAAACTGGTCACTTCTAGTAACAATAGTATTCCTTTGTGAATGATTAAATTGTTACTACCAATGATTATTCTATAGAGAGCTTATTATTTTCCTACCCTTAAGTAACTGTTTACCCTAAACCTTGAAGAAAGCAGATGAAAACCGGTTCTGGAGACACGTTTTGACACTCAGTGGTTGTGGGAGAACCGCACTTTGTAGGTGTAAGTGGTTCAGAGTGACAATCACACGCACTAGTCACCCCGCTGGACCCCCTTAGGATGTAATCGAAATAGCGCTGGGAGTGCAGACCTGTGGGCTGTCAGAGCTGGGAAAGGTCTGAGACACTGTCGGGTCTGCTCTGTTTATCTCATCACAGGACACTGAAGTCCAGAGAGCGCATTGACTAAACCGGACCGCTACCAGTCAACCTCAATGGCTGAGGACAGCACCCCGGCCACGCTTCTCAGCAAGGGGTTGACGTTGGGGTTCACGCCGTCAAATCTCTCTCCCCAGAAAGAGCCAGAGCTGCTCTGACTTAAAACCACCTACTCGGAAGGTGACAGCAAGTGTGAGAGGGCACACAAGAAGCACTGGTCACTCGTACAAGCTAAAATGTTGAAAATCCCACTCGAGCCCCTGTAAAAACTCATGGTCTCCCTGCTCCGTCACAGGACTAGGAGAACCGTGTCTGGGTCAGCGGACAGCTGCGGGGACACTGCAGGGTGACACTGGGACCACGCTGTCGACTCAGGAGCCAGAAAGTTATGCAAAAACACAGGCATGGTGAACCCGCGCTCCGCAGAGAGTGCCAAGGGCGCTGGGTACCATTGTCCTGGAGTTGCGGTGGCCCTTGTACACCATCTTCACCAGCGGCCTTCTGATGTTCAGCGTGTCCAGCTCTTCCAGCTCCTTCCTCTCCTTCCTCCGCCGGAAGAACTCCTGGATGCGGGCAACAGCAGAGCGTCTGTGAGTCCCACATGCAAAGAAAAAGCACAAACACGTGAATGCCACTCACAGGCCACTGCGGAAGGGTCAAGTCAGAGGTCTAGAGCCAGTTCAAGTGCACGTGCTCTTGGTGAGGCAGACACAGCAGCAGGGCCCCGTCGGACTAGTCGAGTTCCGAGAACACGGTGTTTTAGTGAGGAGGTCACAGAGACTTGCTCCCGGTGGACACAGTGGAGGGGTCAGCATGTGGCGCGCGGCATTTCAGAGGCGGCATTTCAGAGGGCCGTGCGGCAACACCGTAATTCAGACAGACTCGTGTGCCTCTCACCACCAATCAAACAGGCCCCAGCCAACGCTGCCTCCCCTTCTCTCCACACCAGGAAACGTAAAGGCGTAAAGAGGAGCCAAAGGGAAGGATGGGCAGTGTGTATGAGCAATGGATAAACTTGTGTTTCGAGATTTTTGTTTAAAGATGTTCCCAGCAAAGGGAAGGGACAGTGGAGAACAGGAGACTGAGGGTTATTAACGTGCAACAGACGACGGGCTCCCTGGCGAGGCAGCTGTCCTCTCCGGAGGGCGCGGCAATGGCAGAGCGGGGGGCTGAGGGGGAAGGAGGGGGCTCTGCGCGGACCGCTGTGCTTATTAGCAGAAACCTGTCCTACCCCGTGAGAGCGCGTAATAAGTCTGTTAGCTTGAATATTTAAACCACTGCATTCTGACACATACAAATGAAAAATCCAAAGTATACAAAAACTCTATGAATCAGTAAGAACAAACACTGTAACAGAACATCACAGGACTAGAAGACTCGAGTTCGTCTAGACGCGAGTAGGAAAGTTACAGAAGAAATGAACAGTTAATGATCAGGTGAGAGGATGCTCAGCCTCACTAACGAGGAGACAATCACGGCGGCACGCAGAGCAGAGAGAGCGCCCTCTTACGGCGAACTTCTCATCGCATTGTCGAGCTCGGGTGACCGGCAGTGGTGCAGCGCACAGAGGCGGAAGGAGTCCGCTCTCTGCCGGGTCAGGCCGCGCACGCCCGGGGAGTGGTGCGGCGCTCTTTGAAAGGGGACTTGGGTGAGCTGTGAATGTGTATTGCAAACTCTTGGGCAACCACTGACAGAAGTTAAAAAAAAAGGATAATTGCTACAGCAAGTAAGGAGGAAAAATGGACTCATAAAATGTTGAATTAAAACCACGAAAGGTAGAAAGTGAGTGGGAGACAAAATAGGATTAAGGAACAAGGATAGGAAAAAACTGCCTCACATGTAGAGATTCCCCCAGACAATCTCTGTGTAAGAAATCAGTAACCGAGGTGGAGAGAGTGGGCCTACTCTCATTCGTCTAAGTGTGTGTGCTGGTTGGGGGGAGGGGGGTCAGGACCGCCGCTTCCGCTTCCCTCCGTTGGCTAGTCTGCAGCAGCCTCCACATCAGCAGCCTGGCCTCGCTGAGACTTGCTCTGAGCAGTGGCGTTTTTCAGTTGGGGTCTGCACTGCAAGAGCAGAAACTCCCTTGGGGCACTTGGAATAACAGGTATAAATAAACCAGGAAATCAAAAAGCCCTGAAACAAATTCCATTTTTCCGTCGTTTAACTAGAAAGTGGTCACTGGTAGTAGACCAATTTGTAGAAAGTTACATCAAACATACGTTAATGTTCCAACAGCCTGAAAACCCCAGCATAAAAGCAAAAATAACCTGGAGACGTTTACATGGGGACTGTCACGGGAACAGGCCCTCACAAGCAGTTTCTCGTACAGCCACTGCCGTTTGGGGCTCACTTCCTCACTTCTGGGCTCCCTAGGGGAGCCCCCCACGGCGGCGTTCCGGGCACTTGCTCAACGTGGTGCTTTCCACTCCACTGTGTTTCAGAAACGAACGGTAACAGACACGCGCCGCCAGAATCCGGTCCCAGATTGGTTCTGGCACAGGTAAGAATGGAACGGAGGGTCACCTGAATGTTGTTACATAATTAATGATGTGCCCGTTATTAGTCTCCAGGTGACTGTTTCAGAGTTATGTGTCATCTTGATATGAGTGAGGACTTATTAAAGTAAGGTATTTGTAGGAATGCAGCTTTCTTTTAGAAAAATCAAATCCTCCACCTATGCACAGAATTAGACTTGAGTCCATTTTTAATCACTGATCTCAAGGAAAAGGTGTATATTTGAATGACAACCAAAAGGTGCTGTCATCCCACTCAAGTTTAAAAAATACCCCCCCCAAAACCGTAAGTTGCATTCTTCAACTAAATATCCAAAGCAAGGGACCATCATCTAAAGCACATCATTTGGGGTCGTGGCTGCTTCTTCGTGTGACACACTCGATATGACACACGCACACAGGAAGCTGCTTTCAGCCCAGTCCCACGCACGCACGCACGCACGCAGCCAGAGACGATTTGTGCAGGGCGACCCGCTCGGCAGCACTGAGCACTTGAGAGTTCGGTCAGCCGGGAGTAGTAAATGCTAATAGGACGGGCGGTTGGCGTGGGAAACAGCGCCTGGCAAAGTCATCATACAAAAACGAAAAACAAGGAAGGCGCACACTGAATTACCTCGTTATTCTATCACCTATTGTGGTTCCTCTGACATTAAATCTAGTGAAGGAGACACGACACAGTCAGTCACAGACGCCACGGACGCAGGCGCCAAGGGCCGCAGGCCGGTGCCGGCTCACCCGCACGCAGCCAGCAGCACCCCCGCGGCCCTCTGCACTCTGGGGTGTGGCGAGCAAGGTGCCGTTCAGCTGAAAGTGTGAGGACACAGAGGAGACGGGAGCACGCACTGACGGATCAGAAGGAAGACCTGGCACTTAATGCCCTTCATGGCTTTTGAAATACGTGCTGGGGTGACGCTGGTTCACGGGGTCACACAGGCTTGCGCTGCGCACGCAACAGAGCACTGAGACTGAGCACCACCTGCTTGCTGCGTCAGGGGCCCACTGCCCAGAATGAAGTCTTTCTCTCCCCTTCCGCCTTCCCCACCCCCTTGAAGAGGTTAGAGCCTAACCCTGTTACAGAGCGGAGGGACCTGCAGGGACCTGCAGGGACTCGGGTCCGCACCACCCACAAGGGGCCCCACGGCTCCCCAGCCGAGCTCTCCTTGGGGAGTGACTCACCAAGCCCCGAGCTGACCCTCTGCCCCAACCAGAAGTCGGCACAACACGCAGATGGCCAATCACAGAGCTGGTAACACCCCAGGGGTCCCTTTCCTTCCTTGTGATCACTGCTTTTCTGTGCAATCCTCTTTGATAAAGAATGAACTTGAAATGTTTAGAAACACTGATAGACTGATTATAATGACAACTAAATAGATGGTTTATTTAGTCACAGCACGTCAACTTGGGCTTCAGAGGAGGTAAACTGAACCAAATTTCTACACAAATAACTACTTTTTAAAACTCGTTAACAGGCAATATGGGTTTGTATTTTGAATCTTTGAGTCTATGACTGAAAGTAGTCAAGACTGCGTGAGGAATTCTTCAGGAAGCTTACTCGGATGCCTGTCTGTTTTCAGAGCAAAGCACCTCTGGGGTTTGCCAGGAGGAAGAGCTGCCCGCTCGGCCCTCCACCGTCTCTCCCACGACACATCTGGCCCCTGGGAAACCCTCACATGAAGGCCAGCCCTGCCTTTTACCCCGTCCCCAGAACCACCAGGGATCACACACTACTCCTATGCCTTGGTTGTTCTAGTGCCACGCTCAGAAAGTGTGTGTTTGATGACTTCTTCCTTCAGTTCAGTTTCCCTTTCATGTTCTAGGTTCTTGCCCTAGACCACGTTCAAGGGGACCTAATACACGGGCATCACAGATGTCAGTTTTAAACTCGGGATGTCTGCCAGCGAGGCCTTCACCACAGGCTCTAGCTCGCTTTCCCCAAGACTGACTGACTAGAAAGTGAGGAGCAGCCAACTACGCTCACGGGCCTGACCCCACCGCCCTCCAGCCCATGGGCTGAAACCAGTTCTCACATTTGTCAATGGGGACATTTTCAATGGTTATAAAGGTACCTACGTAACAGCCTCTGCTGTACCAAGTCCCAGTTCTGTCTACGCCAAGACTAGCTGGAGTTAACGAGAACATCCCATTTACAAACAGCTGTGTTAGATGTTAAGGCCTTTATTTTCTAAGACGTTTCCATCTCTTGCTCAACCTCAGCCCGAGTGGAAGACAAGGCACACTCAGCTCATCAGACCATTAGGATGCAGATCTTGAAAGAGAAATCATTATTCCTCATTGCAAAGAACGGTTTTGATATTTTTATTAAATGCATGTCCAAAATGCCTTAGCTATAAAGTTTTCTTTTTTTAAATTAAATTTGGGGCAAAAAAAATGTATGAGATCCACTATGTAATTCTTTATACAAATTCAAGTACAGATCTAAGCCCGTACTTTCACCATTTTAAACTTCCGGGCCATTTCTCAGCCCTAACCACACTAACCCTGACTGAATCCTCGGTGGGCCGCTGCCCCTTCTGCTGCGACTTTTACCCGAGTGTGAAACATGTCCTGAGACTCTGAGGGCCGAAAGGTGTAGCTTTTACAACAGGGCTTTGGCATCCTTTGTCCCTTCATAAGCAAATTCTCAAAGATCATATGCCTTACAAGGATTCTCTTTGTGTTCTTAACAATCAAAACTTCTTAAACTTTCTCTAGAATGAAGGACAACAGAGCTATTTCTCCAAATTTAGAAGCAAAATCAATGAGCCGTGGTCTCAGGGTAAAAAGGCCCTAGAAAGGGGCGGAAATTGGACAAACATATTTCATACGAGTAGTTCAAGATCTACCCCTACCCCCAAAGTCAGGAACTTTTGAAATCGCTTGGATAAAAGCCGGAAGGAAGACGTTCCTCCACTGACGAGTTCCTGGCAAATGGCTAGAGAAAAAGACTACAAATGTCGAAGGAAGGCTGGGGGGGGGGGGGCGAGACGCCGGTGAGAACCCCTTCAGTGTCGAGTCCGTGCATGCAGAACATGGCCTTTATTCTCAGAAATTCAGTCGAGCCGTTTTCCAGGTTCTTAGAAGCAGCATATGTACGCACTCCTCTGTTCATCAGCAAATTGAGTTTTTTTGAAGGGTAGGAATTTCACTTTCCTGTTACTCTTCACTAAATTTACTACTATGTCCTACAGACTGCAGCAAAGTAACACATGGGCCAAACCAGGGCTAACCACCTCAGCGAGTACACAGACCGTGCTGGGATCCTTAGTTTAGGGAAAAAGCAGGGAGGCTGGCGCAGGCGGAGGCGGCCTGAAGTCTGGGGTCCACGCAAGGGTGCGAGCTCGGCAGAGCACGCAGGCCGGGCCAGCCCGGGCTCCTGCCCCTGACCGTCTGCCCCCGAACACTCTGCTCATCTGGTTCAGCGCCTGGGTTTCTGGGCTCCATGGGGCCAGCAGAGGCCAAGTTGGAGGCAGATCCAAACCTTAGGAGAATCCTCACACATGCAAATCATCTTAATGTTATGAAGACGATAGACAAATGATAAAGCGCAGCAGAAAGATAGTTCCTGTCATACAGTAACTGCAGAGTAAGGATAATATAACCTCAGGAAGTTCTGGGTTCTCTGAGACCCACTCTTTCCCCAAGTCCTCTTTTTCAATGACGTCATACTGCTGCGCTTAACAACAACCACAACAACGACACCTCACCTGGGTCTAGAACGCACAAACCCCTGCTTTGTACCTCCGTTTTCACGGTTATCAAGCAGGACTGGTACACAAGTGTTGTGATTAGCCTGGATAGAAGATACCAAATAATTATGACTTTCTGCCAGTGCCTATTATCTACTAAAAATACAACTTCTCATTTAAACAAACAAATCCGGAAAGTGATACGGTACATTTTGTTAAAAAGTAGATACTTGAGTTTCACTTTCAACTATGACCTTTATACCGTTTTTGTCATATAAGTACAGAAAAAACAAGGGCGTGTGTCCACTCAGACACGTGTCCACTTGGACAACAGTCGGTGGAGGCTGAGCGCACATGCGGACGCCAGCCCTGGGCCCTGGGCCCTGAAAACCGTCCATCTGATCTCCAAAGCGCGCCACGCGAGGTCACCTCGCGCACAGGCCTCGGTGGTGGGGACGAGCTGCGGGACTCCCTCTGGGTGCGGAGAGAAGGGGACCGAGTTCTGCTCGTCTGAAACACGTGCCCAGGATGCTGAGGACTAACGTGTGCGGGCAGGGGGGAGACCCAGGGAAGGAGAGCGCCTCTCCACCTGTCAACGGCGCCACTGCGGAGCGAGCACTCAGCCCACGGCTACGGGAAGGTGGTCCTTCGACAGGGAGGGAAAGGCAGCCTGCAGGGCGTTCGCCTCCCAGCCAGCTGCCCCTGGGCCCCTCCCGTTGAGACCGCTGTGCGAGCAGCCACAGAGCGTCCTGGGGTTCGGTACCGCTGTCATCTACTTCGTGCTTCCCGTGAGACCAGGCCCGTGACTGACCGGCTGGCAGATTCCCACAGAACTCGGACCATCCAGATACACGCCACCCTGTTTTATAAACAGGCCGCTGAGGCCTGCATGAAACACCGTGCTGGGAAGAGGGAAAACTAGGGCTCCGACCCAAGCCATGGCGCCCGTGACCACTGTGCGCCTGTCCCCGTCCCACGGGAAGTCCGTGCTCTTGCTGCAGTCAGCAGGCAGCCCGCCGATGGCGGCCTCACACAGGAAGAGGGGAAATGCTCCTTCTCTCCCGTGTGAGCCAGAACTTATTATTTTTTAGTTTTTTTTAAATTTTATTTATTTATCTTTAGAAGGGAAGGGAAGGAGAGAAATATCAATGTATGGTTGCTTCTGGTGCATCCCCTGCTGGGAACTGGCCTGCAACCCAGGCATGTGCCCTGACTGGGAATCGAACCACGATTGTCTGGTTCGCAGGCCCATGCTCAATCCACTGAGCTACACCAGCCAGGGCTATTTTTTAGTTCTTTAAAAATATATATATAACCTTTATTATATTCCTCCATTACCATTTAGTCCCCTTAAGCACCCCTGCCCCCAGCAATCACCACACTGTTGTCCGTGTCCATGAGTCCTTGCTCCCGTTTTGAGCTAGGATTGTAAAAGGACAACGTAATTCTCTGAAAGGGGGCGGAGCTTGCACGAGGTCCGGTGGCACTAACTGTAGAAGCAGGTTTTGAAAAGCGTGGAATGCAATATACTTTCACAGACTTACTTTACCGACTAAAAAATAAAATGCGTCCTGTGATCATACAAAATGAAAACTGGGAAAAGTACGTGACCATGTTAGCAACTCAGTTCTTTATTGTGGTTCTATTTGGTGTCTGGTGTAATTTTTCATTTTGTGAATTAAGTTACTGAAGTTCAGTAGACATCAAAGAAGAACACCATGTTCTCAGAACGAAACTACGACCACTACACCACCCTGACCCGGGGTCGACCGGAAAGCAAAAATACTGGACAGTGAAAACGTCCAAGAATCTGACAAAGGCCAGGACATGCGCGGGGCCACGTGACAGCTAAACGAAGCCCTGGCTCCGCATACGACCGGGGGCCACCCTCCCAGCCCTGTCCCCTGACCGGCAGGCTGAGCAGTGGCCGGCTGGGGGAAACAGAGCTGTGAGACTCGATCCCCCGCCGAATGCACACTCTGCTCGAAGAACTGATGCCTTCTGTGACGTCCAGTCTGGAGAGTTCTGTGCATTCACCCGACTGAGGGGCCCTTAGAGGAAGCCACTGTCCAAAATGGAGAGACTCCTTTACGTGACTCAGAGAAAGCCCTGTGAGTTATGTTTTTACAGTTCGTGTTATTTAAAACTGTACCCACCTATCGCCAGGTCCTGTTCGATACCTGGCCCCTGGGATCAGGACCGGGTCGTCGTCACTGTCATCTGTGTCCTGGAGAGCAGAGTCCGTGGCCGATGCCTCCTCAGGGAGCGTGGGCCCCATGGCCGCCGTCTGACACAGAGGCTCAGGGCCGGGGCTGCCGTGCTGGGCTGCGGCCTCAGTGCCGGTCCCACCGGGCACTGCCAGCCCCCGGCCACTCTCAGACAAAGCGGTGTCTTCTGGAGCTCCGCCCGGACTCTCAGGGTCCAAGTCGTCCCTCTCGCTTGTGCCCGAGTCTGCAGGCTCAGCTGCGTGCTGGTCTGGTGGCACTGCCAGAACACAAAGTCGGCCGGGGTCACATGCGGCCCCAGTGACCAACTCTACCTGCACCGCGTACACAGACCTTCTCTTGTGAGAAGTCGCACTTCGCTGGGTGGAGAGGAGGACCCACAGCACACCCATTGGGAAACGAGCTCGCTCCGCGGAGACTCAGGCAGGGAAGGGCCCACCTTCCCGTGCGCAGCAGCCGTCTACAGAGGAGGGGACTCACCGAGGCCTGCACGGCTCGGCACTGCGGTCTCGGCACACGCGCCTTCCTGCCGCGCCGTCCCGCCCTCCGAGGGCTCTTGGGGAGCTCCTGGGAGATTAAACAAATGACCGTTAAACACATTTTTAAAATAAAAACAGCCACCGACTCAATACTCTAGCTTTCCTATGTGTAAGTAGTTCTTAACCCTTTTGGGGTCACCACTGGGGTAAAGTCCCCCCAGTAGGATGGATGCCAGTCCCACTGCCCACAGCAGACGGGGCACAACCCTCGGGGAGCGAGCGCCCCTTCCCCGAAAACCCGCCTTTCGGGCCCTGACTCCGCACGCACGACCACCTCTGGTGTGTGTGCTGCACACAACCCTCAGAGCTGACACACTTGATCTTGCTCGTTTTCTAAACTTCCCAAAGTCCACACGTAAAACTGAGTGTTCTCTGGCCCCTTGAGCATGCATCAGGTATCATCTGAGCCATCATGAAGACAGGAAAGCTGGGCCGACTTTAAGTTCTGCTTTGTCCACTGAACACACTCAATTCTGGGGCTTCACTCTGAGCCCCCGAGGGACCAGTGTTTTCACCTGACGTCTGCTGACTTCGGTGGACAGCAGTCCCACATGTCTAGTTCCTGTGACTGTTACACGGAGGCACCCACTCATTGTTTCACAACAGAATTTGTTTGTTCCTTCATTTATCATGCATTTATGGAGAATCTACTCCGTTTCAACTCTTTCATACAATGGTTACATCAGAACATTCTAGAAAAAGGTTCTGAAAAGCCCGGTGAGAGAGAGGGTCCAGTCGGAGCCCGGTCAGCTCGAGCCCCTCCCTCCCTCCCTCCCTTCCCAGCCCCTAGGCCCCAAAGAAACGCAGACACTCGGAACCCCACTGCAGACTGGTACCAACAGCGCACCCGCCGACAGCCCCCACCCGCCGCGCCTGTTACTGTTTATCAAGAGCAACAGCCAAACTAGAGGCAAAGGAATATGTTTAAAGTGAGAAACCAGAGGGCACCACTGAGGGCGCCGGCAAGCAGGGGGACGCCCCAGGCTGGGCGGTGTGGTGACAAAGCTTGGTCACGGCTTACCCGTCTCACTGTCCCCTGCTGCAGGCGGCTCTGAGCTCTGGGGGACCGGGGCCCCCTCTGGCCCCTCAGGCTTGCTGTGGGTCCCGCTCCCTCTAGAGCTGGAGGAAGTGCTGCTCCTGTCACCAAAACAAGGCAAGTGGCCCCCCAGGGCGTTACTAAGAGTGAGCCTGTAGGGTCATTTTTATATTTAACAACTACAAAAGTAGTTCCAAAAATTCAGGCTACAAAATGCAGGATTCATTATTTTAACAGTACCTACAGAACATCACTTGTAATAATCAAGGTGGTAATTCTAATCCACTTCAATCTTAAAAAGGAGACTTAAAAACGCAAAAGGAGCACTTCTCACTGTTTTAGTGCTTCTGTGATTGTCTGTACATTTCTACAAATCCCGTCTTGAATTTTATAGCGATGACACGGTCTCCCTTCTCACCCCCACCTGGGCTGCCTCCCCCCGTCCAGAGCCCCAAGGACTCTGCAGGTCTGGACAGGGCGCCCTTCAGACGCAGCCGCCCTTTCACGCCCCACAGCAGCGCCACTGCTAAGCGGTGCTGGGAAAGGGCCCAGCAGGTGACCAGGCACCATAGTCTGCGGACACACAGGGTGGCTTCTGGTTTAGTTTCGGTGCCCGCCTGCTGACGGCCAGTCAGCACTCTGGGACCAGCAGAGCGCTCGGCCAGCTTAAACCAACAAGTTTCGGCGCGGATTCTCTGACCTGTCATGGTATCACAGACTGTAAGGGGGGATTAAGGGGAAAAGAAAACAGAGGAAAATGTGTAACACGCTGACTCAGATTAAAATCACATTCACAGAAATGCAACAGTTTCTCAAATTTGGAATAAATGTGCACAAGGAAACCAAATTTAAGAGATAGGGTAACTTAAAGAACAGTAATTATAGACAAATAGCAGTGACTCAGTAAACAGCAAATTATTATGAATTTTTGGGCCATGATTTTATTAAAAAAAAAAACAACCCCTTTTAGGCTAATTGCAAAAGTGAATTTGATTTTCTGAAGAGGGCAGCCACGCAAACGTGGCGTTCTGAACGAGGACGGCCGCCCAACTGGGTCTGCGTCCAGAGCAGAGTGTCAGGCAGAGTCATCTCAGGAGGGCTGGCACCAGCGACTCTTTCACACTTTCCTGTAGATTCTACTTTTTTTGCAATTAACCTGCATTTCTTTTTAACCAGAAATAAACGTACAGCCATTTAGTAAAGAGAAACTAGCACACTATACAAATCCCATTTTTTCCACTGAGAAAGCTACGACACAGGCACAAGTAAATGCTCTCGTGTAACAGTTACAGGAATTAGAAAACTGAGCTGACGCAGGAGCCGTTAGTTGGAAAGACAAAGGGACCAAGTAAATGTATTCAGCGAATGTTAGCGTGGCGTTTTAAGCCACAGAGAAATGCGGAGACTGTTCAGTAAATGGTCCTGGACCGAGGAGCGGCCATGGGTCAGAACCAGGCTGCAGCTCCAGAGCATACTTTATGGCTAACAAAGCTACAGAAGAATTAAACATATAATTTTTGCCATAAAAATCATAGAACTATAAGACAAAAACAAGAAAAAACTTCCCCCAATCCTGGGAAGGAAAAGGCTTTTCTAAGCGTGAGCTCACAGGCTGTAACCATAAAGCTAAATAAACTACCACAAAACTGAAAGACAGACAACAAACTGGGAAAATACTTGCAAAAAATGGAAGTTGAATGGTGTTACCCTGTCCTGACCCTGTAACAAACAGCGACCTCTTCTAAGTCAGCAGGAACAGGATAAGCACTGTGGTGGGAAACCGCAACCGCGCCGAGGACGTGAAGGGCGACGTGCAGAAGACGGCACTCGCAGCGACAGTCCCTAGGCCGTCAGCTGCCAAGAGCCACGTCCTCTTCCCCCATCATCTCGCTAAGCCTACAACTGCCTCTGAAGTAGCCTCTCTTGAATGCACTGTCTTCAGGCGAGAAAACTGGGACTTAGGTTCAACAACTGTCAAGTTCAGGGTCTAAGCTCTTAGTGGGCTCTACTGCCTCATAGGTCATCAAAGAAATTACACCGGGGGCAAGACACCGTGGTGGCAGAGATAGAAAACAGGACATCCTTCCTTGAATTTTTTAAGGCTGAGTATCGAATCCTCCCCTAATCAGGAAAAAAAAACTTAATTACTTCTTTGGTGAAGAAACAAGAAACTGGTGAATGGGAGAATGTAATTCATGGTCAGTTTCTAAGGAAGGAAAAGTAGTCTTCAGAGGAAGAGTGGGACTACACACTCTTTTCTAAAAACAGTGCTCGGATGAGATTCTTTATGAGAAAATCTGCCCCTTCGGTCCAGAATGATGAGATGAGAATAGACAAAAAGAATAAGGACGACAATCTTCTGTGAGCCTAAATTACACACTAAGAGAAAGGGCCACGAACATCCGGATTTTAAAAAGCAGAGGCCAAACACTCGGGCTCATGAGGAAATCCTATCGACCATACCTCAAACACACATTCAGGACCCCATCTCTCCTCACTACTTCCCTCGCTCCCAACCTGGTCCAAGACAGCGCCACCTCTAGCCTTGCTAACGCCACAGCCTGCCATCTGATGTTCTGGCTCTTACCCGCGGCCCATGTCTGCCCAGCCACCAGATGTCCCTTGTCCTTTCAAAGCCACTCCTCACTTGCTCGGCTGACTGTACCTGCCCCTGCTCTCTCCTGCAGGCACCCGCTCCGCTACCTGGAACTGCCTCTCTCGCAGACCCTGGCTCGCCGCAGGCCTGCTCCCGCACTGCCCATGCCGACTCCTTCCACTCCTTCCCCTGGCTGCGGCTGCGCCCTCACGTGCACAGCCCCTCCTCCTCACCCTCCAGGGATGCTGTCCCTCCCTGAGGCCCGCCAGCCACCTCCCTGCCCTGCTTCCTTCCACAGCCCTTAGGACCTTCTAATCTATCCCACGGTTCACGTATTTATCACGTGTGCGTCGGTCTCCCCCACCTAGAACGTGAGCTCCTACAGGGCAGAGACGTTGTGCCTGCTTTTTTCGCTGACTCACTCCCCACGTCTACAAGTCCCTGAAACATGGAAGGCATTCTATGTTTGGAAAGGGTACTTAATCAAAGATTTTAGTATAAAATACGTACACACATAAACACAAATAGAAACCAGTGAATTGGAATACATAAATATTAATATGACCATATATGAACAGATAATTATATATTAATAAACAATATATAGCCACATCATATATTTATACATATTATATATTATACTAGCACAACATATATACTAACATGTAATTATGTTAATATATCAATTATACGGAATAATTATTATTCTATATTATGTAGAATAATAATTATATATTATTGTGTATAGTTAACGTATTGGTTACAAATAACTAATATATAGTATGTGATTACAGCACTACATAATTGATCATATTATATATTAAGAAAGATCATATTATCTTTGTACTAATTAAGTAAAACTAATACAGCAATAATAGCGCATTCGAGTTAAAGATTTGGGAGGCAACCTGAAGCAGAAGTCTACAAGACAGTGGGAAAGGTTATAAGAAGCCCACGTAACTTAAATTTTTTTATAGAGTAATATTTAACTAGAGTAATGACCAATCAATAAAATCAGAAACGTCATTAAAGAGAACCTATACAACCATTAAATGGAATCAAATGTTACTTTAAAATCAAATATACAAGTTAAAAAGAAATGACATCCTGGACATCGGCCCAGAGATGGCAAAAGCGTGCTCTCTCTCACGCTGCTGTGATGGGTGATGACACCAGACCCTTTAAAAATGGCCCGGCAATGTCTCTGACCCAGACACAGTTCACTGCCAGCAATACCCTGAGAGGCAGGGGAAAGCCTGTGAACAAAGATATTCAGTACGGCCGCCGTATTGGGTTAAATTAGAAGGAAGGCAAAGTCACTGCCCAGTTAAAGAGAGGTGGTTAAGTACCTCTACCTGACGGCTATTATGCAGCTCCTACAACAGCATTTACAAAAGCTAACTAGTAACCTGTGAGTATTTATTATCAAGTTAAGTCAAATAAATGCAGGAAGAATCAAGTATATTCAACATGATTAAAATTATGTTTTATAGCTCAAAACAAAAATCAACACACATACATCTACACATATCTATACACAGAAGCAGGACTGTAAAAAGCTCTAAACCGTTAGGCTTGTTATTTTTACACTAGTCTGCAGTTGATGAGCTCTTTTTATCTTCTGCGTTTTCGGTCAGGAGGAACAGCCCAGACCAGCAACATCAGCACCACCTGGGAAGTTTCCAGAAAGGCAAATTCTGGGCCGACGGCTCCTCCAGGGAACCTGCTTCCTGGGGCTCCCCGCGCGGTGCGGGAGCTCAGCTGCAGCAGACGAGACGGACGGTGGGGCGCTACACAGAGAACCTGACACAGTCCCACAACACGGCCAAGAAGAGCTGACAAAAGCGCGGACTTACCATTCGTCTGTAAAGTCCAGCTTTATTGTGCTTGCGGTTGTCCCTTCTGTGCTGTAGTGCAAACTTAAAACGGGTTCACCTGTCCCTGGTTTGGGGCTCAGCTTTTCATTACTGTTATCTGAAAATTGCGTTTAAAACATTTGAAAAAGTCTCTGACACCAGTAAAAAGATGACATTTCCTAAAATTTCTAAAACTTAAATTAGGCTGTCCTGCTCATAATTCTCACATCTGCTAAGGTTGTCCCGTCAAGCACAAGGGTGAGCGTCACAGAAACACTCACCCCCCAAAGCGGCACCGCGGCACCTTTTCGCTCTGGGGGCACAGCTTCCTTGGATGCAGGTGGAGGTCAGACACATTTGAGAACCACTATTTCATCGTTAGGGAATCAGAGAGTATTGACATGCAACGGCACACATTATCAACTGGTACTGTTACTTAAAAGACATGCTCAGGGCTTTCTACTTCGGTTGCTATGGCACCGAGAGTGACCACCATGGGCCCCTTCGGCAAGACCGAGACGACGCGAGCAAGGTTCCGAGAGAAAATTCTTTCAAATTCACACTTATAATCAGGGGAGGGTGGCAGGACTTAGTGTGCTGTGTAATTTTCTAAAACTCTCTGTTCTGATCACGTTTTCGTGTACTTCACCTCCTCCTCCTGACTGATCTTCTAAGGAATTTGATCACTAAGTTATAAGACTCTATAGGTGATTTCCATGATATACACCTATTTCAACGAATAAAACCTTTGTAAAATGGCAAATAAAATCTAGAAATCCTACAGGAATTGACAGATAACACTTCAAAGCCTTGCTCCCCAAGAGGACATGGCTATTCAGGGACAAAATTACATCCGGCTTTAAAGTTTCTCTGTTTATGGTGAAGACCAGCTTGGGGAGCATTAAAACACACAGGGAGTGCCAACTGCCGCATAATCAGCATGTGACTTCCACGGTGCCTTGGGAAAGAAAGCTCTTCCGGGATGTAATTGTTCTCTCGATACCAGTTCGAGAAGTGATACAGTAGCACTAAAAATAAGCTTTGTCTTGAAACATAACAAAAGCAGTAATGACTTAATAAAACCCAAACAACTCCGGCTTTGTGGTTCTCAGGTGCTCATCACAATAAAGGGCCTCTGTCTTCCCGCCTCCTGCCAGGAGACGTGGGCACACTTGCTACGAGGGGAACTCAGAGAACCTGGGCTCCGGCGTCCGTGCTGAGACGGGACAACTCCCAAGACTCCGAAGCACAACTGTGGAAGAACAGAGAGGTTCTTTCCAAGAGGGAGAAGCCAGACTGATGACAATACCGTCTTTACCTCCACCTCGGGAGGGGCCCTCTCCAACAACATCGGTTTCTGTTTGAAAATAAAAATGGGAATGCAGTCTAAAGCTCATCTCCCAGACAGAGCAGTCGCCGTTTCTGCCCCACGTCTGTGACGGCCAAGGCCTTGACACACAGCTGTGGAAATAAGTGAACGACGTACAGCCTCCAAAGGTTCGTTAGTATGGTGTTTTGGAGGAGGTGTTTCACCAAATGGCTTTCTGACAAAATAATGAACAGACCTTTAGCTTACATAAAATGATCAAAAGTGGGACTTATAAAACCTCTATCCTCTCCTGGACCATCTTTGAAAATTTTGCTGTTTCTTAGTCATTTGTCCACATAGTTTTGACATCTAGGTGGACATCCCTTACTCTTCAGTTACAGGGCCGAAATTTTGGTCCCGCTGCTGCCAAAGTCATGGTCACCTCCAGGCATCTGGAATTGGTGGGGACAGTGAAGACGAGAGGCCTGGGGAAGCTCAGAGGTGGGCCTGGGACCAGTTCTTTAATTATCTCACGACAGTTCACACAGTGCTTTGCTATGTTCATTGTAAAGTGAAGAAGGAAAAACAAATCAAACCAGGACTGACTCCTGGATCGGCCTTAGTCACGGAAGGGGAAGTTATGAGAAGCCTGTGAAGTGTAACTGCTACACCAAAACTCCCCTTTGGAAGGAGATGGAAGAGACACGTTACAGACGCCTGCGTGCTGTGACCGTGGAAAAGAAGGAACAGAGCCACAGACAGGCGGGAGTGGGGTAGACACGATCTTATTAAATAGACTGGACCCCACACCACCCCGGAGAGAACTTCCTGAGTCGGTCAATGTTAATGGAAACCTTCTTCCTCACAGTATCTCTACTACAAAGTTACCACCCACTATCTCATGAATATAATCTATATTGTAAATCACGTCAAACATAGTGGTATTCAGCCCTGGCTGGTGTGTCTGGGTGGACTGGGCACCAGCCTGCGAACCAAAAGCTTGCGGGTTTGATCCCCAGTCAGGGCACGTGCCTGGGTTGTGGGCCAGGTCCCCAGTTGGGGGCGCATGAGAGGCAACCACACGTGGATGTTTCTCTCCCTCTCTTTCTCCCTCTCTAAAAACAAATGAATAAAATGTAAAAAACCCTCCACACTAGGATTCATTTAATTTATAAAATGAATTCTTCGATTAAGTTGTTATGAGCTCACAGCCTCATGTAAAGCGGGCCTGTCACTGTCTAAGTGGAAGGCTCTGCTTTGTCAGCTACAAGAACCTCGGGCCCGAGTCCAGGTCCCCTTCATGCTGCACACACACAGGTCTCTGTGATCAGCCCAGAGCACAACCCTCTCTCCGACCGAGGCACCAGCGGGAGGAGCTCCCCGAGGTCTCGAACCCACGCCCTCGCCTTGCTCCAGTCCGCTCTCCCAGGGTCAACGCCCCTCCACTGGAGCGCTCCAATCCATCCCACTGGACCTTCTCAGAGAGAGACCCCTGGCTTACTAAGGAATTAATCCACAATCTGCTTCTGATAAAATGCATGCTGCGACAAATATCTAAGAAAAAGCTACCTTAAAGAACAAAATTACATATTTCATCTCTACTGAATTTGATATTGTAACATACTGATCTTCCCTGATTTGCCCTTTGTTAGCAGCTGGATCAGCAAACACAATCCACAAGCTTTACTGCTGAAGCCTCACTTACGTAATGCAGGGATGTGCGGGACCACTCAAAGATTCCCCGACGAGCAGGGATTCTGACTGGAGCGCTCTAGGGGGCAGAACCCACTCGACAGACACGCAGACGCTGACACGGGAAGCCCCACCGTAGGAGCAGCCGAAACGTGCTGGGCACGAACGCGCCCCCGGAGCCGCGTGCCTCCTCCCTCCCCCGCTGCATCACCGGCCAGCGCCTCTGTGTTTCAGAGGACGAAACCGCTGAGCTGGGTGTTTCTTCTCTAGTCGCCCAGGTTTCCTGCAACGTGAATTTCCCACAGACCACACTGACCTGGACACGACTTGAACACGAAGGAGAAAATAAGACTGCTTGGATAAAAAACCATTTCCATTAAGCAGTAGCCACCGTCACTGCTGCTGCTCCTCAGAAGTGATCGTTTGCACCCGCAGCAGCATGACTGGGACGGGACAGGGAGGCCCGCTGTCTCCCGGGACCGCCCGAGTCTGACCTGTTCCCCCCCCACAAAGGCTTGGGGGACACCGCCAAGTTTCCCGACAGCCACTCTACACCGCCTGATGACTACGGTCATTAAAGACAAGCGATGAGGTTGTAGGGCAGAGTGCGAACCGTCAGGGTGAACGACCCCGACTTAAAGCGCACGCTCCAGAACCCGGTAACGGCCACAGAAAAATCAAGACAGTCTCCTGCACTGGGAAAGACTTCGTTCTCCAGGGTTAGAAGTGAATGGTCAACTACATAAGATTCCTGGCTACAGACTATTATTGACTATTATTAATATAATGGCCAGTAATACACTTAAAAGACCCTTTCCAGGAATGAAACAAAAGCTCTTTTATCAGGTGAAAGCATTGGCTCAGAAATTTCAATAGGGGCTGGAATAGAGTCTGAAAGCAACCTCTTTTAACTTTGCTTGTTTATTTGGTGTCTCCCTAGCCTTTCAGAGGAAAGCCACGAACTAATTCTTTTCCGTAATGCATGCTTTCACACCATTTTAATCATATTCATTTGTGGTTCTATGAAACGCATTCAGAGACAGGCAGGAAATGAGGTGTGCCTGCAGCGGCACAGGACACGCTGCCCGGGCGGCTAGGTTTGCACACGGGCATGTTCCACACCCGTGTCTCCCAAGCCTCCGCGCGTCTCCCAAGCCTCGGCCCCTCTCGTGGCATAGGCCCCCCCCCAGGCCCACATCTCTGCCACCGGGACAGCCTCCTGAGTGAGTCAGTCTCCAGTCAAGTCTCCACCACCCTCCATGTAGGTGAACCAGGCTGGGCTATACTCTCGAACTCACACCATCCGCCCGCCTCCTGATGTCTCTCCACAGAAAATCCAGAAGCTCCTTCTCAACCTGGCCCCAACCCAACACCTTTCAACAGCGTGGCACGCTCCAGCCCCATTGGACTCTTCCAGCCACTCACACGTGGCCGCCTCTGGCCTCGGGCCCACGCTGTCCACACCCTCTTCACCTGGCGTGGCCTGACCAGCCTTCAGATCCCCACTGATACGTCTTATTTTGGGGACGCCTCACTTGGGCCCTACCGGGAGAGGAAGAACCTCTAGTGTGTTCCCCAGGGAACTGTCACTTCCTGTCTGTGACTCACATCACACTTACATCCCCATTAACACAGCTTCGATCACAAGGCGTTTATTAATAACAATTAGAACTGTCAGAGTCAATTTAATGGCTGTGTCAAATATGTGATCTTGTCAAGATGACATCAGAAAAAGAAAACCTCAATTTGGTGACCGTGTTTAATCTGAAGAGACACACTTCATGCACGGCAGGTCCAATTTATGTTTATCAAATGTGTTTTTGTTAACAATTCAAGGTAAACGAGTAAACAACATCGGTTGCAAACACCCAATTCAATAATATGTATGTAATTACTGAAAGTTTTTTAAAATTTTTTAATTTCCATTAGTAACACTTTTGTCCTTGCGGACCACCTCTGCAGGCCTCCCTGGGGACTTCCAGGGTCACACATCCATGGGGACACCCACAGGCACCTCGAAACCTGGTGTGCCGAGAAAAGCGCATCCCCTCGTCCCCTGGAACAGGCCCGTCCTCCTGAAAGCTCTACCCTGGCGGACGGCTCTGCTACCTGTCACTGCCGAAACACCCGGATGTCATCCTTCCAGTCCTTTGTGACCAAATCAGTCTCGAAGTCCCGTTATTCTGTTCCTTAAAAACTCTCCCTCCTCCTGGTTTCCCACCACCACCGCCCTGGCCTGGGCCCGCCCTCGTCACTGTTGCCTGACCGGAGCTGCAGCCTCCTGCTCTCCCTTCTCCTCCATCTCTTAGAAAGCTGCCAAAACGGTCCTCCCAACACACAGCCCCGGTCCGCTCTCCCCCAGGCTGGCACAATCTCTGGAGCATCCCACTGCTTACAGAACTACTCACTGGCTCCCTCAACAAACACTGCTAATGCAGAACACAGGTGGTGTTGAGTATATTATATACTCAACTGAGTATATAATACTCAGGCACTGAGTATATTATAGTGAACAAAACAACACTCAGAGAACACACAGAAAGGTGGGTGTTGAACAAACACTGTCTTCAGTGTGCGCTGACAAATGCAATGAAGGAAAGTGGGTCAAAAAGGGAGAGACGAGGGGGGAGCCGCTTCAGACCCAAGGGTCCTGTCCTTTCTGAGAAAGTGCCGTCTCGGGGAGGTCTGGTAAGTGGCAAAGGGGAAGCACTTTTGGTGGCGGGCACAGCAGAAGGAGGGAGGCTGCGAGGAGAAAAAGCCTGTGTCAGAACTGAAAGCAGGCCTCCTTGGCCAGCACTCAGCGGGTGAGCAAGAGTCACCTGCGATGGGGGCAGGAGCAGGCGGCAGAGGGGGCGCTCAGCCAGGATGCAAGGGCCGAGGAACACAATGCAGAAGTCCAAGGCAGTGGACGACATGCTCAGACGCACACTTTTAAAAGTGCACTCTGGCTGGGGGTGCAGAACAGACTGCAGCCTGAGTGGAGGGCGGGGGACCCACCGAGAGGCCCCTGCATCCGTCCGGCTGAGGAGGTCGGTGGCGGGGGCTGCTCTGACTCTCCCAGCAGAAGCTCCCTGTAGGGACTCCCACCCTGGAGTGTGGGCACCCCGGCACTTCCGCAGGGCGATCGGGCTGACAAGAGGGCACACACAGGCTCACCCTGTGCCCTGGCCCTGCAGTCCGTCAGCAGCTCACTGCTGCTCAGGGGACTCACAGAGTTACACTGACGACAGTCCCTCCAGACACAGCTCCTGCGACCTTCCATGTTCCATCTCCACTTACGGGACTAAAGGACGCACCACACTTACATGCTCCAAACCCACAGTACCTCCCGATTTCTGCCTCCAAACCAGTCTGCGGAATAAAGCTGATGCTAAAAACCTGGATGTCATCCTGGTCTCTTCCCATCACATCCCGTATCACACGCAGATTAGCTACCAACCTACACTAAATGTAGTACTGAAAATAGTCCATGGAAACTACTCTGTGACTTTACAGACTATGAATCTGGCTACAAACTCTCTGATAGTAACATATTTTTCATATCCTTAACACATTCACATATCCTTACAAAAAATTACTTGATTAGCAAGCAGTTTTAAACAGTAGTAAAATATAATATACAGAGCTACTATAATTGTGTTTTATCTTAATTATTCTTCACAGTTAGTACCACTACAATAAATGTATAAAGACAAAGCATGCTTAATTTCTTAGTTCTCAAATTCATTTACCAATTCGCTCACTCATTCTCAAGAACAGAAAAACCTGTTGCACTACTTGTATAAATAAGTTAAGATGAGAAGTAAAAATGAAGTTTTCTGATTTGCTTTAAAATCACTTTCTAAATTCTTTTCCCAAGAGTTAAAATTAGACTTCACGCCGAACGGGTTCTCCAGCAATAGTTCATTTCCCCACACCGCTCTCAAACGAGCCATCCTACATACTGCTGAGCCAACCTGAGCTTACGGCTTTAGTGCTGAGTTACTTTTAATTTCTTTGGAAAGTGTTTGCAAAATCTATCTCACTGGACTTTGTTTGAGGCTCCAAGGCTGACTCTTTACCTTTCCTGCTTCGAAAGGGCAAGCGGGAGGCAGGAGCCACTTCCCGCTCTGACTGGCGGGGTGGGGGCCACTCGAACTGCACCCCTTAGGTTAAAGCCCCGGAGCTCAGCCGGAGCCGCGAGAAGCAGGAGCGAGGAGCATGACTATGGCAGTGTGGCCCTGGAGAGTCGCCACGACCGCGTGACCTTTCCTAACTTACCCACGAGGTAACACACTAACCTCACACCCACAGTTCTACACGACTTTATGACAGAGACCTAGAATTTAAAAAGTGGGCGTCGTTACAGCACCGGCATAGGGAGAATTCAAAGATGGCACACAGGGCCGAAGGGTGGAATTAGCTTACATACAAAATAGTTTGCACAGGTCAGGAGGGCCCTCCACACAATACCACCTCGGGGAACTCAGCCTGCAAGACACCGCCCCTCAGACCACTGCGGCAGCAACATGCTGCGGGGAGGAGAGGGCTGGTCTGGGCGCCGCCTCAGGGCTGGGGGTGGCAGCGGGTGGCGGCAGGGCACTGCTCCTGGGCACGCACCCTGTTGCTCGTCAAGAGACAGGGATCCGAGCTGTGTGTTAGCCACAGAAGGAGGAGAATCTGAAACAAAAACGAGATTTCCACTTAAAAGTGAGCAGCAGACAACTGCACAGCAAGGTCACAATCATGCCTGTGCTTAAGAAACCAAAGCGCAGGGTGGGGACAGAAGTGAGTGCTGTGGCGGAGGGAGGCCAAGCAGTGAGGGGGCAGGCCACGTGCTCAGGACATGTCACGCAGGCAAGCCGTTAGCACTGCGTGAAGGAGCAGAGACTGCAGTCTTCCACGCCCATGCACACACCCTTGGTCACGTCCACGCAGCGCAGGCACCAAGTGCAAGATGGGCGGGCCAGAGCGGAGATGGGGGGCCCTTCACTAAACAAAGGCTCTTTGTCCTTCTCGAGCCCCTCGCCAGCTCCCCAAGGGGAGTGCGTCCCAGGTGGAGGACCCGAGCAGGAAATGTGCTCCCCACCTTCCCCAGACGTTGTTCGTTACACCCGGAGCTGAAAAAGCAGCTCAGGTGAAGGCGTGAGGCAGAGAGAGCGGCTACACAGTAAGTCTGCACTGAAGTGACTGCCACTGCGGAGACACAGGTAACGTTGCAGCTCTAAGGCACCCTGTGTGTCTTAAATCTGTATCCCATGCAGTCCTCGGTTTCTGTCGGTGCCCGGCAGGGGAAAGGCAGGCAAGGAGAAGGCTCGGAGGCCTGGGCTCCATGCGAGGTCTGCCCTGGCTCCAGGCAGAAGAACACTGACTTCTGCCTGATACCCGAGTTTCTATCTGAGGTCGGTTTCACAAATGGCTCTACTGTGTGGAAAGCCCTGGTCTGGAGGGGAGGCCGCAGGAGGAGGTGGGAGGAGCACGCGCCTGCAGCGAGCCACCCGCCTCTACTCCACCCGGTCTGACAGTGATGAGCTCTGTGACACGAACGGCCCGCAGCACTGTTAGGCCCGGGCTTCTCCTCGCCCCCTGGTCATCCTGGGGCCTGGTCACCTGAGCCAGGCCCTGGGGAACGAGAGGAGTGGCTGCTGTTTCTGGCGTGGGGCCTGATGTCCCATGGGGCCACAGGAAGAGGGGAAGCGTGGATAACGAGCACTCTCTAGACGCACACCTGCTCCCTAGCTGCTGAGGGCCACGCTCTGGTTCTGGGCAAGCGCTGTGTCTAAACCCGACACCTGGCTTCGGGCCGGTCGCCAGTCTCCACACTCAGTGGCATGTGACTCCCCCAGAGGTAGATGTTTTCAGCTGAGTGTCCTCAACTCAATAGCGAAGAGTCTTCCCATATATCCTGATTCTCTGCAAGTCCGTACCACTTGACAGCTTCCCTTCGTTCACCTGCAAGTCCGAACCCCACTGCTGGGACCGCCCGGGGCCCACGTGCCATCGTCTGCCCCCTGATACAGCCGGTTGGCGCGTGGAGTCGGGGCTGCTAGACCGTGCGGCAGGCGGCCCCTCCTCCTCTCAGTGGCAGCCCTCCTCATCCTCCCCGTCAGCTCTTCGGCAGACTCCCAGTGCCAGGGTCTGCCCGCACAAGGAGGGAAGTGGGGAGGCCGGCACTTCCACCCGACCCCCGACCCCCCCCGACCCCCATGATCTCCCTTCCTCTGAAGGCTCCCCCAGGCCTGTCCACTTCAGAGTCAGACGAAATAAGCCCACGTTGCTTTGGAAGAACAGGTAAGTTAATTTCTACAGAAAATCAAGATTATATTCTTTAAAAAAAGAATAACAAAACATGAGTCCAAGGCAAATAAATGTTAGAAAACCCTCCCAGAAAGTGCCCTGTGAAATAGTTCCCTGCCCTTTGGACACATTACACACTTCCGTGTGCTCTCACTTAGTGACAGAGCCCCATAAACCCTCCAAGCAACCTTCTCGCAAATCTTTGATTTTTCCATAAATGTACAGAATACACAAGTCTTATTAAATGAAGTGTCTTATTTAATTATTAAAATAAAGTTTAAGGAGCAACAGCTCTCTTTAAAAAAAACCTTGAGAAAGGACCATGACCGCTCTCATCTCCACAGAACTGTGTAGTTTTTATTTACTCTTACAGGGTTTGCACTATGAAGAAAGTCCAAGTTCATGTGAAGACAGAAAGCTCCTGTTAAACTGCAAGTTCGGCCCCACTGCCACCGCGGACACCGGGGAAACCCGGGAACTTGTGGGGGCCCTCCCGCCGCGAAGGCCGGCCTGTGGTCCAAGCCCTGCCCGACCGCTGACCGCTGCTTCCACGCCGTTTCCCCCCGCGGCTCCCCTGGGGCTGTTCGGGAGGGCTGCCCGCCCGACGTACAGACGCCTGACCCAACAGGCTTCTGTACCAGCAGGTTCCCGTGCACACCGCACGCCCACTGGCTTCTGACTACGGAAGTATTTCTACACATCAACAAAGCAACCGTCAGAAAAGCAAATACTAAGAAAACCCATTATTAACTCAATACTGATCACTTCATTTGCATACTGACTCTGTCTCTCTGTGAAACTCCTTCTGGAAAGCACCACTGCAAAATAAAACGCCGACCACGTGGTCCAGTGGTCATTTACTACAAAGTGCAACATGGCTTGTTAGTTTATTGGAAGTGCCTAGAATTATATTATTTTTAATGTCAAAACAAACTTTAAGCAGAGCTCATTCAATTATAGCTCGAGGTGTCTCAGGCCAATTACTGTATGTTCCTGAAAAGTTTGTGCTTTGGTCTTGAGAAAGTCCTGTAGCCCTTTGACATCAGAATTTTTCTCTGCTGCAGGAAAAAAAATTAATGAATTACAGCCTGCCAGGCAAATAACAAGGGCTCTTCAGCCAGGCTCTCTGGGCTTACATGTGGCTTTTCTCCGCAGTAATACTGTAGTCCTGGGCAAGTCAGTTACTTCTCTAAGCCTCAGTGTGTCCATCTGTAAACTGGACACATCGAGATGGCTACCACACGCCACTCTTTGGCAGATTTAATGAGATGTGCCACGTAAGCCGCCCAGAGGCTTGCGGGAAACAGGTAACTCGTGACAGTACCGCTTGCCTGGTGTTCGGAAACACTGCACGGAACAAAAAAGAATGACGGGAAGCTCTTTTGAAAAATACGGGGCATACCCTCCTACGGAAAGTTCTAAGAGAACCCTCACTGCTCCGCTCAGGACTCAAGGTCACGAAGGAGCACCTGCAGACCTAGGTCAGTGCCACACTGCGTGCACTAACGACCCACATGCGCCCTCTGAGGAGCACTGCCCGTGACTGTGGCAGGGACCTGGCAGATCTGACGTCGTGAATGAAGAGCCTGCTGCCCAGGGCTGGGGACGCACTGATTTTCTCCAATATGGCTCAGTTCTAAAAAGCCCTTCTATGAAAATAATCACTGATGTTCTATACCCCTAGGGGGTATAAAAAATTCCTTTTCCCAACGGCAAAACCGTGCCATAAAGTGAAAAAACAGTTCCTACCTGACCCCCTCTAGGCTGGCTCCCGGCTCCAGTGGGGCGCTATGGCGGTCGGGCCAGTACCAGCAGGCTCCACCGCCACCGGGTGGCGCCACTCTGGGCAGGAGCCAGCAACCCGTGACCTGGAATGGAAAGAAAGAGTGGGTTTCAAGTCAGCCCTTGGCCTGCGTGCAGCACTGTCTGAGAGACACACCAGCAGCTCCTTCTAAAACCCCAGAGGTCACTGGCCCCACAGGCCCGGGGGGTGTGTATTGAGGCAGGAAGTGAAGACCACAGTTAGGAGTGCGCTGTTGTGCATGCTGCTCTACTTGGGAGTGGAAACGCTTCTTTACGTCCCACGAGCCGCCCCGCCCTACGCCATCTCTGTAAATGAGGGCAGGCCACACCACTTGTGGGGGGCGGTAACTGGGCACTGGGGCGCGAATTGGCTGGCTGACCTGTCCTGAGGGACAAGGCCTCAGCCACGTCTGAGCCCAGGCAGTAGGCCAAGGAAGGCAAATGCGCCTCTTTGTGATTAAAACACAACAACACATCACTGGAAGGCCAGAAGTGAGTTACGGTGTATTTCCTAGAAGCCTGGGTGGGGGGGGAATGCTGTCTTTTAAACTAAATAAAGTAAAAATATTTTAAAGTAATCTATCCTGACTTCGAAAAATAAATTATCTTTCACAGGTGTCGAAATTCTTTCAGAGCAGTCGTTTCAAAACGCATGTCGAAGAAGCAGAGGCGCCATGGGGGAGGCGGCCCCCGTCCCCGCTCCCCCTCCATCCTGCCACCCCACACCATGTCACCTCTGCATGTCTGCACTGAGTTTCCATGCGACTGAAAGGGGCATGCAGCTGTACACCGCTGTTCAAACACCTTTGAACATCTACCTCCCAGGGCTCATTTTAAACAGCAGCCTGAAACTGAAGGTGACACCGTCTGGCGCCTTGGAACGCTGTTCTGGTCTTCAGCTGCCAAGAAATACCAGCAACTAAATAGATGTTTTCTTTCTGGGCACTAACTAGCATCAGGCCCCACCCCATCACAAAGCAGATTCTTTCTACAAAATGATGAGTCCCTCTCTCCACAGAAACTAGGGACTTAGATCCATCTTACACTTAGCCTCTCCCCCAAAACTCTCATCTGCCCTGTATTTTGAAAAGAGAATAAAATGTTTGCTAGACAGTGTAACAATTCAGAAATTCAACAGCTGTGAAAATTGCCTGGTTTCCGAATTACATTACTATCTCCGTTGATTATCTTATATCTAAAAGACTTAAATAGGTGAGAAGTCAATAGAAATATTGTTTACTGACAGTATTATCACTTACTATAAACATATCAAGGTATTAATACGAAAATACAGTTTTCATTTATTGGAAATGCACATTCTTTTATTGGGAATAAGTTAAAACCCAGAATGTTAATTCTGATACCTTCTCTACTGATGGATGATTTCACAGTAACGTCTAGCATGAGAAACGGATTACTTAATGTCCGTAATACACACACACAACATCGTATCTAATCATTAAGTGTAATTAGATGCTCTAATTGTTTTTCAAATAAAACTAACTCCCCATTGACTTGTGTGAATTTAACTCCTATTCTTTGTATCTGTAATTTGTGCATTTCTATAATTTGTGTTCTAAAATGAAGAATTTTGTATTTTTTCCCCTCAGCCAGAATTCACTAAATGGACAAAACACATAGGTTTCGTTAGTTGTCCTTTGGAACAAACTGACAACCCGCTGTTTTTCCCGACCCTTCCAGCTCTGCACTGACCAACGGCGCCCTGGGACTCAGGGAAGGAGTGCCGTGGGAGGAGCCTGGGGGCGCCGCGGTGCGGACAGTGCTTCAACAAACGTCCCTGGTGTAGATGCAGGGCCCTGCCTGCGGCCTGCGAGTGAGGGGAGCAGCACAGCACAGCAGCCAGAGTGACGACGCCTAGGGCCTCGGCAGTGTCCACGTGGGCAGCCGCAGGGACCCACGAGTGCTGTTTACTCACAAAGAGGAGATAACGCTGTTCTCACCTTCAGATCTAGCAAGATGTCTACTCAGCTTCAGCTTTTTAAAGATTACCACAAATCGACTGGTTACCCAACTAGATACCATTTACTAAAAATGATACATACAGTTGGGAAAAGCGCATCTGATTTCAGAGACTATATAATTACCCTAAAGTTTTTTGATTCCAAAAAGAACCTACTTCACTTCAAATGGGTGAACTAGATATGCAAGGCAGAGTCTCAAAATATTTTTCTAACGTCCACAATATACACTGTTTTCCTGCTAATGTAGACAGCTTTGTTTTATACTCATATTCACATATATTTCAGTATTTTAAAGTTATTTATATATGTAAGGGACATGTTTTATCTTCTTTTTTATTGGGTCCTAGGTTGTATATTTTTACTTTTGAAATAATGTAGCTCGTTTTATGTATAGTGCAAAGTCAACAAATGTCTTATTATATGCCATAATTATAATCAAAACACACTTTCTTGATAGTTTCATGAACAGAAAAAGATCTCTCTATAGTAAAACAAAATCAGAGACCTCTCTGCTCGGCTGCATTAAAAATCAGGCCCAGCCAGGGCATATGCCTGCGTTGCAGGCCAGTTCCCAGCGGGGGATGCAGGAGAGGCAACCATACATTGATGTTTCTCTCCCTCTCTCCCTCTCTCCTTCCTTTCCCCTCTAAAGACAAATAAATAAAATCTTTAAAAAAATCAGGCCCAGAATTTGCTCCAGTCACCACACCTACATTAGTTATTTGAAGCCACGGTATTTCACCGCAGTGTTGTACCATGTGCTCTCATTACCGTACTACTCACTGGAGCGGAGAGAGTGCTGGCTGGTTTTGCCAGTACACAGATGAGCTCCAAATAACACATCAGAGCCCTCGCATTAACCCCACACTCGGCACTCGGAGCAGTAAACTGAAGTATAATAGTCGCACTGGTATGACAATGCGGACACACTCTGGGTCCTGAACTGAGTACAGCACCTAATAAAGTACCCACGATACAGGCTACATGCCACCTACGGCCCGTCTGCACAGAGGTTAGGTCAACATGTTATTTACGGTGTATCTTTCACGAGTTCTTTCACTACGTGCTTGCTTACTGAGCATCAAGAGCTTTCTGACCATGAAAGAACTGGGCAGTGAAATAGTCCAAGAAAAAGAGGCACAGACAATTGCGGCCTTAGGGTTTCACAGCATCAGAGCAGGAACACCAGGCCGTGGAGCGCGTCTGCTGTCCTACATACAGGAAAGGTGATTGTGTGTAAAACAACAAGCAGATACTAAAAGCGTTCAAGTAATTACAGAAGGGGATGACTGAGTCAGTAGGCTAGTATGGCCAAACAATACTATGATTCTAAAATCTAGAATAACTGTGTTTATATGGGGATAGGAGTACTGGTTAACTTTTAAAGCAAAAAAAAAAAAAAAAAAAAAGAAAAGAAAAAGAAAGAAAGGAGAAGAAAAAAGGAGAGGAAAGAAAAGAAAATAGAAAAGAAAGAGGAGGAGGAGCTAGGAGCCCTAAGCACAGAAACCATTTAAAGGTACAGGAAGTTTCAATAGAAATATCAGTGCAGGCTCAAAACTGACTAGATAATTATTAGGAAGTTGTTCATTGTCTATAAGCCTATATTGCCCCTCTCCAAATAGAAGTAGAACTGGATTATTTTATATTCCCCTGTGGCAAACACTCCTGCCAGCCACCCGTCTAGCTAGGGAGGATGCCCAACCCTGGGAAAGCGGAGGGGAGGGAAGCTGCAGGCACCGGCTCACTCCCACCCCACCCCCCACCCCGCCCCCAACAGCAGCCCCAGCAGCAGCAGCAACAACTTCACCCGCAGCGCCCCCGCTCAAGCACAGCGGACGCAGTAACCTGCGGCTGTCGGGTCCTGGGCGGCGGGCGGCAGGCGCGCTTGCGCGGCCAGCTCCTGCTGCCTCTGCTGCTCGGCCTTCTTAAGCCTCAGTTGTTGCAGCCGCTTACGGAGCAAAGCCATCTCAGGCCCCCTTAAAAATTCTGACAGACAGGAAAGGAAGGTGAAAGGAGAGCAATCAGAGACGCTGGCAGGACCTTGATTATACACTGGATTGTACAAGGAAAGAGCAAGAATCTGGTTACGTAAGAGAGAAGAGTGTAAGTTAAACACACCTCACAGAGGAGTACTCATAACAAATTACGTACTCATAAATAAAGAAATTACTGGTCATTAAGGAACAAACTATATGCTCTCATACACCCAAATGCTTGTTTACCTTGATGAATTAGACACCTATAGTTCTGTAAAAATGTGTAATTAAACAGAAGGAAAATAAAGTCCTCCATAAGCAAAACATTTTAAAATAAATATGCCTCACTAATTTCATCTTTTTACAATAAAACGATACTAAGAAGTGAAAAATATTAGTTATCTCATCTAACCTACACACAAAATTACTCATTTTAATCAATACCTAAAATTCAATGAAAAAGTTGTGCATCTGGAAACAATTCTTGGAATTTATTAACAGAGAGCTCTTTAAAAAGTATAAATTCTATATTTTTCACTAAAATATTTTTTATGTTGGAATTGTCATTTGCTTTCTTTAATGTGTAGACATGTTTCCATCATCTTGAACTTTCCCTAACCTTTACTGGAAGCAGTGGTCACAGACAGGAAGTAGAAGTGCAACACAAGGTTCTGCAGGGACACTGGGGGCCTACTATGTGCTGTAGGTTCCAGATAATGAACAGTGAACACACTAAAATAGTCCCCCTCATGTGGAGTGGTGTTCCGAGAGGAAAAGAGACTGCAGCGAGCGCACACACCTGAGTAGTACACTCATAAGTAGCACACGTGTGTCTGCACGTGTCAAGTGTGGACTCCGCCCAGACTGGGCAGGGAAAGGGGTGGGGGCAGTGGGGCGGGCTGTCCCGAGGGAGGGCAGGCTCACAGGGCGGTGCTGAACCAAGACCTCAAGCCCTTGCTGTGTGGGGGCGGGGCTTTCCGGGAGGAGGGGACAGCGGGAGCAAATGCTGGGGGACTGCTGCAGAGCGGTCCCAGTAAGAGGGGAAGCAGCGCTGCCCTGCACTGCGGGAGGGAAGAACGGAGCCGGGGCGCACGGCCTCAGAAGGAAGAAAAGACCAGACCCACGTCCATGGGGAAGAATGACGCAGGAACTGAGATGACTGTCCAGGAGCCGCCAGTAAACCCGATGTCCCTGGTGATGTCGCTGCCAGCCCCCTAGGGAGCAAGTGACCAGGGAGAAGGAGGAGAAGTCCACGCCCTGATCTCAGGGCACTCCGGAGAGTGCGGAGGAGGAAGAGGAAGAGGAGGAGGAGGAGGAGGGAGAACGCTAGCGGACTTAGTGTGGGCTAAGGTGGGGAATGTGTCACCAAGGCCGGAGTCAGCAATGTGTCAAATGCTGACGGTACCGAGAACCGACTGCTGCATGTGCACCTAGGAAGCCGCTGATGCCCGTGACCACGGGTGTTTCAGCAAAATCCCAGGGCCACACTGGACTGGCACAGGTTCAAGAGGAAGAGGAGGTCATGGAGTCGAATGAAGGCACGTGCACGCTCTGAGTCTCACCAGAGAAATGGGGACAGAGAAACCAGCAGGCGGCTGGCGGAGCACAGCGCCAGGCAGACCAGTCGGGGTTAGTCCGGGAGGCAGTGACCAGTGTGCGCTGACAGAGGATGCCGACGGGAGGAGAGCGGTGATGCTTGGGAAGGATGCCCAGAGCCTGCCGAAGGGGGCGGGCTGCACAGGTCAGAGGGGTCTGGTTTTAGACGTGACCCGTAACTGAAGTAGCAACCGCCCGTTTGAGGGTGGGGGCACCCCCAATTTCTCTCAGCAACCTTGGTGGCAAGTCATACCAACTGCCAGATAGCTTCCTGCCCTTGTACCTACATCGCAAGGCTGCAAATGCTGGTTTACTGCCTCAGGAACCCATCATGCCAGAGATGCTGACCTCTCGTTACCATGGCATCTCTGTATAAAGGGTTTTACTCGATTAGCCAGCTGGTAGCTGAGATTTCAGGAGCAACTCACAAGTCATCACAGGGTCTCACTGGTGCTCTTCCCAATCAGTCCCAGTGTGGAGTAGGGCAGCATTCGCCGAGAACTGAACTATACGCTCAGTGGCACAGAGGCAGATTTATATGTAGGCCTGATTCACCGTCCACACCAACAGCAACACTTCCGCAATAAAAACAGCACCATCACGCAGCCATCAAGTCTAACTTTCTATACTTCAAAAGAAATTACCATACAGAGAGATTATCCATGTGCCAAATTTTGCTAAGAAAACAGAAAAATCACCAAAAACCCCCACTCAATTTCACTGCTGTTTTCAGCGCTGTCTTGCACAGCGGAACGTGGGAGAGGAAGAGCCTCCGTCCCAGACCCGCTCCAGGCTCCGGCACGCCCGGCCGCTCCACGTGCGAGCAGTGTCGCTCTGGACTGGGGGGAGTCGGGGTTTACTCAACGCCTCCAGCTTCATAAACAAGAATTAGTTTGCCTGCGTTTGAGGCTGGTTGTGGGGCGGTTTTTTCCCAACCTTGGGTTGGAAAAAAAGAGCCTAGGAAGAGAAGGCGACACACGGCTGACTGGGAAAGGCCAATGATGAAGCAGAAATCCCAACCATAGCCACCAGCCTAACCAGACGGATCTGCCAGCGGATGCCAAGTTTCAAGCCGGGAAAATCCACCCATAGTACATACTTTTTAAAATATACACACAAACATGTACGATTTATAGTATGAACAAGTGCTTAGCGAATTAGTTTTGCTAGCATAAACCAAATTGGAAAGTGAATACAATGAATACGTTTGGGTTGAATTTGGGGGAAAAAAACCAAAAACCCTCAGCAGTGCGTCAGGAGCCGCTAAAGGGAAATGTGTGCTTCCACCTCCCGAAGCGCTGGTCTGTCTTCCTCCCAAAGGCCCCAGGCTGGCCTCCCAGAGGCTTTAGCTCCCCCCACCCCACGCCGCCCCGGTGGGGCGAGAGCAGCGAAGGCCCGCTGGGCTCCACCTCAGGTCCTGCCCCTCCCACACACAGGGTCTGCGGTCCTGGACACCGTGCAACTTCTCCATCCGACTGTCAGAACCTCACCTGTCTCCTCTCCACCTGTCTGGTCTAGGGGACGCCTGCGCTTTCCTCTTCCTGGAGCTGGTCACTCCTGTTCTGATTCCCCAGTTCCTCTAGTCTCAGCCTCAGTTTCCCCAAATGGCCATTAGCCTGATGGTTCCACTTGTCTCTAACCTACATGCGGCCCTACCTGGTCTGAGGAGACCCAGGCCCCTGGGAGAAAGCCTCGGGGCTTTGAAAGGCCTGCACTGTCTGGTACCGCATGACACAGCACCCCCGCCCACTCCCCAGATGCTTTTCTGCAGAGCTCGATGCACCTGTAAGGATGCTGGAGAGACCTAAATAAGTGTGCAGACCTGAGCAGACACAGCTGTTTGCAAATAAGCAGGAATCCACACAGCGTCCATACCCCATGCCATCTGCCTAGACTACATCTTCCTGGGCTAAGAAAAGGCCCGTGCACTTAGAAAAGGTGCCCTTCAGGGGGTGCTCTCTCGCAGCGAGCCTCCCCAACTGCATTCGGCATGCACTGGTGTCCCCACAACCCACACCCACCTTTTCCGATCATCTTTTCTGGTTTAGATACAAACCAAAGAAAAAAGCAACACCACTCATTTCCCTACATGAGCAACGGCCTCCTTTAACGCTCCTCCATTCCCGCAGAGAAAAATCACAGACGCAGGACAGGGAGGCATTTCCAGGCTTAGTTCAGAAACGACAAAGGGTAAAGTCTGACTGCCACCGCCGAGAAAAGAACATATCCCACCACCACTTTGAAACAGTCTGTGTAAGTAAAATCGTGAAGACTTCGTTTTAACCTACCATTTCAACTCACAGTCAGACCTCTGTGATTTTTAACTAGATAATTGTGTGACCACAGCGTTTTGTGAAATAGTCAAGAAAAGACCACGTGTAATACGAGAATCGAAATGTCAGAGTAAATTCTGCATTATGTATATAGAACATGGTTTCAAATGGTCTGGCTACTTGGATTAAAATAAAAGTCAAGAATACAAAGAGTAAAGAAGTCGAGAAAAAAAGACCCACCGGCTGATTTCAGATTCCACTGGAGAATGTTCACCCTCCTCATTCAGACACAAGCGCAGCGTGGACCTGACCCCCCCGGATCCGTCCTCGGGTGCCCCACTCAGTGCACTCTCTTCACTCACGGCTTCACCTCGTTTTTTCCCTACTCATATTCTGTTTGCCTTAATTCTATCGTTTATAAAATTGGCCTTCAAAATATTTCTGCCCTGGCTGGTGTGGCTCAGTTGGTTGAAGCATCACCCCATGGACCAAAATGTTGCAGGTGAGTCCCGGTTGGGACACATACCTGGGTTGCGGGTTCGATCCCCACTTGGGGGTGCATACAAGAATCAACCAATCAATGTTCCTCACTCACATCAATGTTTCTCTCCCTCTTTCTCTCCCTAAAAGCAATGAAAATAAAAAGGTCCTCAGGTGAGCCTAAAATTTTTAAATTCCTATAAATTAAAGTGCTCTGAACACAGTAGGAAAGGATGTATACCAGTCTTATGCGTCCTGAACAGCCCAGGACAAACGAGGGATCCAACGCCGGTGCACGACCGGACCCGCTCCCAGCGTCTCCCCCGGGCGGCACTACCGCCGGGCGCCTACGGAAACATCCAGAGCGGACAAAGTGGGCTGACGCGGTAGGATACGATACAGCCAAGTACACCCTCTCGAGCTCCACCAGCCTAAAGAGAACAGGCAGTCCGAACAGTCTCTTTAGAGAAGGACTATTCTGGGGGGGGAAGGCTTACACAGAACAAGACGGATAACGTCTCCATCCTCATGAGAGTACAGTCTAATAAGAAATATGTCATAAATCAACGAAAAATGAACAAAAGTACCTTCCAGGGGAAAAAAGAGAGCTATTCGAGGAGAATCAGGGTGTAGGGAGGGCAGGTGAAGAAAAGGAACCCAGCCCGCGAGTCCTGAAAGGCCTCCCTCGGGGGACTGTGCACTGAGACCTGAGAGACGAGGGTGGGGGTTCCTCGGCTCAGCCACGTCCTGTTCTCTAACTGCAGGACAAAGGCTCCAGACTCCGGGAGAAAGTGGCACCTTTGGGAGCCCGAAAGGAGACCCGGGCAGGGGGAGTGAGCACAGCAGTCCCTGGGGCGGAGAGTGGCGCGCCAGGCTGCATTGGTTCTTACAGGCCCATGGCGAGGAGCTCCGTTTTCCCTTTTGTAGTTGTATTTCCAAATGCAATCAGAAACCTGGGAAGTTTCCCACAGCAAAGTTGTATCCCCTGATTTACAACATTTTAAAACACTTTAAAAAACACATGGCTGCTGCCTGGAGAATAAAGGGCAAGGGAGCGAGCCAGCGACAGCAGGGAGATCAGTCAGCAGACGAGAAGGCAGTGACCTGGGGCGCAGCAGAGAAACAGGACGTGCTGGCGGACTGGGCCTGCGCACGAGGGCCAGGGAACAGGCAGGAATAACTCACGGGCTGTTACAACACGCAAACGGGCAGTGGTGTTTGAGCTCATCGAGATGAAGAAACAACTCAGGCGGAAGAGATTAGGGGATGGGAAGGGCGGGAGGCTACGTGAAGTTCTAGTTTGGACACGTGACACGGAAGGTGTCCGAAGACAGCCGAAAGAGGGTCCCGTGGGCCACAGCACAGGAGTCTGGGAGGAGGCACTACAAGCTGAGGGAGCTGATGCGGTCCCTAGGGGTAGACCTCACACAGAGAAGATGGTAGGGACTGGGGGTTCTGCTACAACACTCACAAGGGAACGGAACGAGACACATCAGCAATGGTCACCAAAGGCCACCAGGAGTTGGCAGTCAGGGCACAGAGGCAATGGGGTGTCACAAATACCGAGAAAGGAAAGTTTCAAGGAAGGAGCGGCCAACTTAACAAGATGCTAACAGAGAAGCAGATTACAAATTGGGCAAAATGTAAGGCACTGGTAACTCTGACAAAGGTCTCCATGGAAACAGGGGTGGAAAGGCAGATTGGAACTGGTGGATAAATGAATGGAAGATGGTAAGAAAATGGAGACAATATACGTGAGTGACTTTTTTGAAGTCGCTGATTAAAAGGAGCAAAAATATAAGGCCAGAGGGGAATTGGGATAATTAAGAAAAAAATTCTACAGATAGGATAATAACAGAGCATGTTGGAGGCCAAAAAAACGCTTCCATAGAAAAGGCAACGAGGACGCAGGAGAAGGGGCAGAGTCCAGGAGACGCTGAGAGGGGTGGGAGGAGCGGGCACGCTCCGGCCCACACCGTGTCCCCTCCCAGCTGCGTGCACCTCAGATGAGTGGGTATGAGGCTGCAGCAGGAGAAGGCGACCCGCTGGGGGCGGGCCGAAGCTTCGGGGAGTCTGAGTCCCATGAGGGCGTGCAGCACGCAGCCGTGCTGGGAGCCTGCTCCAGCCCAGTGGGGAGCGCGCACTTCGCCACCACTCAGCGCTCAGCCATGGATGAAGAGAAGGCAAAGCACTAGGTGCAGTCAGAGATGGAGTTCTGCCAGGTGGGTTTTCACATCCCCCCACGTCCCTTTCCTTCGCCCCAGCAAAGGACAGAGGACATACAGGGGACATGATGGAAGAGCATAAACATTTACATCCGCAGCGGGGCAAGAAGGACGCTTTTCGTTTTCTCAACGGCCCGCCGTGCAAGCCAGGAGGGAAACCCTGGCTGGGGGAGCACATGACGCCCAGTCCACAGACGAACCTGCCCCCACACGCCGTTCTGGACTTAGAAGCCTCGGGAGGTTGGGAAACAAAGCAAAACAGTCAGTCCTCACTGTTCAAGTGCTGGGCTCTGGGATCGTGAAAGGCCTACTGCCAAACCAAACAGACACGTCCTCAGATGTTACATCGAACATCAAATCACTTTCCTCAACAGCAAAACTATCTGGGTAACAGGGAAATATTCCAACTGCCCATGGTTTAGTCAACCAAAACTCTCTTCATAACCCACCAGGTAAAAATGTCCTCACCTCCTTTGAAATGCATAGGCCAGGCGCCACGCGATGCTCAAACAGCGGTCAAGCGACCACGGCAGCATCTTCCCATTTCACGGGGCCAAATGACTGCAGTATCTAACACTTAATAAATATTGAAAGGGACTTGGCAATTTGAAATGTGGTGTTGAAATGTGTTGACTCCTTAATGAAAAAGAAATCTGGAGCTCCAACCGAGGCGCCTTACAGGATGCGTTGGACTGTGAGGGTGGGGGCGCAGTGGACGTGAACACAGGCCAGGGGTCTTCTGGCTCAGTTCTCCCGGGAACTGACAACTGATTAAAATCCTCAAGAATATTTCCAAGAATGCCACAGCTTAAAAAATTCTCATTTTGACCAATTTTACCTGCTTTGAAAAGCAAACTTTTAACTGATTCTGTCCCTACTTCCCAAACCCACCAAAATATTTTATTTTCCTGTAAGCTGAACACTATGTTCATTAGAGAATGAAGAGCCCGATTTTTTAGCTTATATATAAACTGTACACAAGTGTTAACAGTTATGTAACTGACTCTGGCTTTCATTCCCATAGAAACTGAAAATGAATGATTAAAAATGGGACATACTAATTAAAGAAGTGCCTAATTTCAAACAGCCCCCTCGCCTCCGCCATTGGGGTCTGGTGTCACGCTGTGGAGAAGCAGGAACGAATGGACAGCAGGGCAGCTGGGAATTTTCATGGGCTTTACTCGGGCTTGCCAGCTGTTCCTCTAGCTGCTAACATTTCTGGTTGTATGTCAAGTAAAATGTTTCCTTAGAAAAACCCAAGAAAAAAATGTGAAAAACACCTTACTGGCTATTATAATTACATGCTTACAGGTAAAATGCCAAGTACGCTACAGACACAGCTGCTGAAAATTACTGTTATAAACAGGACAATCCATAGTTTGCGGCAAAAAAAGTTGAACATGAGGAAGGAACTATAATACTGGGGGAAATAGTATTTTAACAGAATTTAGAAATTAATTGTTTTATTAGCATCAAGTACCAAAAAGTCAAAGATTTGTTCAATCAATCCTTTCTCTTATAAATATAGAAAAATAGTTCTTTGAGTGAACTATACCGTATACGTTGTTGACAAGTGACCATATCAAATGGACCACACAGAACCCATTAAAAGTGCTTCACGGGCCCTGGCCAGTGCGGCTCAGTGGACTGGGCACTGCCCTGCAAAACAAAGGGTCGCCGGTTCGATTCCCAGTCAGGGCACAGGCCTGGGTTGTGGGCCAGGTCCCCAGTAGGGGGTGCACAAGAAGCAACCACACATTGATCAGTTGCTTTTCTCCCTCTCTTTCTCCCCACCTTCCCCTTTCTCTAAAAATAAATAAAAATAAAAAGTCTTTTAAAAGAAGAGAAAAAAAGCGCTTCATTATTTGAGGAAAATGATAAAAAATATAAATGGAATGGAACCAATAATCAGGGCTATATTCTCACCATTACTTTCATATAGACTTAAACCAATTAAGTTTAGAAAGGTATTTGATCTGTTAAGGCCCATAAAAATAATCTCTAAGTGAAGTGCATTAAACTAAGTCAAGTGTAGCAAACTACCTGCTGGCCTCCCATCTTTAAAACCCTGTCTCACGTGAACGAAAGAGCTCTGCTGCTTGTTACAATCCACGCAGGTCAGTCCACCTGAATCTCACGTTTCTGTTATGTGTTCACTCACGACACGTCATTCAGATCCTCTGCCCTAGCGGGGATTAGCCGCTGTGACTTAGTATCTTCCCAAACAGCCCCAGGGGAAGTTTCCGTGACCAGAAACCGTCGGAGGACCCACAGCCCGCTGAAAGAGTAACGCCCTCACCAGACTGACGCTGTGCGTGCTGTCCAGACGCTGCGGCGGCCGGCCGGAGCTCCCGGTCCGGGGAGGGCTGCAGAGGCGGCGGTGGCGGGGGGCTCTCAGTTGCAGGTGCCGGGGAGGACGCGGGAGGCTGCAGAAGCTGCTCGGCCGGAGTGTCTATGTCCATCACAGCATCACCCACGTCCACACCAGTGCCCGACGGGACCGTGGGAAGGGTCGACACCTCTGGCGGACTTGTCCCACCTTGAGAAAGTAGCGTTAGTGCAAGCTCAAACACTAAATGTTTTCTGGGAACACGGGACACTCCCACACATGCCCACCTGCACACACACGTACACACACACAGGAGTATGTAACACACAGGCAGTCAGAAGCACCCACTGGTGGTTTGGTCTATTTGACTAAATAAGCTAATTAACAAGAGTAACATTCTTGTTAAAATAACTGATCTCTTAAGCAAAAAATGTTCGACGTGGCAGCTTTAGACAAAGCTAAATAGTATCTTGTGAGGTGCCTCTAAACACTGCCTAATCCCTTAAATTTAATGATGATTTTGCTGTAATAGCTAAATAGGATAACTGATTTATAGTGAGCTAGTTCCACTCTGTAACATTACGTGCTTTGTGAAATATTTAATGAGAATTTTATTAACAAGAATAAAACAACAAATAGGCCAGAATAGGATTAAGGTCCTCATTCCCATTTCATCAGCCATAATGTTTTAAGCACTGAACTAACATGATGCAGGCAGGATTTGAAAAGGCTTGAGGGTCCACTATGTACCACCCTAGGCTTTCTGCCATCTGCAAAGGAATAATTAATACTCCATAACAAACAAAAGGATAAACTGAACTTCACCAAAATTAAAAACTTTTTGCCCTGGCTGGCGTGGCTCAGTGGATTGAGTACCAGCCTGTGAACCACAGGGTTGCTGGTTTGATTCCCAGTCAGGACACATGCCTGGTTTCTGGGCCAGGTTTCCAGTAGGGGGCGTGTGAGAGGCAGCCACACATTGATGTTTCTCTCCCTCTCTTTCTCCCTCCCTTCCCCTGTCTCTAAAAATAAATAAGTAAAATGTTTTTTAAAAAAGTTAACTGATATGGACTTCCGCCAAGATGGAGGTTTAGGTGGATGTGCCGTGCCTCCTCACACAACCAAATTTAGGGACAACTAAATATTAGCATCAGAAAACACAACCAGAACACGGAAAACTGAACTTTTCGGAAGTCCGCTAACAACAAATTCTTCAGCCCGACCGGTAAGGGGCGAAACCGGCGTCGGGTGAGGAGTTACAAAGGAGGGCTCGGTCGACCCGGGCGCGGAATCTAGTCGCACGGGTTCCAAACCCAGGATTGGACCTAGTGAGCGACCGAGCAACCCACCGGGTGAGCGACTGCAGAGGAGACAGTGGGGAGGCGGTGCAGCGTGTTGACTGCGGTTGCCTAATTGCGCGCGAGCGAGGGAGTGGGCGGTTGGACCGGCCGCCCCGGCGGCGATAGAGGGCGCCGCCATTTCCCCGCTCTCACCACGCCCCCACATACAGCGTCACAACCCAGCAACCTGGGAGTCCAAGGCACCGCTTCTCCCACTTAAAGGGCCAGAACAGACCAAAAATGTCGCAGGGAGACCTCAAAGCCCCAGAGATAAATCTAAACGACGAAGAAATAGCAAAACTCTCAGACGCACAGTTTAAAACACTGATCATCAGCTTCCTCACAGATCTGGCTGACTATAGCCACAAATTAGAGAAACATATGAAGGCTAAATTAAGGGAAATGAATGGAATTCCACAGGAATCCCATAGAGATGAAAAGGAAACTGGGACTCAAATCAATGGAGTGGACCAGAAGAAACCAAATAATGGCCAAACAGAAAAGAGTCAAGGAGCAAGAATTCAAAGAAATGAGGAGAGTCTTAGGAACCTCCAGGACATCTTTAAATGCTCCAATATCCGAATTATAGGGGTACCAGAAGGGGGGAAAGACACAACCACCAGTGGAAAAACTATTTGAACAAATAATAAAAGAAAATTTCCCCAATCTGGCAAAGGAAATAGACTTCCAAGAAATCCAAGAAGCCCAGAGAGTACCAAAAAAGTTGGACTCAAGAAGAAACACACCAAGGCACATCATAATTACATTAGCCAAAATTAAAATGAAGGAGAGAATCCTAGAAGCAGCAAGAGCTAAGGGGACAATCACCTACAAAGGAGTCCCCATCAGGCTGTCAGCAGATTTCTCAAAAGAGACCTTACAGGCAAGAAGGGGCTGGAAAGAAATATTCCAAGTCATGAAATCTAAAGACCTACAACCAAGATTGCTCTACCCAGCAAAACTTCCATTTAGAATGGAAGGACAGATAAGGTGCTTCTCAGATAAGACCAAATTCAAGGAGTTCATCATCACCAAGCCCTTATTATATGAAATGTTAAAGGGTCTTATCGAAGAAAAAGAAGTTAAAGAAACATGAACAGTGAAAGGACAACAAACTCACAGTTATTAACAACCACACCTAAAATGAAAGCAAACTAAAAGGACAGCTAGATCAGGAGTGGAAACATAGAAATGAAGATCTCAAGGAGGGTTAGCAACAGGGGAGTGGGAGGAGGAGATGGGGGGAGAAGGTACAGAAAACAAGTAGCATAGACAGTAGATAGAAAATAGATGGGGGGGGGGGGGCAAGAATAGTATGGGAAATACAGAACCTAAAGGACTTGAGACACATGGACATAAACTAAAGGGGGGTAATGGTGGGGTTGGGGGGGCAGGGTGGAGGGGAATGAAGGGGGGAATAGAACAACTGTAACAGCATAATCAATTTAAAAAAATAAATTAATTAAAAAAAAAGTTAACTGATATGCATGAATTAACCAAACCCGTTTACTGATAAAATTCAATATAAATCTTGGGATTTAAAATACTTGAGTTAACTTCTATAGTCCTCACTTTTGACAGAGATAAGTAACTTGCCAAAGACCACAAGCTGGAAAGTAGTGAACGAGAAGTGAGAACAGGTCTGCTGACGTCAGAAACAGTAGCTGATGACCAGTGTTTCTTGTAAGAAACCAAAAGGAGAAGCCATTCAATTATATAAAACTCACTTACCTACAGAGTTTATGTATTTCTACTCTAAGAAAAAAGACTTTAAGTGGGGAGTATCAGATGCTCTTCTTTTGAGAAAAACAAAAAACAAGGGCTGGAACCAGGGGGCCCGACAGGACAAGCTGTACTGGCAACGGGCTCTGTCCTCGCCCACCTTGAGCGACAGTTAAGAGCCTTGCGTCACCGCAGACGGAGAGTGCGGTGGCCGACTCGGGCAGCCTCGCCAGCTTCCTGGCGCCTCTCCTGAGCGAGGACACGTACCTGTGGGCCGAGCCCTTCCTCGTCCTCTCCCACTCTGTGCGACCTCGCTTGCTTCTTCAAACCACCTCGACAACATGTCGGACATTCTCTGCATCAGCGACACATTGGGACTTTGCTCTCCTGCGACAACACGGGTCTTATCAGTGACCTAGTCATGAGTCAGCATCTTTCACTAACGCAAAACCCAGGTTTGAAAGAACTAAAAGGCTCGAATTGCCCAAAGGAAGCCTGAGAAGGTGCACAGGCCCAGCAGAGCCACCCCGCCCTCCGGAGTGCGTGCTCGAAGGAGAGGCGCTCCGTCCGCATCCTGCGTCCTCAGGAACAGGGCTCCCAGCTCCCCCACCACCGCCTATTCTCAGCAACCCCCCCACCGACCCCACCCCCTCCACCCCCCTCCCTCAGCTGTCGTCTGCCCTCCAGCATCCTTCCACTTTCAGTGGGAGTGTAAAGTAGTGCTTTTGGGGAGGGAAATTTGATAACTATCAAAATTAAAATGCACTATCCGGGGGCCACGCCAGCCCACCCCCGGGAATTTGCCCACAGACACACACGGGCACAAGCGTGCTGAGGGCTGCACGAGGCTGCTTGCTGCGGCCTCACTTACAGCAGTGAGAACAACGGAGACAAGTTCAAATACGGACTTGCAGACACCACGTAAAAATTAGAAAGCTGACCAAAGTGCAGTTACCGTCTCGCTCTCGCTCACTCTCCGGCCTCGCTCGGGGCCCAGTGTCGGACCAGTCGCCACGCAGTCTCAGCCGCTTCACTGGAGGCTGTCGTAACTGCAAGGTGAGCGGGAAACTTGTTTTCTCACCTTTCAAAGCTCACTTTAAGTCTAGCGGATTCTTTCCACCTCCCTACTCTCTGTGCCGGATGTAAGGGAGGTGTCGGATCAAAACAGGAAGAGCCGAGGGAATCTCGCAGAGGAAACCCACGGCCCTCGGGCAGGAGAAGTTCGCGGCTGGAACAGGGAGGACTAGAGGGCCGGGGAAGTCGGGGCGCTGGGGACGGAAGGTCTGGAAGCCACGATAAGGACCCCAGCTGGGCTCTGAGACAAGTGGGCGCCCCTCAGAGCGCTGATCAGAAGAGTGGCATGACCTGATGAGGGGGCGGTGGGTGTGCGGCAGCGGGGCTGGTTGGAAAGCCCCCACGATGACAGAGGAGAGAAACTCGGACACCTGGCCCCGGGGTCGAGGTGGCAGCCAGAGTGGGAGCAGAGTGCGGAGCGGGGTTTGCGGTTCAGAGGCGAACTGCAGGGACCAGGAAAAATGAGAGACGGGACAGGTGCCACCCCAGTAAATGCAATAAACGAGAGGGAGAGGAAAAAAGGGAAAGAAAAAGAATTTAAAAAAGGAAAATGAGAAGTAAAAAACAACTGAATAAGACGAAATAGTATACTAAATAAAAAGAAAAAAATAAATTATTAGAGGGTATAAGGACATAAAAAGAGGCCTCCGCAAATTAAGAAAACATAAAAATATACAGGAAACATAACAAAAAACCACATATATCACATATTGAACTTCTGTTCATACTTTAAACCCTGCTTAAGCTTTTCTCACGTTCCCAGTGAAACTCGATTACTCCTTCTTCTGGGCCACTGACATAGAACATAATTCTCACATATCATTCCCTTCAGTTTTACATGTTTACTTATCTGCCGCTCTACTGCCGCTAAACCGTGAACTCCTGTGTGAGAGGCCATGTGCCACCATGGCACCTGGGTTTTCTCAAGTTCAGTGTCAGACTCAGTGAACAGCAGGTGCCCAGTTGGGGCCCTGTGGTCAAGGGCTCAGCACAAAACACAGAAATAAATGCTGCGGATGAAGATGGAGACAGATTTTCAATTTCTTCCTCTACATACAGCTGATCTGGGTTGGGTTGAGTACAATAAGCATAATCAATTTTATCATTTTGATCCTTTTTCTGAATTACTTTTCTTAACTTAGTTTCTCCGACAAAGTGCTGAGAAACACACGCTCAGAAAACAGGCCCGAACCAGCGGTTCCAGGTCGGCTCCGCCTCACTCGCCGATGCACAGACTCACTAATAGGCCTTGGGCCAGAGGAAATAGTAGTACTCTATAAATATATTTTGGGATTTTAAATGTGGCAGCAGACTTAAGTGACTTAGTAAGTTGACAAGGAAGAGGGTTGGTAGCAGGGGAAAGCTCCGAGCATACCGGTCTGTCGCAGACCCGAGATCGGCTCTGGGGTCCGCGACCCGAGATCAGCTTGGGCTGATGCGTGACGCAGAAAAAAACTAAAAAAACAAAACAACCACCACCAAACCAGACCCGTTCGCCCCCCCCCCACCCCCCAAAAAAAACCCCCAAAAAAAAATAATTTCCCTTTTCCTCTACCTCCCGCAACCGGGGTGAAACCACAATGTGCTCACTAATAGGCCTTGGGCCAAAGCTAAAAACTCACTAATAATTAATGAGAAGCAATAGTTAATTTCAACAGTCACTTCACAAGCCAGAGTATAGTGACTAAACAAAGAGCAGTATAAAACAGAAAGGCCCAAGTGAAAAATGTGTCGGGAAGGCTTAGCAGGTGAAAGCAAACATTTTTTCTACCGCTGTGCATGTGTGGTCTCTAGTTTCCGCCTGTTGTAAAGAAGGAGACAGTTAACCCGATTCTGTCTGTGTGTGTACATACCTACAGATATGTACACTTGAACTTACCCTTCTCTCACTCACTCATCTATATTTTGTGACGGGTACCTGGAGACAATGTCACACGCTCCCAACTGTGAACGAGAGGTGGATGTGGGCGTGGCAGGTGAGGAGCCCCCACGTGAGGAGCGAATGGCAGCAGGTGAAGTGAACACAATCACTTCGTCTCCTACAAACCTGCACAGCCCACTTTCCACGGCTTTCATTGCCTTTTCCTTCTGCATCTGCTAGACATGTTGCTGCTGCGCAGCCCGAAGTCAGTGAGCCATCTTCCCATGAAATACTTTCTCTTTAAAAAGTCACAATATTTTCAGAGCCTTTTCTAATCATTAGCCCCTTTTCTTCCACGTATGTCTCCTGGCCTTGTTTCCTAAACTATAAATGTCCTAAAAATTAACTCTGTTTTTTAAAGCCCTTCAGGCCCAGAAGTCCCTGACGAGTGTTGGCTGAGCCCAACAGAGACGCCGGTTTGGAGCCAACGCACCTCCTCTCTCCTCTCTTCCGCGCAGGGCGCCCTGAGCTCCCGCGCGGTGTCGTCTCTGGGGTCGAACAGGTAAATGTAATCCGAAGAGTAGCTGACGAGGATCTCCTGGCCGTCCTCGCTGTAGCACAGGGACGTCACCCTGCAGGACTTGTTGTTAAGATGCGGGGGGAGAAAGCGGGCCACCATTCCGGCCGTCCCCCGGCCTGCGTAATTCCCTGAAGAAAACAGATTCACGTTTTTGAAGAAAAACATTTAAAAAAACTCTTAACTTGAACTAGGGAGATATGTGATTTAATGTAGCAATAAAAATCCAAGCTCTCATATTCTACAGGGTCCAGCACAAATAACACCACTTTTTTATTACAAAATCTTAAGCATGTAATTCTGTAACATAACTCTCACAGTCAAGCACACCATATGACATTCTAGATGAAATGTTCAAATTAAAACTATAAATTATTATACCCATATTATCCTACCAACCACCCTCAAGCAGGCCTTACTTTGGCCAGACCTTGTTCAAAGAGTTTCCTTTCCCAATAACCAGATTTTATAACAAAATTTTAGAAAATACAGTACAAGGGAACATACCTTTAAAAAAATTTATGACCGTCTGGAATTCCAGATTATATAAACATTTTATTGGAAAAGAGTTAATCAATTAATTTATTATTATAGTTACACTAAATCATCTTCCAAAAATTCTCAAATTAATAAAATTTTTATGATTGGAAACTAGTATTTATCAGCATACTAGATAAAATAATGCAGTATCTTTTGAAAGTGATTTACCTTTTACTTTATATTTTTAAAACATTTCTGACTATTGTGAAATGTTTCTCTTGTAAGAAAACAGAGGGGGAGCCCTGGCTGGTGTAGCTCAGTGGGTTGAGCGCGGGCCTGCGAACCACACGATCAAGGTTCGATTCCCAGCCAGGGCACATGCCTGGGTTACAGGCCAGTTCCCAGCAGGGGACTCACAAGAGGCAATCACACATTGATGTTTCTCTCCTCTCTCCTTCCCTTCCCCTCTAAATAAATAAATAAAATATTTTTAAAAAAGAAAAGAAAACCGAGGGGGGACACTATTCCAGCTTTAATGACTCGGGCAGTCGCCAAGGCGACTCTCGATGACAGAGGGGTACGAGGCACTTGGTGTGCTGGGGGCCAGGTGGCACTGAAGTCTAAGGGTCCAGGTCAGACACCAAGCGTACACACAATCCTGCACAACGAGGTCCTGCCCAAAATGTCAACTGCGCCCCGTCTGTTGAGGGACAATAATTAGCCTACAGTTTAATACTTTATTAATACGTTTTCCCATGTACATATCCGAACAGGTGCGACTCCACCATCAGCGTTCAGAAAAAAATAATCCCCCGGTATCCCCATTTCAGTCACCCTTTTAGTGGACATAAGCTGACGCTGAGACTGCCACTCTATCCATTTCTGGCCAAGTCTGCTTTACTTTTAACAGTAAAATGTATGTGACTGTAGAGATGCATGTACAGATGCTGATGTTGGCGGTGTGTGCGTGTGTAAGTTTCCCCGGCTTCCTGTACTGAGAAAACTCGACTGGAGGCTGCCTTTGAACGGGGACTTTTGGGAGGGGCTGGGCCCCACAGTGGGGGGCGGAGCTGGAGGCCGGGAGGTCAGGGCGGGCCCAGAGTCAGTGCCGCAGCCTCACTGCCTGCCCTTGAACTCGGCCTTGCAGACAGGAACACGGGCTACAAGCTAATACACCCCCGAGTCACCATTCTTAACTCTTCTCTCCTTGTACTGCTGTCACCCTCTTAATTTAAAAAAAAAATGGCAAAGAGAAATTAGGAAAGCCGAGTACTGCAGGCTGAGCAGCGCCCCCACTGCCATAAATTCATGTCCATCCAGGACCTCAGAGCATGTCCCTGTTAGGAAAGAAGGGCTCCGCTGATGAGGTCACTGTGGATTGGGGGGCCCTAAAGCCAACGGGACTGGTGTTCTCACAGGGAGAGGGAAACATTAACACATTCACAGGGGGAGGAGGGGTGAGTGCGAGTGTGGGAGCAGAGGCGGAAGGGAAACGTCTCAAAGCAGGGGAGCCTGGGGACCGCCAGCGGCACCACAGGCGGCAAGGCAGGAACCCAACCAGGCTCTCCCCGAGACCCTCGGCACAAAACCACCGCCCAGCCTCCACGCGGCCTCTGAGTCGGGAGGCAGTAAGCTCCGGTTCTTCCGAGCGGCCCTGTACGCATCCCTGGGGAACGAACACATTCCACCCTCGATCTCCGTGGGCTTCAAACCTGTGGATTCAGTCTCCCGTGGAGGGAAAACAGTACTTTCCACCCTCGGACAGCTGAATGTACGCACTGTTCTGCACCATTTTACAAGGGACTTAAGCATCTGGGGATCTGGGTACCCCAGGGGTCCGGGAACCATCCCCTGAGGATACTTCAGGGCGACTGTCATCAAGTGTTGTAACTTTTGAAAGTGATAAACTGCAAAAGAATCATCCTGATAGGATCATAAAACTTGCTAGTTTTTATAACACACATTATCTAAATCCATTCTACTTACTAAACTGTATAATAAACTCATGAAATTTTAAAATTGTGAACATCACCGTATTTATTTTATGGACAGACAGCATCTTGTGCTTCTTTCACACGTAGCTCTGTACCTGTAGCTCTTGTGCCCAGCATCCTCCGATCATATATTCGGACTGAGCTGTCAGAACAGCCCACGGCAAGATGATACGGTGCCGGCGGACAGATCGCCACGGAAGTGGCAGCCCGGCGGCAGTTAATTAAAATATCCTACGAGATAAACAACAGCAGTTTCAGAGAGTGTCCAGTACAGATGACACCACACTGAAAAACATCTCTTCGATGAGAAGAAGATAACCTTCGTCAGCAATCCCAATTCGGTCACTATGACCACGAAGGGGGAAACCATGGTTTTCTTTGATTTTTCAGATTTCCTTCTACTAGCACGTGTTTCTAACTTTCAGCTGATGTGCAAGTAAGATGAACACACGCACAGTCACTGTCCCTCCTCAGCAGTCTGTCATCCCAAGAAAAACACGGTCTTCTCCACAGTCGGCCACACAGTTCCAAAACGGACTTCTAATACAAACTGCATGCTTTCCTTACGAAACAAACAAAGAAACTATATATGGAAATATTAAATTTAATTAAAAGATTTTAGCTCTGGCTGGTGTAAGCTAAGTGAGTTGAGCGCTGGCCTGCAAACCAAAGGATCATGGTTTGATTCCCCGTCAGGGCACATGCCTGGGTTGCAGGCCAGTCCCCAGCAGGGGATGCACCAGAGAGGACCATACATTGATATTTCTCTCCCTCTCTCCTTCCCTTCCCCTCTAAAGATAAATAAAATTAAAAAAATATATAAGTTAAAAAAAATTTTAAAACCACCAATAATTGAGCAATGCAAAATACATTCTGAAAAGGGAAAAAATAAAAACTGGTCCCAGATTTAAGACTCAAACGGCAGCTAAATCAAGAGCAGCTACAAAAAAGGCCAGTGATAATTCAAGAAACTCATTATTCATATTACCACAGTTTAAACCCTTTTTTTGAAACTGGCTGCATTTCAAATAATGACATAATACGACTTGAATTACTCCTCAGAAACGCCTCCTTATCCTCATACACACGAAGAGCGAACACCTTTAAAACCGTGAAACACTCACACATGTAACATGTGAGTCGTTCACCACATTACAACACCTGCTGCTTTCGGTCCACTGGGCAGTAGACAGAGGCCCAATCTACCTCGGTCCATGGTAAGTGGTCATTTATGTGGTACTCGCAACATTTCAGTTAGAGCTGTTGCTACTAATATAAAAAAAGTTCTTAGCTGATTTGAAACTTTTACACTTTTCTTCACTTGTAAAATCTTTCTCCCCACCAGTTTAAAAACAAGAGGACACGCACACCCAGGAACCCGTAGAAGGCGGGTTCACCGCAGTGTCCCCACTCACACCTTTCCAGAGGCATCGGGAAATGTAAGAGCTATGACTCTGAACATATATACCTAAGGCATTCTGTTCATTTGATACTATTTTACCTGTGACTCAGCTCCTCACTCTTAGGTTTTATTAGCTTAATTACTGACTTAGAACATTATCCCTAATACATGGAACTGGTTGCCCAAATGCCCTTCATAATTCTGTTTCAGTGCTTAAGGACCGCTGTAGTTGCCAGTTTTCTTCATACTTTACCTCTCTTCTCCACTTTTACAAATAAGGAAGTTTTATTAAAGAAAATTTTTAGGATTTCATTTTTGTTTATTTTTAGAGAGGGGATGGGAGGGAGAATGAGAGGCAGAGCAACATCAATGTGTAGCTTGTCTCTTGCGCACCCCCTACTGGGGACCTGGCACGCAACCCAGGCATGGACCCTGACTGAGAATCGAACCACTGACCCTTTGGTTCACAGGCCACTGCTCAATCCACTGAGCCACACCAGCCGGGGCTGAAATTTTAACAGTATTTTCACTTATTAGCCTTGCTCTTAACTTTTTTTTTTACTGGGTGTTCTGTTATAAAGCACAATTAAATCCTACCACATTGCACACTAAAACACTGCGTATGAGAATTTGGCATAACGGATTTTAGTACCTCCCACCTCCTAAGAAACGGGCACACCACACACCCCTATACGCAGCCTGAGAGTTGAACCTTACTCTGCCTTTTACTTAATGGGACGCTTTCCTGGCTGTATGTGTGTGTGTGTGTGAACATACATAACATAAAAACTGACTGAACAATCGTACATTTAGAAATGTAATTTCTGTTCTTTTTTTTCTTTCAACATAGAAAATAATCTCCCCGAAGAATGTTGATAGCAACATTATTAGCAAGCACTTCACCTCATTACTTTCAGTACAAAATATATTTGGGAGTGCTTTCCTATTTCACTTCACACTTCAGAATGATCTGAGGAAAAGCCACACTCTTTAAACAACACCTGGGGTTGGCTGTCTCGGGCCACTGTATGATTGCTCAGGTTTCTTCGGGCTTCAAACAATATTAAAATACAAAATTGGTAGTGAAACTATGTCTTTAGAGAAGTGAACTGAGTGATACACACTTGTAGAATGGTATCTTACTACTTTTTTTTAAAAGATAACACAATTGTTCATTTAAAAGTGAGGGTTAAATCAAAAGAAAAATATTAAACTTTCATTATGGCTATTGGCAAGCCAAAATTATCTCCATAAGTAAATGAGATACACTGATAAATTCTTTAATTCGTTATAATGCCAGAGCATATTCTGAATAACTATATATATATATTTTCATTTATATATTTGAAATGTACAATTAAAATATAAGTTTCCTAACTTCACTATTAACATTTTAATTTTTAAAATTTGACTATAAAAACACCTGTATTTGCTATTGAAGATTTTAGCAAAACAAAGATGGTAAAATTGATCTATAATCTTATAATCCAGAGATAATGTACTGTTATCATTTTAATTATGATCTTAAATACTTTGCACCATTTACACGGAAAAATGACTCTTACATCTTTGCAGTCTTCTTTCACGCAGCTGGTTTTGATGCGCGTGTCGAACCACCTGACAGTCCCGTCCTCGCCACAGGAGAGGAAGGTGTGTGGGTCGCTGGGCACAGTCATAATCTGGCAGCGAGAACAAAGCGCAGACACGGTCACCGACCACTCAGGGAGGGGCTGCGAGAGGCGCGGCCACTGTTTCAGAAACGGAGGACGGAGAAGGCAGCGAAGAGCCACTCGTTTTAGTTCTGTATGAACCACCCAAACCGCAACTCAAAGCAGTGCGATGCACACAGAATATGCAAGATGCAACTGCTGTATTAATAGGATTCATTACTTTGAAGTTTGAAATGAATGTTCCTGCCGATAGAAGGTTCTTTAAAACTGAAAACTTCTAACAACTTTGATAAGAAAAATTCTCTTCTCAAAAACTTAAATTAGTCAAAGCCTAATTTTTATTTTCTGGATGTAAGTTTACACTTATAAAAACATTATAATTTTTTTCTTCTATGATAATGTTTAAGAAAAGTCTAAGATGATGAATTGATTAAAATACTTAAACTGACCTCTCAAAAATTCTGACCAAATTTTATGATTAAGATACTCAACAAACTGGGAACAGGAGGAAATCACCTCAACAGAATACAGGCCATATTTTGGCCTAACACCACAGGACCAACGCCACAACCCACGGGTGAAACACGCAGCTCCCCTCTAAGATCAGGAACAAGACAAGGATGCCCACGCACATCACTTCTATTCAATGCGGTACTGAGCACTCTGGCTGGAGCAATCAGGCAAGAAAAAAGAAATAAAAGTCATAGAAATTGGAAAAGAAGAAGCAAAATGACCTCTGATTGAAGATGACATGATAATATGCAGAAAAATGTAAGGATTCCACAAAAAACCCATTAACACAAACGAATACAACAAAATTTCAGGTTAACAAATAAACACAAAAGTCACTTGTATTTTTCCTATGTACTTACAATAAGCAATCTGAAAAGGCAATTAAGCAAACAATTACAATAGTAGCAAAAAAAATAAAACACTTAGGATAAACTTATTCAAAGAGATGAAAGACCTATACACAGAAAACTACAAAACACCGCTGAGAGAAAGCAGACACAAATGAAAAGACATCTCTATTGGTGAAATGGAAGACTTGATGTTGTTGAAATGTCCGTACCACTCAAGGTGATCGAGGAGAGTGTGTGTGTGTACAGAAAGATATCAGTGTGATCTCAGTTTAATGTAATTTCTATCAAAATCCCAGTGGCATTTTTTTCTTTCCTGAATCAGAGAAAATCTTAACACTCATATGAAATCATGGAGGACACAAAATAGCAGATACAACCTGGACAAAGAAAAACAAAGCTGGAGGCCTCACACATGCTGATTTCAAAGCACGTGACAAAGCCACTGTCTTTAAAACACTGTGGCACCGGTATGAAGACAGACACACAGACCACTGGAAGGGACTCACTTCAGAAGAGACAGTGACAAAGAGTTGCAGAGGGAAAAACCCAGGGGAGAGCCCCAAGGCACAACCCAGGAGCATCTGTAAAAGGCTGACATTTATGCTTAGAGTGCAGTTACAAACTCATAATAATGAGTATTAATACTCACTTCTTATTTCTTAATTGTATCCACAAGCTTATCAAAATGCGTTTTCTCAAATACTTGACAGAAATCTAGATATTCTGCCAATAGTTTCTTTGCCTACACATGCATGAATGTGTATGCATACGCATACACAAATCTACACATATGAATGTACACGTGTGTACACACCCACTTCACACAAAAACACAGGCGTGTGTGCCACCGCAGCGCCGCACCTCGTAGGTAGTCCCGTAATGGCACGTGAATTGGCACTGTCTGTTGGTCTCCGCATCTTGCTCCACGTTGGTGAAGAATATCACACCGTCCCCAGAGCAAGACACGATCTGCTTGTCATTTGTGCATGGCAAGAACTTCGCGCTGAAGATATTGGCTCGGTGCCCGGAACGAATTGTTGTCAGAACCTGAAACATACAGAAAAGAGAAAGTAGCTCTTGGTAATTTATTATTTCCTAGAAAGAAACATTCACATTTAACATAATCATGGCCAGGAACATATTCTCATTAGCATTCTCATCTCGATGAAAATTATCATTTGATTCTACACAATTATAATTAGGGAAAAAAGAAATCAGAATCAATCATATTTTCTTTTTTTCCCTCTGAGATATGACGATAACTCCTCATCACCAAGGCAGTCATTTGTTACTTTTAGGGTTATTTCAGAACTACCTAATCAGGCATTTTGCAGTTGTCTTCAGTGGGAAGACTGGTGCAAATTAACTAGCCCATAGTTTTTGGAAAATGAAACTTCTCCTTTTTATATATTTGAGATTAATGATACATGATTAAGACAGACCCTTAATAAGAAACATCTCTAATCTCTTAAATCTACACGGAGTGCTCTGAAACTCTCACTTGCAATAAACTAATCTTCTCATGAACTCACAGGATCTAAAATAGAGTGAAACTATAAGAACAGATTTGACTCAGGATCAAAAAACTATTTTCCTGTATAATGAATCATAGTGTTTTACAATTAAAAAATATTCTCAGAGACTTCCGCCAAGATGGAGGCATAGGTGGATGTGCCGCACCTTCTCACACAACCAAGTTTAGAGACAACTAAATATTAGCAACAGAAAACACAGCCAGAACACAGAAAATTGAACTTTTCGGAAGTCCATTAACAACAAATTCTTCAGCCTGACCGGTAAGGGGCGAAACCAGCGGCTGGTGAAGCGGGATTGCACAGGAGGTCTCGGTCAGCCGGACTCAGGCGCGGAATCCAGACGCGCTGGAATCCAGGCGCAGGGTTGGACCTAGTGAGCGACTGAGAGAGCCACCAGGCGAGCCGAGGGAGCCACCAGGCGGCGACCGGGGAGACAGCGGGGGATGGGTGCTGCGTGTTGACTGTGGTCGCGCATTTGTGTGCGGGCGGACAGGCGAGGGAGTGGGCGGTTGGACTGGGCCTGGTGCACGGCAAGTGGCAGTGGAGGGTGCCGCCATTTCCCCGCTCTGACCCCCACCTCCACGTACAGCGTCATAACCCAGCGACTCTGAGTAGCCCGGCCCAGGTGAACCACCTAAGACACTAATCCTCACACAGCTGTGAGAAACAGCAGAGGGGGTCGCCATTTCCCCGCTCTGACCACGCCCCCACATACAGCGTCACAACCCAGCGACCTGGGAGTCCAAGGCACCGCCTCTCACACTTAAAGGGCCAGAATAGACCAAAAATGTTGCAAGATCTCAAAGCCCCAGAGCCCATAGATCTAAGCGATGAAGAAATAGCAAAACTCTCAGACGCACAGTTTAAAACACTGATCATCAGGATCCTCACAGAACTGGTTGATTATAGCCACAAATTAGACAAATATATGAAGGCGAAACTAATTGAAATGAATGGAATTGCACAGGACACCAATAGCAATGAAAAGGAAACTGGGACTCAAATCAATGGAGTGGACCAGAAGAAAGCAAATAATGGCCAAACAGAAAAGAGTCAAGAAGCAAGAATTCAAAGAAATGAGGAGAGTCTTAGGAACCTCCAGGACATCTTTAAACGCTCCAACATCCGAATTATAGGGGTACCAGAAGGGGGAAAGGCACAGCCACCAGTGGAAAACTTATTTGAACAAATAATAAAGGAGAATTTCCCCAAGCTGGCAAAGGAAATAGACTTCCAGGAAATCCAGGAAGCTCAGAGAGTCCCAAAGAAGTTGGACCCAAGAATGAACATGCCAAGGCACATCATCATTACATTAGCCAAAATTAAAATGAAGGAGAGAATCCTAGAAGCAGCAAGAGCTAAGGGGACAGTCATCTACAAAGGAGTCCCCATCAGACTGTCAGCAGATTTCTCAAAAGAGACCTTACAGGCAAGAAGGGGCTGGAAAGAGGTATTCCAAGTCATGAAATCCAAAGACCTACAACCAAGATTGCTCTATCCAGCAAAACTTTCATTTAGAATGGAAGGGCAGATAAAGTGCTTCTCAGATAAGACCAAATTCAAGGAGTTCATCATCGCCAAGCCCTTATTATATGAAATGTTAAAGGGACTTATCTAAGAAAAAGAAGTTAAAGAAACATGAACAGTGAAAGGACAGCAAACTCACAGTTATTAACAACCACACCTAAAACGAAAGCAAACTAAAAGGACAGCAAGATCAGGAGTGGAAACATAGAAATGAAGATCTCAAGGAGGGTTAGCAACAGGGGAGTGGGAGGAGGAGAAGGGGGGAGAAGGTACAGAAAATAAGTAGCATAGACAGTAGATAGAAAATAGATGGGGGGGGGGGCAAGAATAGCATGGAAAATATAGAATCTAAAGGAATTGAGACACATGGTCATAAACTAAAGGGGGGGTAATGGTGGGGATGGGGGGGTAGGGTGGAGGAGAATGAAGGGGGGAATAGAACAACTGTAACAGCATAATCAATAAAAAAATTTAAAAAAAAATAGATACACTGACAATCACCCAGATTTAAAAAAAAAAAATTCTCAAACTGGAAATGAGGATGGGTAATGATTAATTGCTTTTTGGATACACAAAATCTACTGGGGAGCATGTATAAAGCAAACATCATTTTTTAAAAATAAGCAATTAAAGGAGAAACATGGTCTTTCAAAAATTACGCCATTGGGCATTTTCACAAAAGAACTGAAAGGAAGGCTTTGGAGAGACATCTGCACGGCTGCACTCCTGGTGACAGCACTCACAAGGGACAGGAAGCAGAAGCAGCCCCAGGGTGCACGCCAGACGAAAGGGCACACAAAACGGGGCACACGAGGAATGTCAGTCAACTTTCGAAAGGGAGGATATCCTGACCCACGCCACAACATGGATGAGCCCTGAGAACACGCTGAGGGGTGCGAGCCAGTCACAACAGCACAAATGCTGTACACACTCACACTTGGAGGAAGTTCATCAACATCAACCCATGGCCGACAGCACCAGCTGTCATACCTAGAACTAGACACAGCTCTCAGTGGTCAGTTTCTCAGAGACAGAGGTAGAGTGGTGGCTGTCAGGGCTGCAGGGAGCAGGGAGGGGGACCCCTGTTCAGTGGGCGGGGCTTTGACTCTGCAAGGTGAGACAAGCTCTGGCCAGAGGGCAGTGACCGCAGGACTACAGGGTGAGTGTGTATGTAACATTACCGAACTGAACTTCCAAACACGGCCGCGATGATTACTTTTATGTTATGTACATTTCATCGCCACGCTTTAAGAAAACCATAGAGCTCTGCATCTTTTAAAATAATTCTGTTGGTACCCAGATGAATGCTTTGTATATTATGAGCATTAAAATTCTTACAGGGAAATCAAAAGGCATTTCCACACATACGGTATTTCAGGAAATTTCTCCACTGTCAGAAGGCTGTCCTAGTAATTACAGACCTAAGAGAAGCAGAATTTGAAAACATCGAGTTTCTCTCTGCTAAGTCAGGACAATTAAGTAAAGCTGTGTGTGAAATAAAATTATGACCTATCTTTTAATCAAGGGCAGCCTCAACATGACCTCCTTTTAGGCTGAAAGACCACAAACATTTATTTAAAAATCTTAACTGTTTGTAGAAATATGAGAAACACGTGAACTGTCCATTCTGTAAGACTGCTAGTAGTAAATCCGACTGCCCATCTACCATGTTCTCACTGATATAAAAACAGCAGCCCACTTCTGTATAGGAAGTCAGAGGAAGGGCCAATAAAAACCAAAACACAATCCTAATTAAAACTTGGCACAATATGATACCCAGCTTGTTGAACTGAATGCCATGAGGCATCACTAGTACCGGGCCCCTGACAAAATCTAGTTTTTTAAACTGCTTAGTTTAAGATTAAATTCTGTGAGCATAAAAGGAAAAAAAAAAATCACATCGTCTTCCCCCACCCCGAAGAATGCTCTTTTCAGATAATGTCATTCCTGGCCATTTTACCCACTTGGATAACAGGAAGCAGGCTTAAATACTCCAGAGTCAAAAGGCCACGAGAGACCCGACATGTTCCCACAGAAGGCAGGGAACCCGACTGGGACATCTTCCAAACAGCGTGACAGACTTTGCAAGGTAAGAGCATGCTTCACAAATGTCCATTCTATGGTTACTTACAATTTCTTGATTTCTCTTTCTCGTTAAGTCACAGATTTTTTAAACCACTAACCTTTCTGCTGTACGGATTACTAATTACTAACTTGGTGTCATCTGAGCCGGATAAAATATATTCTCCAGTTTCATTCCAACAGATTGTATTAACCTAAAAAAAGAAAAGAAAAAGGAAATTTCAGCAAATTGAATATGAAAACAGGTGTGCATCTTTTACTTAACTGATGGTTCAATTTTTATCCCACTAATGAGGTTATGTCTATGGTAAACAGTATTTACCAGTTTACTTATCAAAAGTACATACTGACCACCATTTAGCAAACACAATGTTCTGAAAATTCACAATAAAATGTCTGTCTCCCTTAAATTTTATTATTTAAATTTATTTAATTAATTTCTTTTCTAAGCAGAGACACAGCACCAGGCCCCCTAGAAAGGACTCGGGGAAACTCCCGGCACAGCCCCAGGGTCGAGGCTGCACTGTCCCCACGGTCATGGGCGCGCCCATCAACGAAAGGGCTTGAGGGTTCAGAAGCAGACCTGCGCATTAACGTGAGGACTTTCCGTCAAGGGGCCTAAGACCTCTCAATGGAGAAAGAACAGTCTTTTCAACAAACGGTGCTGGAACAACTGGATTATGTACAAGCAACAGAATGAATTTGGACCCGTTTCACACCACATATAAAAATTAACTGAAAACAATCAAATATCTAGAGCCTACACTCTGAAACTCTTAGAAGAAAACACGGGTGTAAATCTTCATGAAAACTAAAACCACAATGAAGCACTACTTCACACCTACTAGGACGGCTATAATGATTTTAAAAAAGAAAAAGAAAAAAACAAGAGTTAGGAGCATGTCGCATCAAGACACTGGAGCCCCCTGCACCGCTGGGAGGGGCTCCAGACACTGCAGCTCTCGGAAAGCAGCCCTGTGACGCCTCAAACACTGACACAGCGACGCTGTGTCCCAGTCACTCCGCCGCAAGGCCAGTGCCCAAGACACGTCACACAGAAACCTGTACACAAACGCCCACAGCTGCATGATCCATAACAGCCAAAAGGGAAACCACCCCAAACATCATACACAAAATGTGACTGCCTGTTTGCTCTTAAAAAAATACCCACACGACAAAACATCCTTCAGCCACATGAAGTAGTGACACGCTGCAACATGGACGAACCTAGAAAACATTAATGAAATGAAGCAGCCATTCGGAAAGGCCGCAAGTTCTCCTGGGTATCTGCGGGGTCCAGACGAGGCCTATCTACAGAGACAGAGGTGCAGCAGCGGCAGCCAGCAGCCGGTGCGGGTGGGGGGGGCGGGGGGGCGCAGAGGGGGGGCCGTGACTGATAAGCAGTGCACATGCTGCTGCTGCAGACGCTGGAGACACACGGGAACCAGGTGGGGGTGTCGCCGGCCCCAGCATGACTGTATTTTAAAGACCCCAAGTTACAGGGAGCTAAACCGTGACAGAGGAAGCTTGACTTGGGGCGGTGAACACACAATACAGTGTACAGTTGTGTATTATAGCGCTGTATCCCTGAAACCTACATATTTTATTCACTAATGTCATCCCCAATGACTTCAATAAAAATAAATAATAATAACATTAAAGAAACACTGAATTGCAAGTTAAATGGGTGAGTTTTACAGTATGGTAGCTATATCTAAATTAAAGAATCAGAATTCCGCTTTCAGTCAAGATGGAGCAACACGGACAAACTGTACTTAAAAAAACCACACTTCTAAATTCAAAATTACTGTAATATCTCAATGCAAAAGTGGATTCTCCCATTTACTGCAGTCCGGCACAGTCCGTTCAGGGGCCTGGGGCACGTCCTCAAACATCGGGACCCTGGGCTTAAAGTCCTTCGTGGTGGAAAATTAACTCCTACTTACACAGCCATCGTGCACATTCAGGGTTGCTTCAAGTTTTAATCTTTGGATAAATTCTCTTCTTCCTGTTTAAAAAGAGGGAGAGAACTAAGTGAATCCTACCTTTTATTGCCGAGGGAAGTACAACACTGAGCTCAAGAGCCTTCGCTCTGGCGTCGGTAGGTTCAAGCTCTAACTGCAGCTCCTCCACTCACTGGCCCAGTGACACTGGACAGGTCAGGCCCGCCCTGCGCTCAGGCCTGCTCACCGAGTCCCCACCCACCTCCCAAGGCTGCTGCACAAAGTGCATGATTCCAGGACAGAGAGGACTCGGCGCAGTGTCTGGACCACAGCGAAGATCAAGAGCTCCCTTCCTTCACCCATGCACCCCGCAAACACACTGAGGGCTCACCGGGCTCCCAGCGGTGCTCTAGCAGCGGGGGATACAGTGGTGAGACAGGCGCAGCTCCGTGGCTGGTGGGGGACAAAAGACAAGAAACGATGCTGCACCTGGCAAAGGTGCCACAAGGAAAAAGAAAGCAGCAAAAGGGGTAGGACAGGCCCGGAGCAGAGCACAGGGTTTTCAGTCCCACACGGGGCAGGGAACAGCAGTTAGACACCACCTACACTTACACACACCCCTACTTCAGAAGTGTGAAAATACTTCCACGCCCATTTCACAATGATGAAGTGTGGCAGCAAAAAGTAAATAAAATCAACCCAGCTGTCCATCGGTATCAGGACAATTATAATACTACAGAAACAGACATGTTCTTTCTTTGAAAATGAGGAATGTTTCCCTTTAAGAAATGAATCATCTTTACCAGAGGAGGACCAAAAAGCTTCATGTTTATTCAGAAGCTGTAATGAAAGGAAGCGGAATAATGACAAAGGGCAACAATTAGCCAAGTAATCAAGCTGATGAGGGCTCGAATACAGTCACTCTGCCTGTGTTCTCTGCCTCCCGTGCAGGGACACACTTCTCCGTTGTGATTTCTTGCCATTCCACGTGAGGATCATTATCTTTTTAAGCCAAATTGGTTTTTTTTTTTCCACCTTGCTTATAAATGTCAAGATGGCTAGGTACAGGATGAGCATAGGGGTTAAAAAATAATTTTATTTGGGGGGAGGGAATGCTCTGTGGTCCCAAAACTTATTGGAATAAAACGATTTACAGAGACTCAGTCAAGTATTTCTACAAACTACGTTGTACTCTAACTCTTCAAATCTTTCAGTTCTAAAAAGATGCTAATAGTAAATAGATACATTTTTTAAATCTTTTCCCTTTGAACAATGACAGGCTTGGCAAGTCTACTGAGTAACAAATTAACAGTTAAGAAATAAAGCAGTCAAATTAACGACACGGTAACAATTCATTAAAATGCTTTTTTAAAAGTACTGGAAATTTTTCCAAGCTTTAAAAGTCTGGTTTTTAAAACATAGCTCTAGCCACTGCTGTCTACAGGAAGCCGCAGTGGCACGTGAAAGGACAATAGCTAACTAAATACATGGCTCCTGAGTGATGTTTTGAACGTGACTTTGGAGATCAAAACTGTTAGACGTCCACACAGCCCCTAAAACGTGATTCGGATCTAAGGAGCGTCAGCACCCTCCACCCTTTTAGTGGTAGTGAGTGCGCTATCAAGAACGGGAGCTGAAAGCCCCCAGAAAACGAGAACTGTAAGTTTAAACACCCGACCCCCCCAAATCAAAGTAAAAATAAACCCACGTCCATTACAGAAGGCTGCAGAGCCGGCCCACTGGCGAGCTAACAAGCGACCCGCCATTTCACGGGAGCTGGCAGAAGACTCAGGACTCCCAAGTCAGAAGAAGCAAAGCACTTCACCACTCAGGGCACTGCCAGAGGTGTGGGCTTCAGGTTCACAGGGGTTCCCCCCGGCCCCCAACTCCCACTGGGCAACGTGGAGCGACCTGGGAACGACACTGTGCAAGCAGTGGGTCTGATCACAGAGGGGACCCAAAAGTTACAGCCAGCAGCAGACCCGCCTGACATAATAGACACATTATCTTCATTACAGTGGACAATAAATAAACGTGCCTTCTGCCCCAGAGGGAGATGCCGTATCTCCCAAGGCTGTTCACCACAGAAACATTCTTGGAAAGACAGCCAGAGCAAAGCAGCCAGCGCCTCTGCCCAGGAGATACCAGAAACGTCGAGAGCCACGGAGAACCCTCCTCACAACGACGCTCTTGTTGTGTTAGGGATGAACGCGCCCCTGCCGGGGCTGGCTGCTCAAGTCTTCCTGCCCCCACATTCCGTTCGGCAGTAAGAGACTGCAGGCTCCATAAAGAGGGGAACGCCCTCTCTTCGCCCGGGTACCCCAAGTGCCTAGCACAGAGCGGGCGCTCGGTCTGCATTTGCTGAATCAGCGTATGAACAAGGGGGACCCGAGCCTGCACTCTGTTCTGTGTTCCACTCAGTCCTGCGCACACCCAGCTCCCTGATCAGACCAGGAGACACTGGACAGAAAAGGTCAGAGGCGGGTTTAAACGTCTAACTTGGGCAACACTACGCACACGCTGGGGCAAGACTCGACCTCCCGGAACCTATTTCCACACCGGCGAGAGTTCCACATTTGATGGGAACAACGCCATCACCTCTGCAGGCTGGCTGTCGAGAGGAAGTAAGTGGCCCATGCACAACTCATGGACCTGCCCGGCATGCTGCTGTCTCCCCACGGACCTGTAGGACGGGCCGAACTTAACACTGTCAGAAAAGAGAGCGAGACAGCGGTTTGTTAAAGGAGTGGAGGTCGCTTCAGCCAGTGAAGAGAGAGCAAGGCGAGTGCCACAGAGAAGCAGGCACCGCCACAGAAACGCTCCTTTTCTGGATGCTGTCGTCCCTCCAAGCTACTTCTCAAGGCCAAGTCTCTCCGCACCTACACTCGCTGCCCTCCCCAGGTCACAGTCAGGTCCCCCTTTCCCTGCATGGTCCTTTAGGTCCCCTCGTCTTCATCTGTTTGGCTCTCGGAAGTCACAGGTTATCAGTGACTCTAGGGGTCTCCCTCAAGACTCGCTTCTCGGGACCTCCGAGTCTCATCTGTCACTGCTGATGGCTGTCTGCCTGAAGTGTCTTCTGCAGAACACCCCCCACCCCCAGCATCTCACCACACAACCAGAACTGAAAACCAAAGGGCGACAAAACCCCAGGGAGACAGAACACAGACAAACGTGGGGAGCAGGACCAAGTGCGTTTAAGATCTGTGCGCTGAAAAACATGAAGGTATAACCCACTGCTGAGGGGAATGGAAGGACACCTAAAAAGGAGAAAGAAAAGCCGCCTCCGCGGCCTGGAAGAGCTACGACTGTGAGGCCGCCAGTCCCCCTGAAATAACGTGCAGGGTCATCGCAGTGCCAGCCAAGAGCCCGAGAGTCTTCCGTGCAGGAACTGGCAAGTTGATTCTAAACTTTATATGAAAATGCAAAGGACCCAGAATAGCCAAAACAAAAATTTTTTTTTGAGAACCAAGTTCAAAATCTCACCCTAGCTGATTTCAGTACTCACGACGCAGACTGGGCCTACCGTCAGGAAGACAGAGCTGAAACCAGTGGCACGTGGCAGAGAATCTGAGCTCCACAACCATGGTCAATTCCTTCCCGCAAAGGGAAAGGACAGTCCTTTGGGAAATGGTGCTGGGCCAATGCACAGTCACAGGCCGAGAAGTGAAACTTGACCCCTCACCTAACAGCATAATTAACTCAAAATTGTTCACAGATCTAAATGTAAGAGTTAAAAACACAAAGCATCTAGAAAAAAAATGCACAGTGGAAATCACTGTGACCTTGGATTAGGGGAAGATTCTTAACCAGGACACCAAAAGTAAGCACCACAAAAGACCCTGTTGAGAAAAATAAAGAACAAGACAAACTGGGCGAACATACTTGCAAAACGCCTGTCTGATTAAGGACTTGTATCAAGAATAGGTAAAGAATTCTTATAATATTAAGAAGGTAAATGTGAACATTTAACCAAAGTGTAGGGATGGCAAATAAGCCACGAAAATCGGGAGGATTAAATCAAATGCAAAGTAAAACAATAACGTACCCCTCCATCCCTAGCAGGAGGGCTAAAATTAGGAGGGCTCGGGAGGCCCAGCGCTGCCCAGAATGTGGACCTGGACGCTCGGCACTGCTGGCGGTCTCTAGTGGAGATACACTCGCTCGTCCAACGCGGGCACTCACCCGAGAAAGGAGGTTGAAAGTGTCCTACTCCAAGCTATAGTTTCCAACATGTAAATGAAAAGTCTCATTATTTATATCTTCCGGATTAGCCATCAGCAGTGTTTAAAAAATTTTTTTAATCTGCTGTAAGTACTCGGGAACCCAAGCCACTCTAACCTTGAAGTCAGTAACATTCAATTACAATTATTAAAAAAATATACACCACCTAGTAGAGTTTTGCAAACCTCAAGCTGAGACTCACTAGTGGTCATCCTACTGGATCAACACCAACATTTTCAACATGATCATAAACGGAAAGGAGGACACACCCCACCTAGTAAGACTAAACCACATTTGCAGAACCTTGTATTTTAGCCGTGGGTCACAAGTCACCACATGCCTGTACTTTTACTGTGGACTCTGGTCACAGCATTTCCGAAACACCGACCTAACGCTAAGAGTGCTACGAGCCCTGTGCCACCGGAAGCTCTCACCCCTCCTAGGCACGTCCATCCTGCGCCAGGGAGGAACTAGATCCTCCGCAGGGCGATCCTGTCCGGTGGGCTGCACTTTGATTGACAATATTGCCTTCGGTGGTCTTATTTTCAGGAATCAGCATATTCTATTTTAAATGGTTTTCACATTTGACATCACCACTACTAAAATCAGACATGTTTCAATTTTCACTGAGATTTCAAAACTCAAGAAACAAAACACAAATTTCCACTCACTCTTCCCAAATAGCTAACATGAAGGCAAAAGTCAGAATTTACTGACCCTCATAATATAGTACAACTTGGCAATACATTATAAATTTGGTAAATCTGCATGTAGGTGGAACCCAGGACATGCCAAAAAGAGAGATCTAAACACGAAATCAATTTCAGTACACACTGACCTGAATAATGTTCAGACACTGTCTCTCTAATCCCCTCACAGGAAAGATTCCAGTAGCCACCAGGAGCTGTCCCGGGCTACCTGCTCTAGTCCACATGTCTGTGTGCCCCCCAAATCCCTCTGCTGGAGTCCCAAGCCCCATGGTGATGGCGTCAGGCGGTGAGATGGCGTCACGGTGGCTCCTGCGGAGGTGAGTGGAACTGGATTCAGGCTTTTCTAAGAGCCCCTGCGGCCAGGAGCTCACAGCAAAGAGAGGGCTGTGCACCAGCAAGCAGGCCTCACGGGACTTAGACTCCTACCATGTAGACAGCAAATCTGTCTTCCAGCCTCCAGGTTTGTTCAAAACAAGTCTCTCTTGTTTATAAGCCCAGTTTACAGCATTTTGTTACGGCAGCCCACACTGACCAAGACACTGCCTCATCCTAACTAAACATTTCATAGTAAGTGTTTTATGCATGACAGCAAACAGTTCCTTCAGAAAGTTCCTTAAAATTTACTTTTGTTAATTACCATTTTTTAATTTAGAGGAGTTAGGAAGTGTTCGTTGGACTTGTAGACAAGTCCGTCTACAATGAGAGAAAGATGGAAAGAGGCAATGTACAGAAATGAGAGTTTCCTTTACGAGCCATGTTTATCTTTACAAAACTGTATCCCCCAGACTGTGTGTGGCTCACAAGTCCCTGTAACCATCACCACGCACGGCGCATTGAGAAACTCCGAAACAACTGCACACTAACGCGCAGGACTTTGACAACTAGTGTTTAAAAAAGTAAGTCCCGCACTGAAATTTACGTCAGGCTCACACAAATGACGGTCCCTGGCCTACTGTCCAAATCCACGCTGGTTTAGGTGAATTTGGGGACTGTGAGTAAACACACTTTTTCTCCTAAATAACATATGACAAATTACCTTCACTCCCACAATGTAAAGTATGTTGCGTGAACTGTAATTTTATGGAAGGAAAAGAGATAGTTAACCAAATGTAAATAAAATCAATGACAAAGCTTGGATACTGCTGGTGAAAAGATACATTCCGTGGTGCAATAATTTAAAATGTAAATGTCACAAGAAAAATCTGTCAATTCGTTCTATCCCAGTTTCACTGTTATTTAGTGATAATCCAATATTAGAAATACAAATAATGGAAATAAATTAGAAATATAATTAACCTACAATACTACAGATAATCAGAATGTTGAAATCTCAAAAAAAGGGACCTATTTACTTTCTAAAACAATTGGACTTCGACTGTTTAAAAGAAAGGCTTTATAAGAGTACTCCAAAATATCATTTTTTAAAACTCTCATTAATCCAAACACTGCTAACGTGGATTCTGCTGTTTCCTGAATGCTAACCCAAGATTAGCGCTGTGGTGTTGAAGAGCTGGGCAAACCCAATGGTATAAGGTATACATAGGCCAATCAATTACAAGCTATTTTCAAATACTTAGAAAACTACTTCTAAAGGAAGCTGTTCTGAGAATGTGCTAATTATAAAGTATTTATTATTAGCACACTTCAAATGCTCTGTATACATATACATATATTTGAAAATCTATCATTTAGACTTTCTACTAAAGACAGGAGACTCCTATTTTACTCTTCCATTTCCCTTCACCCAGCAAATTCTGCTCCATTAGGGAGTTAGAGTAGGAAGGGGAAAAAACTACAGGGTTTTGCTTTTAATCGACTATAGGAGACACAGCTGAACTAATGAAACCAGAAGAAAATATTAATGTATAATCCTACATGTGTTTCTACAGAAGGAGCAGCTCTATTTTTCCTGCCATGGCAAGATCTCCCAGAGGCAGGGCAGAAAAAGCAGGCTGCCCAACAACGTTTGCAGAGAGACACCGTGTCTGCAGGTCACAGACACACACACACACAACTGCAGCGTCTCAGTGTGTGCACACATGCTGCTACCAACGCAAAGACACGGTCTGGGCAGACCTTCAGCAAAACAGATAAGTGCCGTTACCTCCCGGGTGCGTGTGTGAGGCTGGAATGGGAGGGGTCACAGGGGTCTTCGCTTCATTTGTATTAAGTTCTTACAGAGGCTGTATTCATGTTACTTAAGACACTAAAAACATAAGAATAGAGAGAAAAATGCTTCCAACTTCTCTTAACTATTTTATAAACCAGAACTGTTAGACGTAATGAGATTTCATCTTTTACTGACTTGAAGTCAAAACCAAATGACACCCACAAAGACCTAGCAAAGACAGACAAAATTGGAAAGAAAAAATTTCAATGTCTTATCTTCAAATAAAAGAGAAAGAATAAAGAGGAATGAAAAGATTGCACAAGAAGAAAAAACAGACCCGTACTCAATAGTGGACTTCTTTAGTTAGCTCAGGCACGACCCAGAATCCTAAAAAACAAACCAACAACAACAAAACCCCCCAAAACCCTCTCTATCCAAAACGAATTAAAAAAGTGGAATGCGGTTCCCTCAAGCATTGAAGGCTGTTTTTAGAAAGGTGAACTAAGAAACAGAAAATGCCAAGTGTGTGTGTTGCAGGGCTGGGAATGGGAACGCGAAACCCTACACCTCCTTAAGGCGGTCAGACCCAACCGAACTGCGGGTCGCCCCGGAGCGCTCGCAGGGGTGGGGACAAGCTCAGCCATCACTTCCAGGCTTTGGCTCCGAGCCGCGGGACACTACGCGGAGTCAGTTCGGAGCGTGAAGTCCCCGAGGGTGGTCGCCGCGTCGCAGCCGACCCCTAAACCCTCCGGGAATCCAAGGGGAGCGGGTGTCAGCAAAAACTCAGGTCTTCGGCTGAGCGGAGAGAGCGCTGGAGTAGAGCAAGAGCTCCAACTTGTGCTCCAAACGCTCCGGGTGGCCCGGCAAGTCTTCTCCCGAGTCCCACTCCAGAAGCGACCCTAACCCCTTTCCTGGCCGGTACCGTCCGCCCCAGGTCCGGCCCCGCGAGGAAATCCCAGCCAGGGCGGCGGCTGGCAGCGCGCAGAGACACGGCCGCGCAGGGCAAGGCGCGGGGTCCGTCCACAGGGATCCACCCAGCGCCCCAGAGCCTCTGGAGAGACCCGGCCAAGGCGCTGTCCCACCGCCAACAGCCCCCGACCGCGGCCCCCTCCCCCACCTCTGGGCGGCGACCTCGGCGCCTCCGCCCTGGGGCCCTCGCTCACCCAGGTAGCGGCTCCGCAGCCTGGACGGGTCCTCCAGCCCGAGGGACCTTTTCCTCACGTCCCACAACAGGTGTGGACCGGAGCCACCCCGAGACATGGCTCCACCGGGCTGGGTGGGAGGAAAGCCCACCGCGAGGGGGGGGAAGGGGGCAAGGGAGGGGACACGCGATCAGCCCCCGAGCCACACCGGCACCATCCGCGCGCCGGGCCTCGCGGGCCTCGCGGACTTAGATGGCGGCGACACCCTTTCCCCCAAGGCACGGCCGCACCCGGACCAGAGCTCGCCTCATACTCTCCTCACACTACCCAGAACATCCAGAAATCAGCAACAGTCTCCTCCCACAACCCCTCCAACGGGAGGAGGAGGTGGCGGAGGCGGAGGCGACCGCGACTCCGCCCCACCTCGACCCCATTCTCAGCGAGTCCTCCCTACCAGGCCTTTCTCGCGAGAGGAGGACCATCCGGGGGCCTGAAGCCGCCGGCCGTCACAGCTGCCCTCATCCTAGAAAAGTGGATTCAGGCCACTGTAGCCAGATCATTAATTTTCTATGGATAAACGAGGAAGCTAGAGCGAAGAGATTGCGGTCTGAAGTCTCTCTCTCACGAGTCTCATTCCCAAGGAAACATGAGAGTTGTGGGCTGTCATCTTTAGTCAGGGCACGGAAGGCCTGGCGAGCCCATTTTAACTACGGGCCTCCTTCATCAAAATGAAGGGGGATCAGAGCAGGTGCAACTTCACTTTCCCTTCTCCAACATGGCCTCGAGGGCAGGGAGGAGAAATGGGCGGTCCGCGCTTGTCCCCGCCCACCCCACCGGGCAGGCCAATCCTTGCGGGCAGCTCCTCTTGCGCAGGCGCGCTTCCGCCCGGTTCGCAAGGACTCGCTGAGGCAATTTTTCTGGCACCTGTTGCCATGACTCCTCCTCTCTGTTGGCTGTTGGAGGGCTGGAGGCCGGCCGAGGGCGGGCCGTCGCGGAGCCCCCGCCCCCTCGGTGTTGTCCTGGCCCGGGCCCCTCGGAGATCGGCAGGGCTGCGGGCTGAGCGGTGGCGGGAAGAGCACCCGAGGGGAGAGGAGGACGCCAGGCCCCGAGACAGGGGAACGTGAAGCGCTGCTCTTCGTGGTCAGCCCGACGAGTACACGACCGCCCTCCCGCCCGCCGGGCCGCGATCCCCCGTCCGCAGAGATGTCAGCCGCCGGAGTCCGGGGCCTGAGGGCCACCTACCACCGGCTCCTCGATAAAGTGGAGCTCATGCTGCCTGAGAAACTGAGGCCGCTGTACAACCACCCGGCAGGTAAGGGCCCCAGAATGGCCAGCAGCCCCCACTCCCCGAGACCGGCCCTCCGTCTTCCTCTAAAGGAGACCTTCCGAGGCCCGCTGACAACTCGGTCTCTAGAGGCGTCACCTACACCCCAGCCCAACCCCCTCCCGGCTTTTCATTGTGCTTCCGTCCACCATCTGTCGCCAACCTTCGCGACCTTTGTGGCACCCCATCCCTTAGGACCCCTGGACTTTGTCCTGCTCCATTTCTGCAACCCGGAGGCGGTGCGGGCCGCCGGGACACCTTCGTCCTCTCCGCCTTCGCTCCCTGAGCGCTTGTCGCGTGGGAGGCTTTGGAGGAAAGGTCACGCCGCCTCCAGGTCCCGCCGGCACCGGCCGGCTCCGGGGTCACTGGCCTCCGCTGCCCCGTGGTCTAGCTTGTCTCAGTGTGCCCTGTCTGGGAAATTTCTTATCGAGCTCCCCCGGCACCGTTTTTGCGTGGACACACCTGGATGCCTGTCCCTTCCTGCAGGTGTGACCTTGGGCGAAATGTTAGATCTCTTAGGTTTTGTAGAAATGGTCAAGATGAGAAGTAAGTGTATATAACATGTACGTTTGGCTCCTCCCGTTCAGCACATGCTAGCTCTCTGTCTTGTCCTGGTGGTCGAAAATATATATTTCAGGAGGAAAGTGGAAGATCCCAATTCCTCCCACTCACTGTGTAAGACACTCGGTAAGATCTGCAATTCTCCGTAAAACGGGCAGTAATAACACTTACGAGGAAAGTCTGCTCCGCGTTGAATTACTGAAGTGCAACCCTAACAGGGGCCCGTTTGGACAAATCCGTGCTCCTCCGGAGCGTGGGTTCTTTTCCCACGGACAGCGGCCCTCCCGACACTGAGCCTGTTACCACTAAATCTGATTTCCAGTTTGGTAATGGAATGAGCTGTACTTGGGGATTATGCTTGAGTATAATGTTGTTTACTGCAGTATTGTGCCCATTATAAAATTGACCTTTAAGGAGAGGGGTTTTTTCTTTCTTTTTTATTTTACTTTCTTAAGAAAATTAAATCTCTGTTGTATTTTTTCCATTATCATTTTGTCCCTTTATACCCCACCCCCAATCATCTCACCGTTGTCGGTGTCTGTGAGTCCTTTTCCCTTTTTGCTCCATCCCTCCACCCCCCGCCCCCCTCCCCACTAGCTGTCATCCTGCTCTCCATCTGTGGGTCTGTCCCCATCGTCCTTGCTAGTTCAGTTTGTTCAGAGAAGTTTTTATTGCTGAAGAAGTCTATTTAGTTTGCCTTTTAGTTCTTTTAAAACTCAAATTTTGGGAATTGGGCTGCATTTCATGGCGAAGATACCAGGAGGGAGGTTGGGCAATGCTCCTGTAATACGCTGGGCTGTAGAGCAACTGATTCTGTAGTCAGTCTGACCCTCCAGCCTTGTGCTTGGGCTGCAGGGCGAGGGCAGGGCAGGGCACAGGGGGAGTCATTTTAAAGTATGTTAGCAACAGGGTAGCTTTATGGTGGTCTTCTCCCATGCCTTGGCTTTAACCACCCATTATCATTGCTTATGATACTTTAGTCAACTCTCAGAATGAAGAGGAGGCGCTTTTCATTCGTGGGTTGTGCATTTCATCTAGGCTTTCTTGGAGTAGATGAATTGTAATCCCTCTTCTCTACAGTGGGTGGAGCCTAGGGTTTGAAGCCAGACAGATTTGAATCTCGACTATATGACCTTGGCCTTAAAGACCCCCAGCCTTAGTTGTCCAATCCATAATATGGGGATAATAATGATCCCATATAAGGGGGTGGTTATGCAAATTAAACGCATATCTGCAAACAGTTAGCACTTAAACTCTCAGCAAATAGGAGTTTTCTCCCATCTAAGCCTTGGGCTGGTGTGCAGGGCAAGGATACCTGTCACTGCAGAGTTATTCATGGTTAGGCCGTTGCGGGCACACGGATGTGCGGAGAAGCAGGGACAATAAAGCTGTTGACTTGTTAGCACTGAATAAAATCTGAGGAAACACCGACTCTTGTTTCAAGAGTTATTCGGCTGACTATTCAAACTTTTGCAAACTATTTTGCATCATGGTATGTTATTGAATCATCATTTAAGTATTAGGCTAGATTCATACACATACCTGAGATTTTAATAAATCTATGCAAAGCTAGGCTGTTAATAGTTGGATAGCATACATTATTGATTCTAAATCTTTGAGATTTACTATTATCAGCAACAAGTTATATTCTTACTATAAAATCAGAATAGTTTTGGCACAAATAAAAATAAGTAATTTTTGGCAATCAATATTTGTGTCAACCTTTATCAATTAACCTAAGGATGTGTAAGTAGTTTGTCACATGATAGTGAACAGGTCGTCCTGCTGAGTATAAAGAACTGAGAGGAAAGTTGGGGGCTGCGGAAAAGCAAACCACCGCAGAGAAGTGGTGTGAGGGCTGGGAAGGAGGCAGCGGGAGCCCTCAGTTAGACGCTTACTTTTCACAGCGGGGCGTGGCAAGCACCTGCGCTCCGTATTTGTACCTCTGTGCACCTGCCTGTTTGTAAGAGCTACTCACTCTGTTCCAACAAGAAAGTCTTTCCTTAGGGAGGGCCTCATACATACAATAAATGACATACTTTCTGGGTAGAATTCATTTATTTCATTAACAGTAATTTAGATAAGGGAATTAGGAGGTAAATTTGTGCACTTTTATCAGCAGTTTCATCAAAGTTTATCAAGGCAACTGGATTTGTTAACTTGTTTGAAAATGTATGTCTGTTACATACTCTGTTGCAGAATTTCTCAAGTTCTTCTATGAAAGTTAGAACTTAAAAAAGTTTCACTTTAAAAATAAGAGAAACCCATAACAACACAAAAGAAGGTGACTATTATATTATATTATTCTCTGTTTTTTTGTTATGCTTCAAAATAATTTATATTTTTAAATATTATTCCATATTTTCAGCATTTGGGGTCTTTTCAACTACAGGAGTGGACTGCTAAGAAATAAGATGAAAATGTGTTAATTAATTGTTAGTTAATTCCTTGTCTAAAAAGAATGTACATTTATATCTGATGGAGATACATTTCCCTCGTTTTGGACTCCATTAAATTTCTTATGAGATGACTTTTATTCAGTATATTTCAGCAGTTAAAATTATCTACCCAATCAAGTTTTTTCATTCCCTATAATGAATGTTGTCTAGATACTCTGTTAGTTCATACTTCTGCTTATCGTGATTTTAGGCATTATAATAATATCAGGCATCATAATTGTTTAACTATCTAATTTTTAAAGTGAATTACTGTGTTTTAATGAACAGCTGTGGGAATAGCGGTATCATTATGTAAAGCTGGTTTTCTCAGGTCTAGAATGATCCGTATGACATAGCATCGGCATTATTTGACCATATCTGTAACTTCAAATGCTTTGTCTTACAAGAACTTTGCTCTTGAGATGTGAAGGAAGTTAGAATATTTTCTCATTACCGTATCCACTATTGGCTGAGGGCTTCTTTCAGGAAGACAGCCTCTGTACCTACATTCTTACACATTTAAATTTACTCGTTGCTGTTGGGGTAGAAAATGATTAGGTAAGATAAATTGGAAGGGTGAACTAAAATGTTTTTAGTGACATTTTTGTTGACCCATTATATGTACGATTGCAAATATAGCAAGCCATTTTTCCCTTTTTAAAAAACAATAAGAAAACACTATTGATTTGCACTCATGGATATGTGATTCTGATTATTTTTGTCCCTTGTCAGGATCCTCTCAAGTTTCAGAAAAACTAGAAACTTGGAATGTTTTATATATATTTGCAACTGATATTTTTTAAATTCGGTACTTGGCAATTGTTAAACTAATTTAGGATTTGTTTTGTAGCTTACAATTATTTACTAAATAAAATATTTATACTGCTCTTAGTCCAAGTTCTAGCAACCATAAAATCATATTTGAAGGGGTTTTTTTTGTTAAATTTGGTTGTGGGGAGGGGGAGAGTTAATACAATACTTTAAGACGATCACCTAGCTTCGGGAAAACCTTGACTGTTCATTAACTTTGAAGCATCAACCATTTAAGCTTGTAAAGAAACCAGAATCTGGAGGCATTGCGCAGAGAACAGTCAGTCTTCAGGTGGCAGAGGAAGAATTGTCAGTTTGAAATAGGAAGAGAGGAGTCTGCTGAAGAGTTCGAAGCCAGAGACTAAAGCAGGGTGCTGAGTTACCCCTGAGTGATGAAGCCAAGGGTAATTCATTCAGGGGTAACAAGTGAACCTAGTAATCGATCCTGCCTAGGGCCAGAGGCTTTATATACGACAAAGAAAAGTGAACCAGGTGTGGTGATAGGAATCCCAGAAGCTCAAGCTGAATAAAATCACCAGCGTTTGAAAGACTGACTTACAGGATCAGTAAGTACTTTGTGGTGTCTGTCCTCTGGGGAGACAGACAGTCCGGAGCCACACAGGGGTGCGCAGCAGTCCGGGGGAGGGGGAGTGACCAGTGAGTGCAAGTTTAATGCAGCCCTGGGGGCCCTAGAGATGAGTGAACACCATAGTCTAGCCTTGGGCATGAAACAGTCAGTCTAGTCGAATTCCCCAACCTGAAGGTACCCGAGAGTCCACAAACGTTAATTCCATGTTCAAGGCAAAGCATTGGGAATGGTTTCCAAAACCATCTCCATTATACTTTAACTAATTTATAACAGATTACAAAAATAATTGACAAGGAGATCAAAGCAACTTGAATGAGAGGCTGATATCAGGGTGACTGTCTAAATGTTAACTTATATACAAAGTATGTAGAAAAGAGTAAAACTGATAGAAATGGATTGAGAAATCTGAATAGTTGGTTTATTCCTAAATTTTTTTTTCCCTTTTAGGTCCTAAAACAGTTTTTTTCTGGGCTCCAGTTATGAAATGGGTAAGTCTTGAGTTTTTATAGCAGCTACTGAAAGAAAATGCTCTAATGGGAACTTACTAATTTAAAGTAACTTTTTTATGAAGGATATACTTTTAAATGTTCATGGTATGCATTTGAATGGTCTCATGCAAATATTCTTAGATGTATCATTTTTTACTACATAAAGCACACTAGTTTTTTCAGAACTCCATTGATTAAGAAGCCTGGGAACATATTTATTAAAAATGCTGACAATTGTGAGCCCTAGAAATGTGAAATTTCATTCTAAAATTTTATGACTCAGTAAAACCTTATTAGAATGCCCCTCCCCAAATTAACTGTTACTATTAATTTAGTATGAGAACTGAAGATACACCCAAATAAAGGCAAGGAAAGTCAGTCTCAAAAAGTAGTGGGATTATCCAAGAGTGTACGGTAATTAACATCTGGTAAGTGACAGAGGCCAGGGTTTCTGACGGCAAGACCATTGCTTTTTTGCTCTGGGCCAGCGTGTCCACTTCCACACTTCTTATTCAGCTGAAAAGAAATCCTTCTGGCAGCTGTTTGTAGCAAAGCATTGATTTCGTGTTGAAAGGGCCAGTTCTGGCCAATGGCAGCGCTGCTTAGAGTGTCATCTGTGGGTGTTCAGTGTGGACACCACCCAGGAACGTCTCAGAAATGCCCGTCTTCAGGTCTCAGCACTGCCTCGGTGAACCTGAACCTCGGGGGACAGCGCCCAGTAATCCGTGCTGTACTGAGCCCACCAGGGGACTCTGATACCTTCTAAGACTTGAGAACTGGTCTGCAGGCTTTTTAAAAAATAGAATGAAATTAGGTAAAATTTACCATCTGAACCATTTCTGTAGCATTAAGTACCTTTACATCATTTCGCAACCCAACTGATCTCTACAATGCTTTTGTCTTGCAAAGCCTCTGTCCTCCTTGAACAATAACTCTTGACCTTTCCCCCAGCCCCTGGCACCCACTGTTCTGGTTTCTGTTTCCATGAATTTGGCTTTCCTGGAGACCTCAGAGCAGCAGAGGTCATGTGTATTGTCTCTTTGTGCTTGCTTATTTCCCTGAGCACAATGCCCCCAGGGTTCACCCGGGTTGTGGCAGGTGTCAGAATGTCGTTTTCAAGGCTGGACAATATTCCACTGTATGCATCTGTCCCATTTTGTTTTTAACCAGTCACCTGTGGCAGGCACTTGGTTGCTTCCACCTTGTGGCTGTTGATAATGCCGCTCTGGACAGTGGCTGACAGACGTCTGTCCGAGTTCCTGCTTTCAGTTCTGGGATTATACCTTGAAGTGGAACTGTAATTCTATGTTTAATATTTTGAAGAACTGCCATATTATGGTATATTCCACAGCGGCTACACTACTTTACAGCCCCACCAGCAATGAACAAGGTTCCAACTTCTCGAAATTCCGGCCAACCATTACTTTTGTTGCTGTTTTTATAATAGCCATCCTAATGGGTGTGAAGTGGTATCCCATTGCCCTTTGGATTTGCTTTCCCTGATGTGATTAGCTGTGCTGAGCACCTTTTCATGTGTTCATGGACCATTTCTCTATCCTCTTTGAAGAAATGCTTGTTGAAGCCTTTGCTCATTGTTTTTTATCAAGTTGTGTTTGTTGTTGAGCTGTAGGCTATTTTAATTCTCTTAAATGTTAGAACATTCAGAAATCTAAGTAGTTGAGTCTTTGAGAGCTGAAAGTGGCTGTCCGTTAATCCTTAGCCTTAGGCAAGCGGCCTCTGCCATTTCACCCCCAGCTGTAAAGAGAGAGTGAACGAGTGGGTGAGAGCTGTGTTTAGAGAGAACTAGGGAGCAGTTCTTTTTTATATTTACACACTGGGAAAAGGTTCCACCCATTTTTTAAAAAGTTTTAATAAAATCATCACCTTTGATGATTTTGCTCCCACTCTGAGCATTCAAATAGTGTTATATGCCCCCCAAAACCCTCATACTGATGGGAAATATTCCTATTTCCTTTCTCTTCTCTCCCACTCACACTTAAAATTGTATAGTAATTATATATCTATACAGTGGAATTGATTACAGAAGTGCTGTTTCTAGCATCATTATTTAAAAGAATAGGAATGATTTCATCTATTTACCATAAATTTGGCATCCTCTTTGACCTCAGATTTGCCACAATTTGGGAGTTTATTGATTTTATTGGTAGCTTTTGTGTGTGTTTGAGCTGGTTCATCGGTGCTTTGCAACACTGTCAGTGTGGGATTTTCACAAGTGCCTTCCTGTCTCCTTTAAAAACATCTATTTTAAGTTCATGTTGAAATCACACATACTCTCCTGATGACTGCATAGCCGCAGAAGCTTCTGTGTCCTGTTCTCTTGTGGGGACACTTCTCTTGACAGATACTACTTTACGCGTGTGTGTTCCTCTCAGAGCACTTGGTGACCCGTGGCAGTCCGTGCAGATGTAACATTGCAGCTGCCAGCCGTGTGCAGGGTCTGTCCAGAGGGTGTCCGGCCACGTACTGCGAAAAATAGAGACGTTTAATGAAGGAGATATGAGATACTGAACACTGTACACAGGACAATGACGCCTCAGTCCCCTTCAAAGTAGGCACCTTGGGACCTCACACAGTTCTCCCAAACACCATCAGCTGCCCTGTCATATTTTCCTGAATCTCACTGAAGTTCTGAAATCTCTTCCCTTTCAAAGGTGATTTTAGTTTGGGGGAAAAGCCAGAAAGGCCAGAAGTCACAGGGCACCAAATCTGGGCTGTAGGAGGGCTGAGTCGCCTGGGTGATTTGATGTTTCACACACAAAAAAACCCTGCACGAGATGTGATGCATGAGCGGGTGCCTTGTCATGATGAAGCTGCCAGTCACCAGTTGCCCTTAGATGCGGCCTCTGAATCATCCCAGTCTTCCATGGAGGGATGTTCAAGTTTAATGCAAAATCTGACGTGGTTTCGTTGCTCTACTCACTCAGTCACTTTGAATGCGATGGCCGCACGGTACACATGCTCACTGAGCAGTGTCCGCCGCCCCCAGCGAGTGGTGCAGTGACGTCGTCATTGTTCACGCATGTGCGGTCCAGGCCACTCTTTCTGGCTGCCAGGTTACATCAATGTCGCATAAACCGTTCTCGTTATATTAACAACGGCTGGACTTTTTCCCAACCTTGTATATGTTCTATCTAGGAGCAAAAACCCTTTGCTGATTTATAGTTTCCACGCAAGAGCATCTTTGAGAAACTCAGTAAAACCTGCTAGTAATTTCTTAAAAACATGATAACGTATTTAGGGTTTGATTTAAAAATACTTAAAGGAAAGGCAGGAAAAGAGGTAAAGCGAATGAGGCAAAATCTCAGTAACTGTTGACCCTGGGAGGTGGGAATACAGGGGTTCTCTGTACTAGTCTCTCCTATGTTGTGTAAGTTTGAATTTTTCTTCAATAAACCTTGTTTTCATACACACTCTAATCTCCTCAATAGAGTAGCATAATACCGTCTTTTGCCATTTATAATGAGCAATTTTTCCCCAAATTTATGAGGAAAAATAAGGATCTGCTTCATACATGGGTACAATGCTTATAATAATCCCATGTACAATGCACACAAAACCGTGGGAATGCGTTTACATATGGGAGGGCATTATACACAGCAAAATACGGTATTCTAGTGAAGACTCGCCCCGGGTTTCGCGAGCGGTGCTTGTGGTAGGCTCTCAGTGGGTGACTCCATGGAAGACTGTCAGAAACGCAGCAGCAAAGAAACGACCATCTGTACTTCGACATGAAAAAAATTATCTAAACAAGAAACTAAATTCCAAGAGAGCTTTTCTGATATTTTTAAAAAAGAAGAACATTGACAAAAAATATGAAAGGAGGAATCTATGCCAATTATCTTAGTTTTCAGGCATTCTCCATACAGTAGTTCCTGACATGTATAAAGAACATATAAACTCATATGTGGAAGAAGTATTATTTGTAGAACAAATACACACACACATACACACACACTCATGATTTTTAAATACATCAGACTGCTTCCTGGAGTTAACAAAATACAAGTTAATTCCAAAAGCGTTTCTGAATTCATCGCAGCTGTTTGTCATGCTGCACACTCCTGAATGCTGCCGTCCGGTGGCAGTCCCTGACGAGGCGCTGGGTTTTATTTGAAGGGACTTGCTGCCACTCGACTCTTAGCATGCGTCTCTGTTCTCTGTGTTTCCAGGGGCTGGTGTGTGCCGGGCTGGCCGACATGGCCAGGCCCGCAGAGAAGCTCAGCACGGCCCAGTCCGCTGTGCTGATGGCCACAGGTGAGCCGGACCAATGCCCACCACGCCCCTCGGAGAGAGTCCGCAGTTCTAGGGTGTTGAACATCACCTTATGTAATAGCGTGATGTTTGAAGTGCGTATGCAGACACGCGAGAACTCACGGTGCATCTCCAGGAAGTTCCCGGGTGGGGAAGGCAGAGGAGGGCTACGGCGAACTGGTGCCTGCGGGGTTTCTGTGTATCACGCTTTCGTCGGGAACGTAGTTTCATAAGTGGGAAGGAGGTCCAGTTACTGTCCCTGGTCCTACAGAGATTGCCCTTGGATGTCAGCACCGAGTGTTTTGTGCAACACTGAAGTATAGCTCTTCTGTCCTCTGGTCCTGCACTGTGTTGTCACAGTCTTACTTAGAAGTAGTCTCCTCTAATAGTGAGTGTTCAGATGAGATACTGCAATGGGACCTGTGCTTAAAAAATATATATGATTCTTCTCAACAGGGCTTATTTGGTCAAGATACTCACTTGTAATTATTCCCAAAAACTGGAGTCTGTTTGCCGTTAATTTCTTCGTTGGGGCAGCAGGAGCCTCTCAGCTCTTCCGTATTTGGAGGTAAGGCCACCGAGATATGAAACATAGAGAGAAGGTAGTTAAGTTACCGTTTACCCTCCTTTCAGGAGGCGTTCCGCTCGGTAGAGTACATTTTATTTCGTTCATCCTCACCACCCGAGGGTCACGAGTATGGCTGTAATCTGATCTTCCCATAACCCTCCATCACACCAGGGGTGGACAGTGACAACTCAGTGCACATCACGGCCACCTTCAGGGCTTACTCACATCAGTGTGAACTCTGATTTGTACAGTGACTTTACTCACAGAGTATTTTTCTCATATGCCATGCCGTTTTAACCTTGTATTAACTCGTCATAGTAGAGCTAAGAGAATGCTAAGTCCCTATTCAGAACTGTTATTGCCTTTTAAAAAATTAATTAATATGTTTTTAGAGATAGGGGAAGGGAGGGAGAAGGAGAGGGAAAGAAACATTGATGTGAGAGAGAAATATCAATCAGGGGGCCTCTCTCATGTGCCCTGACCAGGGACTGAATCTGCAACCCAGGCATGTGCCCTAACCGGGAATCGAACTGGCAACCTTTTGGTTTGTGGGATGACTCCCAGCCAACCGCGCCACACTGGTCAGGGCCAGAACTATTATTTCTAATGTCAGAAATTCAGAAACAGTTTGACAAAGGGATTTTGGGCACCTTTTAGTTACAATAGCGGGTTGGGAGATTTCATTAGAAATATGGATGTTGGACTTGGGAGCATTTAGGAAAACACTATCGAATATTTGAATCGGGGCCTTTTGAGAGACCTGGGAGGAGGCGTCCCGGGGGCGGTTCCTTCCCGCACAGGCGCTGATCCCCACTGTGCTGTCAGCTGGGACAGGAGTCCGCAGAACACGTTCACATGGTTGGTGGCGCTCTCGTGTATTTCAAGAATGAGAGCATTCGTTAAAATAATACTGTTGTACAGGAAACTATGTCAGTTAAGTTGTTAAAACTTTTTTGGCAGCTGGAAGCCAGATGCGAATAAAGTCCCGATCACTTTTCCTTCTGCCTGTCTCTACCCGTAAGGTGTCGGGAAGGTTGAATTGACAACTGTGTAGCCTCTGGGCGAGCGAGGAGGAAGAAACGGAATAGTTTTCATTCCCTTCTTAGGTGTGTATCTGTTGTGATTCATGATTATTTTTCTTTGTTTTCTCTGTAGATATAACCAAGAACTAAAAGCTAAAGAAAACCAGTAAAAGAGTCCTTGATCATCCCCACAGCCCCGAGATGGACGTAACCACGGGGCCTAGTTTGAGTTGTTATTTGGTTATTGGTAAGGTGACGCTAACTGTGCTAACCGTTGGATCGCATAAAATAATCTAATTTAACTGGGAGCTAGTACCTGATTCGGCAGAAAAATAAAGCAAATTTATAATAACAGTGTCTCTCTACATACAACTTAAGGAACTTATCTATGGACGTTCGTAACAGTTTTCCTACTCTTCGCCTGTAATAAATCATACTTGCTCATACATGCCCCTGGCCTCCTCCTGCCCTGTCAGCCAAAGTGCGGGCGTATAAGAGCACACACATCCCTGCGAGTCGGAAGAGAGTTGAAGATCAAGTGATCTGTTTGCAGTGGAGACCGTGACGCAGCTACAAGTGAAAGGCCGCAGAGCTGAAGAGGGTGACAGACGGGTAGCGGAGTGGCTGCTAAACGACTCCAAACTGCTTTAAAATATTTTAACTTGAAATGAAGCATCTCGAAGAGTTATGTTTTGCATATTGTGTAAAATTCCTTGACAGCTACAGAGTAATGAAGGATTTCTAAATGTTTCAGTTGTGGTCGGTAACTGATTCGATGTCACAGAAAGGACTCTGGAGTCAGACTGACCTGAGTTTGAATCCCATCCTGAGACGTACAATCTGTGACTTGGAGCAAGTTAAGAAAGTGTCTGGCAGAGAACCTGGGGCATGAGTTGGGGCGTGAGTCGGCTCTCTGGAAACGTGTGGCAACTTTGTCCCGGTTATGAGGAAAGACTGGACACAGATTACTGCATCCTAGAAATCATTAACAGCCTGCGGGATCTGAGCTCCAGTTTGGCACATGGAGGTTTTTTCTAAATATAGTAAAGCCAGGCCTGGTCAGAGCCGCAGTCAGAGAAGTCAGCCAAGCAAGTTCTTTCCTTTCCTTTCCTTTCCTTTCCTTTCCTTTCCTTTCCTTTCCTTTCCTTTCCTTTCCTTTCCTTTCCTTTCCTTTCCTTTCCTTCTTTCTGTATTTATTTCTTTCTTTATTTTATTTATCTACTTTCAGAGAGAGGGGGAGGGAGGGAGAAGGAGAGAGAGAGAAACATCAGTGTGTGGTTGCCTCTCAACGTGCCCCCCTACCAGGGACCTGGCCCACAACCCAGACAGGAGCCCTGACTGGGAATCGAACTGGCCACCCCTTGGTTTGCAGCCTGCACTCAGTCCACTGAGCTACGCTGGCCAGGGCAGTTCTTTCTAAATATAAAGAAGCAGGTAACAAAAGAACTTTGAATAATATAATGATCAGGATTTGGGAACTAGCAGTGGAACACCTTGTACCTCTCTCTATACCCTTGCATCGTAGCCCACCTTTGAGGCGGAGGGTGCCGTTAGCAGATGGAGCGGCCCTGAAGAGTCAAATTTCTGCTGCTTTCCCTTTAGAAACCACACTGTCACCATAGTGGGGCATGTGTGTGCACACTTGTGTTTGTGTTACACGTTTGGGACAAACATCCATTATAAAATAGAGCAGGACACAAGAAATGACTAAAACGCATATTTTAAACTGATGTCTCACTTTTTTTTTAATGGAAATTTGCTCTGCCCTGGCCAGTGGTGTGGCTCAGTGGGTTTGGCATTGTCCTAAAGCAAAAGGCCACCAGTTCGATTCCCCCAGAGGGCGTGTGTGTGGGTTGCAGGCCAGGACCCCAGCTGGGGGCGTGCAAGAAGTGGCTGACAAATGTTCCTCTAACATTGATGTTTCTCTCCTTCTCTTCCCCTCTCTCTAAAAATAAATAAGATCTTTAAAAAACAACCCTGCTCTTACATAGCTTCTTATGAGCCCACTGGCCAGCCGTGGTCATTGTAACATTGGTGCGATCACAGACAAGCTGCTGGGTTCTCACAGGTTCCACTGACAAATCCCAGGCGTCTTTTCTGGGCCCAAACTCCCACCTGTCCTGTTACTGAGACTTAAAAATTAAATGACTCCAGTACGCATCCAGTCAAAAACCCTCACTGCCCTTGGAACACCTCGTTCAGTGATCAGTTCCACAACTATTTTTTGAAACTTAGCAAGCAGAATTATATACTTGAAGTCCTGGCTACCATAGTAGGTACTGAATTCCATAAAAATACCTTTCATAGTGGTAACATCACATGATCAGTCTAGTTGAGTTGAATTCTGTATCAGGATTTCCTAAGGAACCCTTACTGAAGACTTCATTAGGTACATGTTCTCAACGCCAGGACTGACCAGCCTGGGTTTCAACTCAGGTCTGTCACGGTTATTAGCAGTGAGACCTTACTGACCTTGACCTGTGAGCTTCAGTATTTTGGGGGGTCAAATGGGCACAATAACAGCATATGCTGTGTGGGGTTGTGGTGAAGATGTCTTGAGATGATGTTTTAACACAGTGCCTGGTCCATGATGGGTGTTGAAGAAACGTAGAAAGTTTCGGAAAATGGTGTGTTTATTAATTAAAGCTAGACTCAAACATACTTTCTTACACAAAGGAAGCTTTAATATAGCTGCACAAGTATGTATATACTGTGTTAACCTATTTGCACACTTTGGGAGGTAGTAACAACTCCTGAAGCTTGCTTAGGTCAAAGCAGGAAACCAGCTGCTGGGCTGGGGCCAGAGGCAGGGTGGGGGCGCCCCATGGGGCACGTTCCTGCCCCAGCCTCCGCAGGGGGTTGGCGTTCGTCTCAGAGAACGTTGGCCCTGTCGAGATTTGGTTGAATCTCGACAGGGTTGGCTTCAAAGCCCAGGCTCCTCTTCAAGGCAGAACAGTTTCTAGCAGAGCTTGTTAACGGGATGATACCAAAATGGAAAGCACTGGTGCCTGTAAGACCGGCTTTCTCCCTGCGGGTCTGTTTGATTGCATGAGATAAGAGTCCAGCTATGTTAAGCCTGGTTCCCACAACACCAGAAACTTTACTAGAGAAATGTGATTAAACGCACCCTTTTCCCCTTAAAGGCAGCCATTTTACCACTTTTGAAACACAGTAAATTCAAGTACAGGCTTGGGCTTTACTTGAGAATGTTTGCTTGCCTTTCCAGTTCAGCTTCTGTAAACTCCAGCTGTACGTGTGTCAGCAGTAGCTGCGGTGTACATGTGAACAGCCAGAAAACCAAAGCACGGTTTCTCTCGGCTGTTAGGAATGTGTCCCCTTTAACACATTTCTCCAGGGTCACACTGGGTTGGGAAATGCCACCCCAGTGCCACGTGTTATCCCAAGATCTCTTAGGGGTGAGCTGGGTTACAAGTGTGCACTTGGCCAGTCCAAAAGGACAAGCCAAAGGTTTCCCTCACAAAACCCCCTGAAGATAAGTACTGAATGCCGTACTAGTAACTAGTAAGACTGAGAGGCCTGCTAAGAGCCATGATCATTACCGACCAAAATCTGCTGTTGGCCCACTCAGAAGGTACTTGTCTGTGTGGTGGTCACCTACCAACTGCTGCCTCATTTCACTGGCCCCTTCTTTCCCCACCCGCCCGGATGGGAAACCTGACACAGCCAGTCCAGGGACCAGCATCGGGCCCCTGGGCTGGCGGGGGAGGGGCCAGGCAGTGCCAGCCAATCGGAAGCAACGTCTGCACATGAACAGTAAGGTTCTGATGAGGGCGTGGCCAGGAAAAACGGCTTTTAGACAAAACTGCCATTTTATGGGTCAGCCATGGACAGACGTGGTACTTCCGCTGTCTTCAGAATAATGTCACCCGGGCCCCTTCCCGCTTTCTGCTCTCCAGGAGGATCTCAGCTCTAATCCGGGCCCTGGCCTTGCTCAGCCTTGGAAGAGGAGGAGGTACGTGGACGCAGTGGCTCGGCAGCAGGCAGACTGGCTGTAGGGCGGCCCTTGGGAAGGTGGCAGGTGGCAGAGCTCAGAGGAAGGGGGGAGGCCTCGGGCTCGGGGTCAGGGTTCCACGACATTCCTGTCCAGTGTCTGTGTCCGTCCCCGAAGTGAGGCTGGAACCCGAGGCTCATTCATTCATTGCCTGAGCTGCTCATCACGACGTGCGGTCGCGCCCACCGACGTCCTCCTCTCTCTTCCGCAGCTTCTCCCGTGTCCTCAGTCTCCACAGGGCAAATGCCTGCCCTGTGGGGGGCGCGGGGAAGACCCTGTGCAGGAAGCAGGTGTGGAACCCGACCGTAAAACAGAAGCCAGCAACACAGAGGGAGGCGTACACAGAGCCGTGGGCAGTCAGAGACACTGGGATAGAGATAAGGCACAGAAGTCTGCAGACACTCTGTGCCCTGAGCCCCGAGGAGAGTGGCCATGGGCAGAGGTGCTCTGGCCGGGTCCCCTGACCGAGGACATTCTCCCTTTCAGTTCAGATACATACCTCCATGTTGGGACTCTTCATAAAACCTTGTTTTACACGTTGATGAAAAATTGGGTGAAAACTGAAATCTGTTAGAAGTTCCTAGAAGTGGCTATAATTGATCTTTCGTTTCATTTTCATTTTGGGGTCCTGCTCAGTTCTCCTTAAGCAGAACGAAACTGCGCACTCTGTTCTTCACCCCAGAAACGATTGCACATCTTTGGGGCCTCCCTCACCTGTGTGTTCTTTTATGGAAGCACGGGGGCATCTCCCCGCTGCCCCCGTGCTTCCTCAGAGCCCGGTCAGCTCACGCACGGTCCTTGGCTGTGCGTGCGTTGGCCACACAGCAGAGCTGGGCGCCATCGGCGTGCACCGAGTGCTCTCAAAGGAAGTGCACATGTTCTCAAGGCCACTGACGTCCCCAGAGTGTCGTAAAGCACACAAACGGGATGTCACGTGGAATGGTAGAGAGCACATGGGCTTCCGCGCCACGCAGACCTGGGCTCTCCGGCTGCGTGACCTAAGGCAGTGACTCCGAGTCTCTGTCCCTGTAGCTCTGAAATGCGTGGATGTCTGTCTGTCCAGATCGGGCCCGCCTCACAAAACGCTTCACATGAAAAGATCTCAATAAAGTAGAGTCACAGTGTGGAATGGGCCACTTCACTCCTCATTTTCTAATGTTGCAGAATTCAAAGCAGAAGGCTGTCTCCCCAGATAGGACATTTCTGTGATCTCCTCGTGGGTGTTCTTACGACAAACTCTCAGGTACTCACTTCAGATCTCTGCTCTTCGGCCTGTAACATATAATTTTATGATTCTAGTTTCCCATCTACATCTGTGACTGTCCTGTCCTAATGCATCTACTGTTCTCGCCTAGTGACCTTAAACTTAGAGAAGTCTGTCCATGTTCTCGGATCGCCTTATTTAAACCCACGGGGTCTGAACAAGCATTTAAGGCATCTCCCCACCAAACCGCCTCTTCAGCCTGGCGGGCGGGGAGATAGGCGTCTCCCAGCAGGAGAGCCAATGCTTCCTAAGACCGCCCGCTTCTAACACGCACCCTTACATTAAGTTTGCCTCCCGGTGCTGGGTGGCCATCGATCCGAGCTGATCCTTCTGGAGAAAAATCTAACCTGCGCTCCACCAGGTATGAGAACTAGTGCAAAAGACTCCACACTGCTCGTGTGAGGAGAGGGCAGGACTGCCAAACCAACGGGGGCCGCTGGCCGGGTTGCTAGACAAAGTGCAGTATTTGGGAGGATATGCTTATCCTGAACTACTGTTTATTTAAAATTCAAATTGAACTAGATGTACTGTGTTTTCATATTCAAACCCCGGCAGTCTCACTGCCAGGTGGTAGCCAAACAGAATGCGCGGAGACGGTCGGGACCAAGGGCAGGCGAGAGGGCTCGCACTCTATCCTGCCCAGTTCTGCTCAGGCCCATCTCGGTCCTGTGGCCCCTCAGCACCTCCGTGGCAGCCTCTTCCGAGCACCCATTCCTGCAGAAACCGTGCTATTGAAGGTCACGTACCTTCATCAGTGAGCTCCCTCCTCTTGAGGAGAATAAATACCAACTTTCCTTCCCCTTGTCACCCCCGCCCCCATGAACCTGATGCTTGTCTAGCCAAGTTCATTCCTACCAGAGGGAGCAGGCAGGGCAGTTCTCTTGTTGGTAGTAGGTGCCCACGTTGGACTTCGTACAGGCAGCTGTGTCTCCTAACTTTCCCCTTTCAGGCTAAATATTTGAGGACAACTACTTTTTTTGCCCAAATGCCATCATCTGACAACACTTCCAATCTCTCCCATCATTCCTCGTGTGCAGTAATAGTCAGTGAACTTCACATAAAACAGGCAGAACTGAACCCAATGCTCTGGGTCGGATCTGAACAATGCTACGCACCCTAGAATTGCATTGCATCGGAATGGCCAATAAATGTAAGAAAGGCGCCTAATTTCCTTAATGCCACCAGGGAAACAAAACGGCAGACCACCACTCACCTACCAAGATGGCTAAAATTGAAAAAAAGTGACATTAGCGAGTGCTAGCTGGAATGCAGAGCTCTGAACTCCCGTATCTTACATGTGGCGTGTCAACTGGTCAACCTCTTGGGAAAATTGGCCGGATCTACAAAAGTTCAATATATGTATTTCCTTTGCCCCAGTAATTCCACTCAGATGTATGCCCAAGCGAAATGCATACATATGTTGACCAACACTCACGTACAAGAATGTCCTTAGCAGCCTTAATCCTGATAGCCTACAACTGGAAACAATCCAGAGGTCAGTAGTAGAATGGGTAAATGCTTTATGCATAGTCAGGCGGGGGGATACTATACAGCACCGAAAAGGGACAGGCATGGATATGCACACAACAACATGGAAGGGTGTGGCGAACGCTTGAGGGAAAACAAAAGAATCTATAGAGTATAGCTCCATTTACGTAAAGTTTAAAACCTGATGAAGGTGGTCTGTAGTGTTAGGAATTGAGAGTGGATACCTTCGGGGACAGTGAGAGGGAACTGTGAGATGACATGAAGGGACTCTGCAGTTCGGGAAGGGCTCTCCTTCTTGACATAAAGAGGGGTGACCTGGTCCTGTTCACTTGAAAATAACTCACCGAGCTGCACACTTTGAATTGTGCATTTTCTGCATGTTATGCTTCAATAGAAGAATTTCTTAAAAGATAGCATTGACTTTGCAGGAAATTTGTTCTGTACCATAGGTTCAGGCATTTGGTTTTGTTAAAATTCTAAATACAGCGCTTTGTGTTTGTTCTTCTGAAATTTGATTGTTTCTGCTAATCAAGCTATTTTGAGGTCCCGACTGTGTCCTTTGCCACATCAGCTCTCCTTCCAGTTTTGTCTGTACCTGTGCCCCTGGCATGCCCAGGAGGGCTCCCCTCTGAGTGGATGGCAGAACAGAAAAACCGATGTCCTTCAGGCCTGTCTGGTTGGTAACCAGCTAACTGTATTCTCGTCACTCTTACAATTAGTATCTTACCCACAAGGGTGTAAGAAATTTAGCCAGATGCCTTGAGAAAGTTGAGTCATGTAGCATTCTCTTGATTTAAAAGTTTAATGGCGCTCCAAAATAAGAAATTAGGCTAGTTTGCTCTTTCCCCTGAGTCCATTTTGACCCCCGTTAATCACCTCTTGCTGAGCTCTGTGCTCACCTGGTGCCAGGTATGCTAACAGTCGAGGCTGTTCACAGACACGGGAGCCCTCTCTCCCACTGCACACACAGTAGGACTGCACTTCCCCACCCACCTGAAATTAGCTGTCTCTGTGTAACTTGCGTTGGCCAGTGCCACGAGACTGGCAGTGAACTATGTCACTTCTGGGAGAACGCTTCAGGAATGAGCCCGTCCCAACTGAATCGTCTTTCCCCCGCTGTCTTGGCGGCCAAAGTGTCCCGGCCTGGGTCCCCAAGTGAAGGCAGCAGCACAGCGGGACCTCAGCCAACCTACAGTGGACACACAGCATGAGTAAAAGATGAATAAGCCTTCACCATTTGAAGTCCCTGAGCCGTTGGGGTTACTTGTTAATGAAGCCAAACCACACCTGTGCTGACGTGACATCGTGTCTACCAGTCCGTGTTTTCCAGAATCCACAGAGAGCCTCATCTTTCAAAATTCGGGACACCTTTAGTGTTTCCACCCAGCTTTCGTTCTCTCTTATCTTTCATGACAACTGGCACGATTGCTGTCCTTTTGCTGTCTGTGGATGTAGGCTTCCTGGGGCTGGCTTTGAGAATGTTTTAAGCGACCGGGTACCTTATCACTACTTTCTGCTCTCGGACGTCAGTTCTTTCTCAGCAATGTTTGTTATCCTTCTCAATTCTCCAGAGGGGAGAAGGCAGCAGCAGGAGAGGAATCGTGCAGCATAACGCAGTCAAGCTTTGTCCTTTTTCCTCTTCTATTAATTACTTTCCATAAAGCCTGAACGTCCCTCTAGTTTCTCTTAACTTCATCATTTTTCCTCAGTCTCAGCTCATTCTGGACATTCCGTTTTCTTACACCTTTCTTGTAAGTTCACACGGCACTTGTCAAATTCTCTGTCTGAAATCCTTTGATTTACTCATTACCTATTGGCTGTTCCTGGTACATGCTGTGGCTTGATGTTGCTTTAAAAAAAAAACCTTATTTATTTATATGCTTTTCTCTCTATCTTTTGTTCACTTCTTAAGTTTGAGTTCACCAGAGCTTTTCCTTTGAAAGGGTATGTAATACCTAGTGTTTAATACTCATTTTTAGAGGCTGCTACACATTTTAAAGTTTGTTCATTAACTATACTGATGTTTTCCCTGATTTAAAGTTAAGGGAAAAAATGCTTTCCTTAACTCTGAGATTCCCCTTCACGCTCTGTTCCTCCCTCCCAGCCCCTCTGTCATGGTGCCGGTCACCTGTCAGCTGTTCAGGGGCAGCGCCTCGTTCTCCTATAGAAACCCGGCCCTTTCAAACTTGCGACTGCGCAGTTCGGGCACCCTCGCCGCTGCATAGCGTAAACAAGTTACGCACGGGGCAGACGGAAGCAAATACGAACGTGAGAGAATGAGGTCCCATCAGATCTCCTCCACTCTCAGCTTTTCTCTCCAGAAGGCTGTTTGGGGACAGACTGCCGCGCTCTTGAGCCCCCGCACCTGGCCTTGAACATGAACACTCCGAAAGAAGAGCTGCAGGACCGGACCATCGTCAGAATAGCAGCCCACCTGCCGGACCTCATTGTCTATGGAGACTTCTCCCCAGCGCGGCCCTCTGTGGACTATTTCGATGGAGTCTTGATGTTTGTTGATATTTCAGGCAAGCGCTGGAGGGATGTTGAATGTGGGCGAACACTGGGCAGAGCTGGATGGCAGGGTGGGGCTGCTTTGTCGAGCTTTTTGTGCCGCTGAGAGCAGATACTCCCCCGGGAAAGCGTCTTCCCCGACCGAGCCTGTCCACTCATGGGCGGCCTTTACTTTCTGATGCCCACGTCCCACACCTGGAACTTCAGGCTCCCCTGCCCCTGCCCCAGCTTCACTGAGTCAACCCCCAAGCTTCACACACATCCCAGGCAGAAGCGACCTCAAGGAATGGTCACTCTGCTCATTGTTTCCATCTTACCAGTAAACTGGCCATGGCTTCCGAAGCATTTGAGTTGTGCGCATTTGCATTACCAAGGGGTGGAAGTTCTAGACCTGCTGAAGGACGTGCAGCCCTACCTGTGCAAGTTGAGAAATTCTGAGGGAGGAGATACCTGGTGCTTGTCCCCGACCCATCAGGTCATAAGCAGAGATGGCAGAGGTTGTGTGGCTGGCACTGGACCAGCCACACCACCCTTTAAGAAGCAGCCCTGCCCACTGCCCTCCAGGGCGCCCTCTTCACCTGCCTCTGTCTGGCTCCAGCAGCCAAGGTGACTACCTGCCCTTCTATTACAGGTTTCACGGCCATGACCGAGAAGTTCAGCACAGCCATGTACATGGACCGCGGGGCCGAGCAGCTGGTGGAGATCCTCAACTACTACATCAGCGCCATAGTGGAGAGTGAGTGTCCCCGCACCCTGGCGAGGATGCTGTAGGTTCCCGATCTGTCTGTGTTGATGATGACCCAAAAGTGCACCACTGCTTAGCCCTGTTACCTTCCCCCAGGAAATGTGCATGGAGCCAGTGTTTCTGCTCATAGTACAGGCAGGTGAGGGAGTGTGACCCTCACTCATACAAGGTGTCCGAGGGAAAGACTGCTTTGCATTCGTTAAAGGATGAACCAGAGACCGCTTTAAAGAGAGCTGTTGTAGGGGTGCCTTAAAGCTGTATTCAATAACCCCAAGAAGCTAGCAATAGTGTAATCCAAAAGTAGCCATCAAGAAGATGCTAAATGAGCAGGCGAGTGATTCGTAGGAAGGTCCTCAGTAGTTTGTTTTCCTAACGATGGATCCGAAGGCACGAGGAGCTGACTGAGAAGCTGGGTCTCCTTTTCAGCCTCTGCCCACTGTCTCGCGGGCATTATTCACACAAACTGTTCATGGAGAACAGGATTACTCTCTCGCGGTCCACTCTGGGTCTCTTCTTTCATCGGGGTCTGAGGTCCTTCGTCACGCCTTCATGTTGGCCACTGGACAAAACATAACGCTCTGGGGATGCAGACTCTGTCTCATTCTTCCTCAATCTCACTCGGCACAGCAGTCTTCAACAAATTCATGATGAAGCATAAATAAGAGGGGAAAAAAGTCCATTCTTGTCATCAACCCTAAGTGAAGAAATGCGAGCCGGTAGCAAGCAAAGCCCAGCCTGACCTCGGCCACGGCTAACCGACTTTCTGGCTCTCAGTTCTGCAGATCCGAGGCACAGGCCCCTCGCCCTCGGTCCCTCGATCCCCAGCTCCTGTTGCGTGTCTCCATCAGCAAAGAGCTGTCCAATGCCACAGGAGTAGGGTGGGCGCCCCAGACCCCCTCAGAAATCCCACCCCCTCCTCTCCTATTCTTTCTTCCCATTTGCAGAGACAGGGCGCCTAGGCCCCTCTGGTTCAACGCACTCAGGGAGGGAACCTCCAGGTGGCTCTGAGTGACTTGTCTGAGAGGACAGCTTCAGGATCAGTCTCCTTTTTGAACTGCTGTCCTCCTGACCTAATTTCTACTCTGTGGAGGAAGAACGGATTCTTTTTGTTAGCTTTAAGTAGTTGGCATTTGATTACTTATTTTCTTTTTCCTTTTTTTCCCCCCTCAGAGGTGTTGCTATTTGGAGGAGACATCTTAAAGTTTGCAGGTACAGGGGCCTTCCTGCGCCCAGAGGGGCGGGAACGGGTGACTGAGGGGCCTGCGCCCTGATACAGCAGGAGCCTCGGAGGCAGCGGTGGCCAGGGACAGGGCTCCAGCAGGCTTGTGTGCAGCTGCCACGCACCCCAGCGGATCCCCGGGGCAGGTGACAAGCCCCCGGTGTGTCTGTGTCCTCAAGGTGACGCGCTGCTGGCCCTGTGGAAGGTGGAGCGGAAGCAGCTGAAGAACATCATCACGGTGGTGGTGAAGTGCAGCCTGGAGATCCACCAGCTGTTCGGAAACCAGGAGTCGGAAGGCCTGGACATCCGGGTCAAGATAGGTGAGCCTCAGAGCGGGGAGGGAGACGGACCGGGCCATCAAGGGGGCGAGTGTCCCGGGGGGACAGAAACGAGCAGCCGGCCTCCCAGCCCTGGGACAGCACGCGGCTGGGAAGGCCCAGCCCGGCGAGGCTTTCCCTGGCTGCAGCGTGAAAGCGTGGAAGCCGGGTCTCGCTTTCTGGTGACACAGTCACACCGAGGTTCTGCCACCCCCGAGGCCCCGTGCTGCACGGGCACCGTCCGGCACCTTCATCAACCTCTCCTTCCCCTCTCACCAGGACTGGCCGCCGGCCACATCACCATGCTGGTCTTCGGAGACGAAACGCGTAACTTCTTCCTGGTGACCGGCCAGGCGGTGGACGACGTGCGCCTGGCGCAGAACATGGCCCAGATGAATGATGTCATTCTGTCGCCAAACTGCTGGCAGCTCTGCGACCGGAGCATGATTGAAATCGAGCGGATCCCAGACCAGAGAGCAGTGAAGGTGGGTGGGAGGCTGTCCCTGGCAGAAAGTTCTGCTGGCCTGTGCCAGGGGCCACCGCTCGGAGAAGTCCCCGGGAAGGCAGCTTCCCCGAGGGCATGGGACTGCGGCCTCGGGGTTGCGGGGTCAGGGCGCTCAATCTGGGGTAGACTTCCAGGGCGTTAGTCCAGAGACACCTCCTCTGTGGGCAGCTCAGGCGGCTGCATGCAAGAGACAGCCCCTCTCCAGCCTCTCGTAGTAACTGAGGACTCGGAGGCCTCTTGGGGGGCTGGTGCCCGCTTCAGGAAGAGGAAATATCCCCTGGCCAGTCCCTAGGTGCAGAGGGTCCTCATTCTGAAGGCTGCCGTTGGCCCTCACCCGAACCACTCAACTCCCTCTTTGCTTCGGGTGAGGGATCGCTGGGGCGATGAGACTGTTCTGGTGGCCCTGCCTGGTGGGACCGCCGTGACCCTCCCTGGAAGACCGGCTGGACACACAGCTGGCCTGGGATGCGGCGGTGAGAGAGCTGTGCTCTCAGAGTGTACAGGGGAGGGACCGTGGGAAGTGGGGGAGATGCTGGCGAGGACAAGAGGCGCCCCGCTGTGCCTCAGTGCACAGCCCTGCCACTCGCCCTCCTGCTCGCCTGTCCCCTGGCCCTCCTCCCCATCTGCAGCCACTCCTGATGCCTTTCAGGGTGGTGGTGATGGTTAATTAACTTTAGACTCACAGAAAATGCCCCAAAATAACAGAGTTCCCGTGTGTCCTTTGCCCTCAGTGGCACCACCCTTCCAGCCAGCGCACAGGAGGTAGACCCAGAACGTCAGTGCTGGCGCAGGGCTGCTCACCAGGGAGAGCCTTGCATGGCTCCGCCAGCTTTCCCGCCCGTGTCCCCCACGGGTGTCCCCAATGCTGGCCAAGGCCTTGCCCTGCAGCCGCTGCGGCTCTCACTTCATCCCCTGAGGCCACAGTGCTTCCGTGTCCCCTGGTCTTTTCTGACCTGGGCACCTAAGAACAGTGCTGATCAGTCACTTTGTCAACAGTCCTGTCCTTTCGTGTTTCCTGGCCTTTTCTCATGATCGGACCGAGGTTGTCCGTTTGGGGGCAAGAACACCACAGAAATGAGGTCGTGCCTTTCTCTGCATGCTCTGCCGTGGGGTTCATGACCTTGACATGAGTCGTATGCCTGGGGACGTTTCTGACTCCTTTTTGGGCATCAGCCCCTTTGCCCCTTTCTCAAGAAAGAAGTGATGTACAGTTTCACCAGGTTGTATTTGAATCAAAGTGTTATGAAAGGCAAAAAAACAAACAAACAAACATCCTTTTCAAAAGGGGAAGAGTGTACAGGTTGGCCCCGCCTCGCCCCTGGAATGGCCCTCTGGGAGTGCACGTGAGATTGCCGTCTTAACCACCGACGGGGGCCGTGGTGTACGCGATCACGTCCAGTCAGAGCCCTGCACTCAGTGCCGTCCCGTTTATCACGCCCGGGCGTTCGGAAGCCTGCTCCCCGCCCTTTCTGCTGAGAGAGCGCCCCCCGAGGCCCAGGCCACCCTCCCAATAACCAAAGCCTTCTCTCTTTTTAAATTTAGGTCAACTTCTTAAAACTACCCCCTTCTTTTAACTTCGATGAGTTTTTCAAAAAGTGTATGACTTTCATGGATTATTATCCTTCCAGTGACCACAAAAGTAAGTACCCTTTGCCGACGAGAGTCCCTGCCTCGCTCTACTCCCCATCCCAGACCTCTCGCCAGACGAGCCCGGGGCCCAGGCTCCCTCTACTCCCCAGACTCTTCCATCTTTACTCACCCAGTGGACGCAGGCAAAAGTGCCGCGGGTCTGTGTGTGCACCTGGTCTTCCAGCACGAGCCCCTGACACCTAGCTTCTCGTCCCTGTCTCCTCCCGTCTGCTGTGACTGCTTATGCCAGAGTGCCAGTGACCGATAGGGGTGGCCTGTCCTCAGGCCACACCCCAGGTGGTTGGCCCTAGATTACGCTCTTTCTCTGGACACCATCTTCTCTGCTTTGCTCAGTCTCAAGAATATCTTCCCTGGTTTTGCTTTTACCTGTCAAAGCCTTAGATGGTGGTGACTCCAGAATCTGCCCTTGACCTTCTAGCTTTCCCTGCTTGCCTCGTGGAGAACATGCATCCAAACATAACACCCTGTGACCCCCAGCAGGGCTGGGGTGAGGGTGAGGAAAGTGGGAGCCGGGAATACAAAACGTAAGGGCACCCTACTGTCCGTCTCGCAAGTTGCTTGCCTCCCGCACATCCCCGCCCTGACTGCCAGACGCAGCCCGGACCTCTGACCTGGGCCGTGGACTCAGCGAGACTGCCAGCAGGCCAGGTGCTCCAACAGGAATGTGTTGTTGAAAAAACAATGAAAAGAGACAACTTCGGCGACACGAACAAACTTCACGTAACAAAGTGGGCAGTTTCCTTAACACGACAGTTTCCTTTCAGAGAAACTGTAAAATAGGGCAGAAATCAAGACGCAGGAACAGGGCGGAGGGCGAAGAGCAGAGAGAGACATACGGAGATGACCTGCCTGGCCGGGGCCACACATTAAACCCGGCCCGGGTGAGAAGGCCCGGAGCTGGTTTGGAACCAGGGGCTCGGCGGCCTGGGTGGGCTTTTCGGCCAAGCAGAGCCTCCCTCTTGCGATGAGTGGTCAGCCTCCTGAACTTTCCTCCTGCCGTTCCCTCAGCCCCATAGCCTCCTTCACTCCGTCACCATCGTCCACTCCTGTCGTCCCCTCATCCGTCCATTCCCATCGCCCGTGGCAGCAGCGTGAGGCCCAGTATCGGGGGGGGGGGAGCCTCCTGGAGCCCCAGCACGTGACAGTTAGGATGGGCTTTGAGCGGCGCACCGTTGAGTTCTGAGACGACGCACGACCTCCGAGAACTTCTCACTGGGTTTCCCTTGGTCCTATTTAGCCACTGGGTGTCCCCCGGCTGACCTGTGGTGATACTGCCCCAGCAAGTGGGGGCTGGGAGGTGCCCCTCTCCACCCCACAGGGCCAGGCTTCCCTTTCTGAGCCCGCCCCTCCTCTGCCCTTTTAGACCTCCTGAGGCTTGCGTGCATGCTGGAGTCGGACCCGCAACTGGAGCTGTCCCTGCAAAAGTATTTGATGGAAAGCATCCTGAAGCAGGTATTTTCTTCATTCAGTGTCCTGGCTTTGGGGGTGTCGGGGACCTTGGACAGCTGGAAAGATCAAGAACTGCGGCCAGTCATCTGTTACGTTGAAATAAGAGGGGGACCGGCATTCTCCAGGTGTAGGGAGCTGTGGAATGCACGGTTTGCGTCAGGACACTTTGCAGTTAGAGGGGCACCGTTCCTCATTACACTGTGACAGCGCATGCAGACTAGGGTGGGCTGTCTGCTACAGCTGGGCCAGCCGGAGAGGTCCTGCGCGCAGAGGAACCTCAGGCCCCCTTTCTGTACGCCCCTGCGTGCGGAGATGCCCGGCGGTGAACGGGGCGCACCACTTCTGTGAGTCACCTGCATTAGATGTGAAGCTTTGAAAGTTAACAACACAGGTCATTAAAACTCCCAGAACTACCTCCCACCCCCAAGACTTCCCCTCTGTGTTCTGAAGAAAAGAGTAAGTTGGGAGCTCTCAGAGTAAAAAGAAGGCACATTCTCGAACCGAAGCAGTCTTAGCCTCTGCGTTGGTCCGAGACCATGGTCTTCCGGGGGTCAGGGGTCTGGGCAGTGAACGTTCCTAACGGCCTGAAGAGGGCTGTCTGTAGGCCCTGGCTGGTACAGCTCAGTGGATTGAGCACGGGCCTGTGAAGCAAAGGGCTGCCAGCTTGATGCCCCGTCAGGGCACATGCCTGGGTTGCAGGCCAGGTCCCCACTGGGGGACACATGAGAAGCAACGCACATCGATGTTTCTCTCCCACTCTTTATCCTTCCCTTCCCTTCTCTCTAAGAATGAATAAATAAATAAAATGAAAGAATTACATATCACCATCGGCAAATCTAGTAGCAATCCGTTTAGTGTCCCATGGAAGGATAGGAGGACTGGGTAGAGTCGGGGGTGAAAGGCAGAGTCTCAGGGTAAAGCAGGATGGCAAAAGCAAGACCAGCTGAAGACCAGGGTGGCCTGGGTGGCCAGCCCCTAGGCAGCCTGAGGCTGGGTGTCCAGAGGCCCTGTGGACGAGAGCCAAGAGTGCCCCGAGCCCCCGAGCGAGAGAGAGAAAGAGAGAGAGAGAGCAAGTCCTTTGTTCTGAGGACTTACATAGTTGGCGGGATAGGAGGGAAAAGAGTTACATACTGATTAACGGGGTAAATGTGTAGCCAGCTTTCCTGGGGGAAAGTGGCTACCCAAACTTAGGTGCGTGTGGGGTCTGCCAGTCCGAACCTTTCTCTTGCTCCAGACTCCATTTGTTCATCTTGTGGTAAAACAAATACCTGACAAGAGACAGTTAATTAAAATTGGGGCACTTTCCAAAGTTATTTATGGGCTCTTTCTGTGAGCATCAGGGACTCCCTTGGAAAACAAGTAGTGACCAGAGGTAGGCAATTAACCAAGGTTGTTTTATGGGCTCCTTCTGTGGGCACCGGGGACCCTCTCCCGCATTCAGGTCTTGGGATGAAAGCGCAGTGTCAAGGCTTTCTTTCCCAGACAGTGATAATGTTACATAGAATTTCAAGGACTTCCCTTCTTTCTTGCTAACAACAGTATTTCTTATGCTGTTGGCCCACCTGGCAATATTATCAGACCAGGCTCAGGACTACTGAGTCAGTGTGTGAGACTTGTCTCCTTCCTCCTGCCTGCCTCGGTTTACTGTTTATTCTCTCTAATGGGTCTAAGGCGTTTCCTGGCTGAATGCTGGCTGGTAACAGTATTGCAGTCTCAGCGTGCTTCCTATGCTGTCTCCTGCTTCAAAGAGATGCAAAGGGCAAGCCCTGCGCCCTTGCCTGAGGCCGCCTGCCCCCCAGAGCACAGAGAGCATTGGGAATATGTGTTTGTCTGTTCCAAACCAACACCCAGTCACAGGGTCCAATAGAGCAGTCTCTAATTTTTTAATCATTTTGTTCGATAGGTTTTAATATTTAGCAATTAATGTTGTCCATGTGTTTAATATGGATTATGTAATAAGTTTGTTTGAAAACCCATCAGGTTGGTTAGTTTGAAATAATTATGTTGTCTTTGACAACAGCAGGACCTTCCCAGCTACTTCGGAAGTGTGGCTTCAGGCTGTCCCTCCCTACCTCCCCCCATCGCCCCTGTGCCCCACCCCCTACCCCTGCAGTCCCCTTTCTGGCTGGAAGATCTGTTTCCGTGGTCCATGGGTAATCTGACCCTTTTGTGCTGTTCGAGGAAGGGAAAACATGCGATGGTTTTCCTCCATCAATTTGCCATGCACTTAATTCCACACAGTTCTAGAATGAAGATGGGTGGGGATGACTTGGGAACCCTGTCCCCGGAGGGCAAGGGGAGCTGAAAGGAAACACGCCACGCCAGGGAGGCGCGGCGCCGCGGTGCGGCAGATGGAACAGCGAGCTAGGCGTCTGGAGATTTTGGTTCTGGAGCTGTCTCCCCAGGTGACCCTGGACAACCTGCGGTATTTGTCTCTGCCTCAGCTACTAGTCAGGAAGAGGAGGCTAACAATGCTGATTTTATTTCACTGGGGGATGAAGCAGGGCAGGACGTGAAAATGTGTCAGAAGGCACCAACCAGGCTGTGAAAATCTAAGGCTGAGTTACATAGTTACGCTGGTCTCGTCCCTGAGCTGCAAAGCAGCCCCGAGGAATGGTGGTTCTCTCTAGTAGGAGGAGCAGCGGCAGGCCCCCAGCGGGCTGTCGCTTTCCAAAAGTTAGCAGATGTGTGAGTTCCCGTTGCAAGAGGCTGTGCTAAGTGAATTGATTTCTGCCTGCTGCACTTTGGGCCGGCTCTGCCCGGCTGCGCCCGGCTGTGCCTCACTCACAACCTGGTGGCTTCTGCTTCCCCAGAGAATCTCCACAGGCTCCTTCCCACCCAGTGATCATTTCTCGTGTGGGGTGGGGTGAGGCTGAGAGGCAGGACCCCCCACCCCCCAGCCAAAGACTGATGCTAAGGAAAGCCTCTCTCTACCTGGCAGATTGACGACAAACAGCTCCAGGGTTACTTGTCTGAGCTCCGCCCAGTAACCATTGTGTTCGTGAACCTGACATTTAAGGACCAAAACAAAGCCGAAGTCCTAGGCCCGGCCATCCAGGAGGCCTCCGTGCACATCAACTCTGTTGTGCGGATCTTCCGAGGCCAAATCAATAAAGTCTTCATGTTCGACAAGGTAGGTGGGTGCGAGGGCTGGGGACCTGTCAGTGGGTTGAAGTCTGTACTCCTGCCCAGGGACACTGGTGGGAGGGAGGGGGTGCTCACTTCAACCTCAGAGCGTCAGTCTTCACTGTCTCCACGGGCGCCCCGTCTGCAGCGGGGGAGGCCTTGTGGCCCAGGGGTTGTTCTCAACGCCTTCCATCTTCACGACCACCCCGAGAGGCAGGCGCTCTTACGATCAGCCCCACTTCACCGAGGAGGACATTGAGTCAGAGATGAGCATACCCAGACAAGACAAGACAAGATTCAGTTTTGCGCAGGGTCATCAGCTTGTAAGCGGTGGGCTGGGGCTCCCACCCAGGCGCGAGCCTTCCCAGTCTGGGCTCACCCAGCTCTCCCTGCATGTCGCCCTCCAGCCCAGCACACAACGCGTCCCTCAGAGTCAGGGCAGGCGCTCCGTAACTCTCACACCCCGGACCTACGCTTATAGCCCCCCATCAGCCCCGTCAGGGGCGCAGGGACCGGGGCGAGGGTTGGGGTGGGTAGGTGGGAGGGGCACCTGTAATAAGCACAGACAAGACCAAAAGGGATAAACGAAGTATCGCAGAATTGCTGGTGGCAGTGGGTGCTCCTTCTCAGACGTTTTTTGTGTCTTGGGACCAGAGCATTTAGTGACTGTGCCCCACTAATCCGTTAATCCAATAAACACTTAGGGAGCCTTTGCGGAAGGCTGACAGCTAGGACTGGGCAGCCCCGGGAGGTGACCGGCACACCCTGCCACACTGCCACACAAAAGGGACTGGTCCGTGTAAGGCCAGGGGACGCGGTGCCGGGAGGGTTCTGGGGCAGCAGCGACACCAGCCTGCTGCCCCCCAGCATGTTCTCTCACACTCACCTGTTAGTTTCATGAGACAGGAGCACAGGGCCTGAGGTTGGCCTCTCGTGTCTGGCACACGGGCTCCAGCAATTCCTGGCTGCGTGACCTTCGCAAGTCTTTGAACTTCTCCGAGCCTTGGTTGGCTCATGAACAGTCATAGGGATATTATTGGGACGGGGACAATATTTGCCTCAGGGGATTGTTGCAAGTCTTGAAATGCACGTGGAGCCCTTGGGGCAATGCCCAGCACATGGGCTCCGTGACCCGCTGGCCCCATGGCCGGGCCACAAGACGAAATCTCCAAGCGAGGCAGACCACCGGTGCCCCCAAAATGGTGCCCTGCAGTCCCTCTGCAGGCCTGGAGTTAGGACCAGACCTGCTCATGTTGTTTATCCTTTCTGCATATACTGTAAAGTATGCATGCTACATAAAAATATATACAGTGTACTGTATGTGCTATATGAAGCACACATATACCACAGAGTAGATTACAAAGTGTAGGTTAACTTTGTGCATTTGTTACCTACCACAGGGTAACAACTTGTTTAAATACATGACGTCACTCGGTTTAGTGGCCGAAGCGGCCTCCACAGGCCCAGGTTCCACCCCCTCTCAGGCCAATAAACTGGCTTGTCCAAGGCGCTGCACTTGGGAAGCGGCTGAGAACACAGATTTTCCGGCCCAAGCTGGAGTCTTCTCCCCTGCTCTGTGCTGTTTCTCAGACTTACGCTCAGCACTGTGCAGCCTATGACCTTGGCCACCAGAGAGAGAGAGGCTAGACTGGAGCATGCAGACAAATAGCTCAGTGCAACCCATTATTTCTGGAGCCAAAGCAACCCTTCTGGGGCTGGAGCCTTGCCATAGATGCTGCACCAGAAGCTGCCTGAAGTTTGCCCAAAATACAGCAGGGGTGAGGGAGCTCTGACGGGGCCTGATTTGCAACGGGAGCTGTGTCCACCTGCTGTGTGCTGCCTCTGTCCCCTCACAGGGCTGCTCCTTCCTCTGTGTCTTTGGGTTCCCCGGGGAAAAGGCGCCCGACGAGGTCACTCACGCCTTGGAAAGCGCTGTGGACATATTTGACTTCTGCTGTCAGGTCCACAAAATCCAGTGAGTACAGACCCTGCTCCCATCTCCCGGTCCCTGACCCCTCTGCGGGATACAGGGGGACAAGACAAGGGGGTTGGGAGAGCAGGAGAGGGCTGTCTGGACCCGCAGAGGGGGCACCCCCAGCTCTGCCACAGTAGGAGGGATGGTGAAGGAAGGTGGAAAAAGGACACACCTCAAAAGCCAGCATGTGCCAGGTTTGCGGAGAGGCTGGCTGGTGTCTCTGTACTTCCAGCCTGCTGCTTGGTTGAGCCCGAACTCCTCACACCTTGTTGGAGTCCTGAGCCTGTTTTTAGTAACTGGGAGGTGAAATGAGTCCGTGGGTTGAAAATTTACAGACTGACGGGGCCTGAGATGGGTCCACTCACAGTACAGCTGGAACTGTAAGGTGTGCCATTGGCAGCCCTGGTCGCCCCCACGGCTGGTGCTCTCAGGCTTCCTTGGTCTCAGCATCCTCATGACCCTGACCCGCAGCCCCACCCTCGTCGACTCCAACGGGTCACCTCTGACCAAGTATTTCAGCCCCTAGTCATCTCTCTGTTCAGGTGGGTCTATTTGCAAGGGCAGATCTTGATGGCACACACCTCTCCTGAATTACAGTGGCTGGTTCTTTCCCATAATAGCAGAGAGTTACGTTGTCCTAGGGACACTAGTCCTTTCCAGTGATGAGGAGTTACTTGCCAGAGGAATAGCTCAAGTGAATACTTAAAAGAACCAGAAAAGTGAACTGAGTTACCACTTCTGAGAACCTAGCTCCAAGTCTCCAACTCTCCATGCCTCCAGGCCACCTGCAGCCCCCTGAACTGAATCCAAAGGGGAGGGCATAATGGGTTGAACATCCTCTCCCACCCTCCCTGCCCCTTCATCACCATGTCCCCTCCCCCCGCTCCCCCCCACTCACTGTCTCTCTCCCCCCACAACCCTCTTCTTGCCGGGTGCCAGCACCGTATCCGTGGGCGTGGCCAGCGGGACTGTCTTCTGTGGCATCGTGGGACACACAGTGAGACATGAGTACACAGGTGAGCTGGGCTGGCCTGTCCCACTCTCCTTTCAGAGACCCCCGGGCCTTGCCCCCGGCTTGGGGGAAGGACTAAAGAAGTGAGACACGGGCCCAGCCGTCAGCCCCTTTACCGTCTTCCGGACGGAGCCAAGCCGTGTGGTTCCATCCACAGACACAGTGGCCACGCCGTGTGTGTTCTGGGGCTTTGCGTGAGACAGAGGGGTCGAGAGGGGGCAGAGTACGAGGGGCCTTCCTAAGCAATTTCCTGTTAACATGAAGCGCCAGCTCTTCTTAGTGCCTGGGATGGGTGAGGACCACTACTTATAAGTCGTGACTATTGGTGTGGCTGGCAAACAGTACCAGCCTCCAAAGAGGACAGCAGGTGGGTGTCATCTCAGGATGTCACTGCTCGTTCCACTGCTTCCCTCTCCAGTCCTACTGGGGTTTCCGATGTTCAGAGATGACATGTCCGAAACACTGAAATAGTTATGTCGGGAATGATGCCATTTCTGAGATTCCCTTCAAACTGCTACAGCATGGAGAGTGGGTGGGGCCGCGGCCAGGGCAGGTTGGCTGCCGGCTAACGGCTTTGGGACTGGGCAGTGGGCACACGAAGGGTCTGTGCGGTTGTCTGTGGCCAGACTTCTCCATAATAAAGAGGTTTCTTAAGGAGTACCTCAATCAGAAGCATTTAAGTGTGTTTTGCAGTTAATGCCTCATTGGTGGTGCTGTTGATGCAGGGCTTGCGGGGGGTCAGGCCCTGCTGAAACACCATCAGGAGCCCGTGTGTTAACTCAGGAATCTTCATCAGCTCCTAGCTGAGAGCGGCACTGCTGTCCCCATCTTACAGAGAAGGAAACTGAGGCACGGAAGGGTTCAAGTAACTGGCTAGTGCACTAGGAAGCGGTCGAGCTGGGGGCCAGCCCCTCGTAGCTCGGCTCCCGCATCTGTGCACCACGGCGCGGTCCCCGCCAATACGGCCCCGAATCAACCTGACCCACATCCCCTTCCCAGCCCCTCGCTCACGCGTAAGGAATCACCAACTGGAGGTGGCTCCTGTGGAAAAGGAAATGAAATGACAACGTTCATGGTCAGACAATATGAACGCAAACTTGTGCCTCACTTGGAGGTCAGTGGCCCAGGCCCGAGCTTGTGCCTGTCCATCTTGTCCAGGACCAAGGACAGCTCACCTGAGGGCCCTCAGGCCCGTGGGGGCCCCAGTGCAGAGCCGACCCGTGTGTGGGCCCTCCCTCTCTCAGCAGAGCTCGCTGAGTGAGTTCACTGCCTGCAGACTCTCAGTAGCCATTGTCTGAGGAGGGTAGTGAAGGTGGGCTTACATCATCCCTGAGAGGCGGAGGGAGTACAGGGTTCCAGTGCCCCTGGGGGCCAGTGCGTCTCAGGTTACAGTCGGTCCAGCTGCGTTTCCCCCTGCCCTCTGCTTTCCTCTCCTGTCCAGTCATTGGTCAGAAAGTCAACATCGCGGCCCGAATGATGATGTACTACCCGGGCATCGTGACCTGTGACTCCGTCACCTACAACTGCAGCAGCCTGCCGGCCTACTTCTTCAAGGAGCTCCCGAAGAAGGTCATGAAAGGCGTCGCGGACCCCGGGCCCGTCTACCAGTGCTTGGGCCTGAACGAGAAAGTGTGAGTTTGGGCACCGCCTGCCCGGGCTCCTGGGGAGAGAAGAGGGCGAGGGCCAGCCTCTGACCCTGGGGTCTGTCCCTGCCCAGCCCGAGGCCCAGGTCCCAAACCCTCCCCGCTCTGCACCCTGCTGACACCGCAGCGCAGGGGAGGCCCCGTCCCGCCTCGGTCCTGAGAGCCCGCGGGAGACTCCTCAGAGGCCGTGCGCACAGAGCAGGGGCCCTCCCCACCGACCATCTCTGTGGGCCACGCCGGCCAACCGTGAGTTTGTGTTCGCCGCACCCACTTCACGCCGGCACTGCCGCACTCCCAGAGCGCGAGACACTGTTCCTCCTCGGGGCCTTCTGCCCGGCGCATCCCCCGAAGCCCAGCCTGGCCCCAGGGGTGTGTCCCTTTGGGGCTTGAGGTCCTGCAAGGGCTTCCGGTCATTTTCACGATGGCGTTTCAGTTCTTTGCAATGATATACAAGATAACCACCACCCTTTCCCACCTCACCTCCCAATGCCCCCACCCCCCAGCTCAGCCAGCCCAGCACCTCCCTCCCATCACACCTGTGTGACCCCGTGAGCTCCTTGAGGGTCGCGGTGATTTCCTGGTCGTTCTCATATCCTGGCACTTGGCATGCAGCAGGTACTCCGTGATGACGAGGGAATGAACGGCTGGTGAGGAGTGTACAGAGGTGCTGTCCCTTCCATTGTCCAGCTGGAGTCTAGGCCTGGAAGGGTCAGAGGAGGGAATCGGGACGGCAGCTGGGCCAAGGGGTCCTTATCATTCACCCTGTTTCCCAGGGCTCGGCCCTCGGTGTGCGTTCACCACCAGGGAGGTGCTTTTTGAATAAGCAAACAAATAGTTATAAGTTTTGTGAGCCCTTGTTAGACATTGGGTCCTTGATCTCAAAATATATAATGTATTCTTAACATGAACCGTATCAGGTGGAAACTGGTATTATCTTCCGTTTATAAATTTCACAACTGAGGCTCGAAGCCGTTGAACGACTTGTCTATGGTCACGAGTGTAGTAAGCAAGAGAGACAAGGTTCAGAGGCCGCCTTAGTACAACCACGAGACCTCAGTGGTTCGCAGCAGGCGTTACTTATCTCAGAGGTCACAGGGGTTCAACTGGTCTTGGCCGGATTTGGCTGTCCCTGCCTCGGCTCATTGACGCCCCTCAGGTTCAGCAGGTTGTTGGCTGACCCAGGATGCCCAGTGGTAGGATAAGCGGGCAAGTTGATTGGCATTAGTGGGACAGTTTGTCATCCTCCATCAGGAAGGCCGTCCCGGCCATACCAGAGGAGCGAGAGAGAGCAAGCCCAGTGCACAAGCCTTGGTGTTGCATTTGCTGGCATCCCATTGGCCGAAGCATTCCCACAGCCACGCCCACTGGGGGAAGGGCACCGCCAGTTAGCTAGCCAGGGGCCCAGACACCAGTGGAGGCCAACCTGCCGCGGAAACCCAGGCTGCCTGGTCCCAAAGCCTGCCCTCTTCCCAGCGTCTGTACCATCTCCACAAACAAGAGAGTGTAGAAACGCACATACGAACGTGAGCAGGGGCTGGTTCCTGCCCCGAGAGCTCACAGCATGACGGGGGAGACCGACACACACACACACGATCAGCCGTGTGTAACACAGGACACTTGGCCACGTGCTGTAACGGGTATAATGAGGCAGAGCGACAGTGCAGACAAGGGAAGGAGCTGTTTGACCAAAAAGCCTCCTCCCAGAGAGACGGTGCCATGTGCCGAGTAGACTCTGTCCACGTCCGCCCTGGTAGACATGTGTCCATGTCCACCCTGGCCTCCTCACCACTAGCCGTGGGGCCTCGGGCCAGATAAACTCTCTGTACCTCCATTTCCTCACTCGTACCGTGGACATCATAATAGTATCTTGTGAATAAGGGTTTGCCAGGAGTTAAGGAAATGACACTGTGTACCCGAAGCTGTGCGGGGCACAGGGCGCGTGCTCCGTGAAGGCGAGTTGGGACTGTCTGCGCCCATCGCAGATGCGTCCCGTGGTGGGAGACGATAGGCCACGTGCAAGTCGCTGGAGTCCTCTGCTGGGCCCCTGGTTTCCCGGGAAAGCGGTCGGTTCTGCCAGTGCAGACTCAGCAAGCATTTGTTGAACGCTGCATGGGTGCTGAGGAGAAGGCCGCACGCGGGTCTCTGGACTCCCTAGTGCCAGGCAAGCACGCCTCCTCCCCTGCGCCTGGCTTCGGCAGCCCCTGAGTCAGGGCGCACTCGAGTTAGAGACCGGAAAGGAGGCGTCCCGAGGCCCGAGGACCGCCGCGGGCTCTCAGGATGGCCGGCTCTGACCCCGCATCTCTCCCCTTCTTCCCGCCAGCATGTTCGGGATGGCGTACCTCGTCTGCAACAGGAATGAGTGCTACCCTTTGCTGGGTAGGTACAGGCCTTGACTTTCAGACTTCTCCCTCGAACTGTAACAAAACACACAGAAATGTACACCGGTGATAAGCCTGCAGCTTCATGAATTATCACCAATGAACCTACGAACACCATTCAGACCAACAAGTATGGGGGTGCTCAGGGAACCCCCACATGCTAGTCTCTCCCCCCTTCCCAAATAGATGGCGTGAGAACATCATATAATTACACATGCCTTCCTTCCACTGATCAGGGGAGGACGGCCTGGGTCCTCCATAGTCATCTGTCCAGGGGACAAGGTTCAGCCCCAAATGAGTCTCCGGCTCTTTTGGAGTCTCCGACGGAACTGCTGAGAGATTATGGCTAGCTTTCAGATTTTAATCTGGGCATCCCGTGGCATAAATTTTTTAAAAGATTTTATTTATTTATTTTTAGAGAGGGGAAGGAGGAAAGAGAGAGAGGGAGAGAAACATCAGCATGTGGTTGTATCTTGTGGGACCTAGCTCGCAACCCAGGCATGTGCCCTGGCTGGAAATTGAACCGGCACCTCCTGGGTTCCCAGGCCCGCACTCAGTGCACTGAGCCACACCCGCAGGGGCCCCGCGGCATAATTTAAATGCCCACAAAATAACGGCGACTGGGCTGCAATGTCAGCTGACTTCTATTTTCCTCTTTGCCTTTTCTACATTTACCATATTTTCCATAGGGAGTGTATGTTTTTTTTAATTTTTAAAAAGATTTTATTTATTTATTTTTAGAGAAAGGGGAAGGGAGGGAGAAAGAGAAGGAGAAACATTGATCAGTTGCCTCTTGCACACCCCCAACCCGGGACCTGGCCCACAACCCAGGCATGTGCCTTGACTGGGAATCGAACCAGTGACCCTTCAGTTCACAGGCCGGTGCTCAATCCACTGAGCTGCACCAGCCAGGGTGTGCAATTTCTCATGCACAGGGTGTGCAATTTCTCATGTGGGCAAGTTTCCTTCACAGACTTAGAAGTAAAATAATTGCAAATAAAATGTTCTATCTGTGATCATTCAATATAGGAGCCTAACTATAATAAATGTATTTCCTCACAAAACAATCTATAAATGACTTCTGTGTTATAGAAAAGGAAAACAAGAATTAGAGGCAGCCCTGGTTTACTTCCTGGCTATGCAATCCAGGCAAACTCCAGTTTTCTGCACGAAAATTAAGTGGACATTCTACTGCCCATTACGAGAGCACTTTCCCTCACAACATGTGGGAATCAGAACTGGGGCAAAAATCATATCGTTAACTGGAAAGCTCTAGACAAAGATTTCAGAACTTTTTAAAGTACAGAACACCGGGCGGAAGTCCAGGAACAGCACCGTGGGAGGGGTGCCGAGGGTGGTCTCAGGTGCGCTATCGCTATGGGCTTCTCTACGTTTCTAGACTATTCTGTGTTGATTGAGTTTGCTCCCTTTAAAACAAAACAAAACATCGGCAGGGCGTGACAGGGAGATCAGCTACTTCAAGAAGACCATGAAGGAGTTTCTGACGTCCAACTGCAGCCAGGTCCTCATGTTCGAAGGGATGCCGGGCTACGGGAAGAGCCAGATACTCATGGGTCTGGAGTACCTGTCCCAAGGTGAGAACCACAGGTGAGTGGCTTGCAGCGGCCCTTTCTTTCCCGTCAACCCAGAGAATCCCAGTGCCCAGAAAAACTCGCTCTGTCTTAGTGCACCTCTCCTTTATGGAATCGGTCTCCTGTAAACTCCACACACTCTCTCGACCGTGGGGTGCCCTGTACCCTTGTCCTAAATAAACAAATAATAATAAACACACAATGAGCTCAGAAAATGGGGAGCCGGGCTGACCCCAGGGGAGCCTGATTTAATGTTAGACAGGGCTTGGACATCAGCGTGGTAACGCTTTGTACACAACCCCAGCGTGTGGACAGGTCTGAACAGCCGGCGCAGAGGTGGGGGCCACACTGGGTTTCAGGACGAGCCCGTAAAGTGACCGGCCTGCTGCCTGTCCCTGGCCCAAGCCCTTCCGCCCTCTCTGGGAGCAGGAGTGGGGAATGACAGGTCCCCATGTGCCCTCCGGGACGCACCGCTGGGGGCCGTACTCACACCATTCGCTGGTCTGTGTCTGCAGCACCCGTGTCCCCAGGGCCCTCCTTGGGACAGCCTGTCCAGCACCTTCATGTGCCGGTCAGCCTGGTATTTAGCGACAGTGACAGGAACCAAGAGGATGGTGGCGCTGGCTCCTGCTCTGCTTCTACCATGTGACCTGAAGGCTGGGAGGGGAAAACACTTTTTAGCCTCATATTATTTTTAGCTGTGTCTGCACACTTTCTAAATATCAGGGCTGAAATAGGCCAGGCCTAAAATGCCTTGAACATTGGGAAGGAGATAATTCGCAATCACCAGGAGGCACCTAGGCCTCCCTTTACTCCAGCACTTAGGGAGTTGACTCCGTGTCCCGGGACCTGCTAAGCTCTGTTCATTTGCTGGAGTTGCTGTAACTGGGTGGTTTCGCCAGCGGAGATGAGTTGTCTGAGTGCTGGGAGCTGGGAGTCCAAGAACATGATGTGGGCAGGGTGGGTTTCTTCTGACAGCCACAAGGGACAACCTGTTCTGTCTGGGCTTCTCCCCTGGCTTCTGGGGCTTTGCTGGCCACACTGGGTGCTCCCCGGCACGCAGAAGCGTCACCCCAACCCCTGCCTTGCCTCGCATGGTGTTCTCCTTGCCTGTTGTCCACACTTCCCCTCATAAAGACTCTGTCATTTCGGATTAGGGTCCCGCCCTGCTCCGCGCCTTAACTTCACTATATCGACAGTGACCCCGCTCCCAAATAAGGTCCCATTCTGCAGTCCTGGGGGTCAAGGCCACACCACACAGGTCTGAGGGTTTAGAGGGAGGACCGTCTTCACACGCGGATGGAGAAATCCGATCTCCGCCCTGAAGGAGCTCTTGCAGAAGAGAGAGGACAGTAGAAATGGAAGGTGGCGAGGACAATGACAGAGGCAGGCACAGAGTAGGGTGGCAGCAGAGAGAGGGTGTGTGACCTGACCTTGGGGCATCAGGGAAGGTCTCGGAAGGCTGTCCCTGAACCGAAGTGGACAGATGGGGGGGCACTGTGAGTGGGTGTGATAACGCCCAGGCCAGGGAGGCAGCCAAAGCAGAGAGTCCGCAGCTCGGGGCTGCTGATCGCTGGGGGCGGGAGGCAGGCTACTGGGCAGAGACTGGCCAGAAAGTCCACCGTGGGGCCTTGGGAGGTCTTGTATGTGACATAAAGGAGTCCAGACCGACAAGTCTGGGAACGGGAGCCCCCGGAAAACGGGTGGGAGGGAAGATTTGCACCTCTTGCAATACGTCAGCCCTGTGAAGGCAACGCACTCGGTGTGCGCACGCCGGGCAGGGGCAGGGACAAGAGCAGAGGGCCCGCAGTAAGGTAGAGGACGCGGGGGAAGAAGGGACAGCTAGGTGAGCTGTCACAGCTTCTGGTCCCAGCGGAGCGAGGCCGTGGAGGGGGAGCAGGAGTGAAGACGGGTTTGCAGACCGAGTGGGGGAGTTTCCCTTATAACAGCTGCATGCGAAGAGTCACAGCTTCCCTTCAACCTGTCACCTCAAAACATAGATTTAAGAACTCTCTTGCAGCTCTTCTCTTTGTGACCTCCTGATTCTTGGCTCTCTTGTAAACAGGACCATTGCTATCGCACTGACTAAGGTCAGCTTCCACCAAAATTTTTATACCATCCAGATACTCATGGCCAACGTCTTAGGTCTGGACACCTGCAAACACTATAAAGAACGACAGAGCAACCTTCAGAATAAAGTCAAGGCACTGCTGGATGAGAAGTTCTATTGCATTTTCAATGACATTTTCCACGTCCAGGTAACTGCCCGGTGCTGGACTCCCGCAGGAAACCGCGCCGGGGCAGGCACAGCCGGCGCTCCCCGATGCTTTGTGCCTCAGCGTCCCCTCGCCCTTACGATCCCTCTCCTTTCTCACCTGGAGGGTCTGTGTGGCGAGGCAAGGGCTCCCAGCGTTCCTCGGATGAGCGCCCTGTTCCTGAGACCTACTGAAGGTGGCGAGAAACACCACACCGAGTGCCACCCGCTGGCCGATTTCCCCTCACCTTTCCCTCATCGCTGCACGATACTTGCTAGTCTGTAGCGCAGAGTCTCCCTGCTCCCCCGGTGACAGCCGGTGCAGAGGCAGAGTGTGCCCTGCCCCCGTCTCTGTCAGACTCAGCGAGGTCGGGTTCGGGGGTAGCGCCGGGAAGGGCTCTCTGCGCTGTCCCACACGTGAGGAGTTTGGGACACAGAGCAGCCCCACAGCTCGCGGCTCCCTCGCTGTCTTCCCGCTTTTGACACTCCCCCGACTCTCCCCACAGTTCCCGATTTCGAGAGAGGTCTCCAAGATGAGCACCTCGAAGAAGCAAACGCATCTGGAGGCCCTGTTTATGAAGATCTTGGAGAGAGTAAGAGCGTCTGCCTGCGGGCCGGGCAGTGGGGGAGGAGGCCTGGGCGGCTCGGCCCAGAGCCACGGGGCCTGGGGGTCCCGGCTCCACTGGCCGGAGGCTTTGAAGTGTTTCACTCTCCTTCATCCTCCAAAATGCTGCTCAGAAAAGGCGCATCCAGGAGTCCTAACCCTGGTGCTTCAGAGGGGCCGGGGGTGGGCTCAGGAACCTGTTTAGCGCTTTGCTTTTGTTTGAAAGCTTCTCAGTGGTTCTAATAGGCCATTTAGTTCGGAAACCGGCACTAAAGCTGTGCTTTAGCTACAGGCTGGGATCACAGCTCTCTGCGTGGCCTCGGCGGGGTTCTCCGCCTGTTGGTGACTCAGTTTCCTCAGTGAAGTGATTCCCTTGTATTCACCACCTCCCCGAGAGTCAGGAGGGTTAGACGAGCTCATTTACGGGGGGGAGGGCATCACACAGAGCCGGGGACCACGGCAGCCCCACACACATGTCAGCTTTCACGCACACTCAAGAGCACCCGCCTCACCCTCCGCATTTTAACTGTGAGGAGACTGGAGCAGTGGTGGACTGTGGAATCGGTGCGTTTTTTCTTCCCACTTCACTCCTCTCGGCTCACAGAGGAGACTGACCGTTAGTGACAGTGTTCTCTCAGCATCCTGGAGGAGCTGACTTCCCGGTAACACAATGGGGCTGTCGGGGAAACTTACTACACGTGCCTGACGTGAAGAGGAAGGGTGTGATACTTTGTAACGATGGCCGTAGGAGAGCTGATGTTTTAAAGTCGCCTGTGCTGCTTTCCTTCATAAAGACACAGAGGGAGTGCGGCCGTGCTGGACCAGGGCCGACTCCGGGAGGCAAGGACACTGTGGCCTCAGCACCTAGACAGTGCCCGACCCTCACGGGGGCCCCATCAACACTCAAGGAGTGAACAGTAATTCAGACCTGGCGGGGACAGGCGTGTACACAAGACAGGGGACATGGGACCTGTGTTACGTATAATAGACCCCAGAGGTACCGCGGGCAGGGGCTGGTTGTCCCCAGCACCAGCCCAGTGCCGCCCGGCCCCTCTGTGCTGGGTAAGCACTGGGTGACTCAATGGCACATAGCTCCCCCTAGGAGGCCTTCATTTGCCAATAGGTTAAAATGACGTGCAGTAGCCCTGGCTGGTGCGGCTCTGTGGACTGAGTGCCAGCCTGTGAACCAAAGGGTCGCTAGTTCAATTCCCAGTCAGGGCCCGTGCCTGGGTTGCAGGCCAGGTCCCCAGTAGGGGGCACTTGAGAGGCAACAGGTCAGTGTTTCTCTCGCACATTGATGTTGCTCTCCCTCTTTCCCTCTCTCTGAAAGTAAATAAATAAAATCTTTAAATGCCACGTAGTGAACATCCGTTATTATATGCAATGGTGATTTACGTGGCCACAGCCCTGTCTGACCTACAAATTTGCATTCTCTTTGCACACAGACCTGACCAAGTAAGAAGTCCATTCCCACCGGCTCTGTCAAGTTGCCACAAACCCCACGCGGGGGAGAATCTAAATTAACACGGTTTTACTGGGAGGAAAATACTCAGTGCCGGCCCCCCCACCCTGGGGAGGCCCAGGCAGACCCACACGGGCTCGCGACCCCCGAGTCCCACAGCCGTTTGCCCCCTGTCTCTGTACCTCCTCCAGACGGTGAAGCAGGAGAGGATCATTTTCATCATCGACGAGGGCCAGTTTGTCGACCCGACCTCCTGGGCCTTTCTGGAGAAGCTGATCCAGACCCTCCCTATCTTCATCATCATGTCCCTGTCCCCGTTCCCCGACACGCCCTGCCCGTCCGCCAGCACCATCAAAAAGAACAGGAACACCACCTATGTCACCCTCGGCGCTGTGCAGCCCAGCGACATCCGCAACAAGGTCTGCCTGGACCTCAACGTCAAGGGCATCCCCAAGGACCTGGACCTGTGAGTGACCTGCTTCTGTCCACAGGGCTCGACGCCTGCGTGCCCTGCCCAGGTCCTGGCCTCATCAGGTTCCTTAAGTTGTGGCTTCAAGTGCCCCTTTCAGCATTCTCGCCGGGCCCGTCTTCCCATGCGGCCATTTCTCAGGCGGGGCGGGAGAGATGCTGCTCTCTGTCTCTTTGCCACGGTCTTGCTTACGCCTGCTCGGACTGCCTGGTGACTTCTGCTTTGCTTCCTGTCCCGCGTGCTGGGCAAGGGTGTTCTCTAATCAGTTCTTAGTCAGGACGTTGTGTGCGCCAGTGATGCGAAAGGCACACTGGGAAACGTGGAAGACCACGACCTGTAACTCAGCGTGGTCCCGCCCGGCAGGCAGTGGCGTGGCATGGCCTGGTGTCCCCAGGTCTGTCTGCACACCTCGAAGGCTGGCCGTCCAGTCAGTGCCTCGGGAGCTGCTCAGTCACCCCCTCCTGGCTGGACAGGGCCCCTGAAGCAGCACCTGTCTCTGAGCTGGCTGCTTACAGCCCACCTGGTATCCGCCCCGCTTCTCTAATGAGGTTGCCTGGCTTCTGGAAGAGACATCTGAAGTACGAACTGGGAAATTTAAATGGTCACTTACTGGGTGAGGAAGGGGAAGCAAGACTGAGAATGTACCTTATTGTATATTATATTATATAATATTATGTTATTATATAGTTCTGGCTTTGGAAGGAGCTAAATGGTTTATGTAACTAGAAAAATGAAAGGAAGAAAAGAAAAGAAAGAAATTCCTAAAACCTGGGAAATGAGCCGAGACCTGGGGAGAATGAGAGGAGATCATTTTCCGGTCGCCGAGAAGACTCAGCCGTCCTCCCCGCAAGGTGGCTCTTCCGGGTACACAGGCCGCCTCGTCCCCCCGACAGGTACCTGGTGGAGGGCAGCTGCGGGATCCCCTTCTACTGCGAAGAGCTGCTCAAGAACCTGGACCTGCACAGGGTGCTCGATTTCCAGCCGGTGGAGTCCGAGGAGAAGGCCAACGTGACCTGGAAGAACCTGTTCAGTGAGTCCCCACAGCACAGCCCTCTCTCTGGCTTGGAGCAGCGGCCGGATGGGCTTTTCCGTGGGCTGCTTCCCATCCGGGTCAGAGGGCTTGGGGGGTCCGAGACGGAGGGACCTGGCGCCCCAGGTGGTGAGAGAGCGTGGCATTTTGGTGCATTGGGAGACCACAGGCCAGGCAGGTTTACCACACGAGCCTTGCCGTTCCTGATGTCCCTTTCTGACGCTCACCACGTCCAAACAGCAGCCCCCGTCCCCACGAATGTGTTTGCATCGGAGCGTGAGCATCTGAATGTGCATGAAAGTGTATGTTGTTATGTGTTGTCAGGTACATCCAGGTAATCCTTGAACCTGATTCTCATAAAACTGCATGTACTACAGAAGACTTCCATTCGTTTTGCTTATTTATTATTTTTTTTGGAGGGGAGAACAAACCATCTTTTCAGTAAATTGAGATTTTCATAGATCAGTTTTCCTTAAAACACGGTATTCCAGACTCTTCGGGGAGCCGCACACCTCTCTTCCTCAAGTGAGACCGCCTCCCCCAGTTTATCAGAAAATCCGGGAAACGCCAGACCACTGACTGTGCGCTTTTCTTCCCTATTGTCTCCCGACAGAGAACGTTGCTAAGCCAACAGAGGAATTAAGGAAATTTACTTTCGGCATCGAAGAGGGAAGTGAAGAGGTCTGCAGACTCGCCAGAGGCGTCAGGTTGAAAAACCTGTCTCCACCAGCGTCATTAAAAGGTACAGAGAGCCTGACCCGGCGTTCGGGGTCCGGGACCTAGGCCCCGCTTCGCTTCCACTGGGATAAGTGTCTGGAAAGGAAGAAGGAAGGCCGTGACCCCTGGGATTGCTGGCTTTGTGCCGCCCTGTTCAGGGGGGGCTCCCCGGAGGCTGGGCTTCTCTGCCTCCGGCCAGGAACTGCCTCCCCCTGTGCATGTGGCTGAGTCTGATTTGAACAAAAGTTTTCTTCGACTGCGTGAAAGAATGAGGTACAGTGGGTTTTCAACTAAACCAAAACCAAGTAATGAGAGAGAAAATGGCGTATGGGAACTTCATCTGCCTTCTACTTTTATAAGAAATGACAAAGAGGGGAATTTATATCAGAGACGTACCACTATTCTTTTAAAGAAAAATGATGTTTTTCAAGCCACGTTCTTGTCCACATGCAGCCCCCATTCCCACCATCTGTGAATAACGTTCACGTGTTTGGAAGGGTGACTGAGGGAGGCCTCGGGCTCCTCGTCTCCAAACCAGCATCCAGCTCCTTTCTGTGTTTCCATTCACTGTGTCTGTGGACATCGCAAGGTGGGCGGGCGTGGCTTCTGGAGTGTTCTGTGGGCAGGCTGAGACGTGCTCATTTGGTCCCTGATGAGGGTGACGTAATGGCCTTCTGGTCCAGAGGCCAGGGCTCGTGGACGCTACAACAGAGAGTTTGGAGGAGGAGCTGGGATCGGTGCCGGGGCCTCTGACACTTGGTCTTGAGCATAGAGAGGCTAATGGGCTGTCACAAGGATAAAGGAGCCTGGGGGGAGGGGGCAGGGGGAGGTGGCAGACAGGTTGCTAGCTAGGAGGGTCCAGGACAGAGAGTCTCCTGGGAGGAAGACAGAAAAGGAACAGCTGGCGGGTCGGCCTGGGACGTGGACGGCAGGCCCAGCTCTTCCAGGCCCCGTGGCCCCCGAGGCCTCTCCTCTTCTCGAGAACCCTGTTGCACATCCACGCACTTCAGAGCACCTTGACCGCGGCCTTGCTTTTGTCTGGCTGCGGCCCCAGGCGCAGTTGTAGACTGCAGTGCCTGCCTGTTTGGCGCTCCTGGTGCGAGCACTTTCTGGGAAGCAGGTGCCGAGCAGAGCCGTCTTTGGGCTTCTCGTGGCCGGGTTTCTGTGAAGAAGAGCCCGAGGGCGGGGCAGCTTTCCCTCTCCAGGATGTATTTGATGAAGATGGTGACCAGTCCCCTGCTGTGTGGCTTTGCACCTGCAGAAATCTCTCTGGTCCAGCTGGACAGCATGAGCCTCTCCCACCAGATGCTGGTGCGGTGCGCAGCCATTATCGGCCTGACCTTCACCACCGAGCTGCTGTTTGAGATCCTCCCCTGTTGGAACATGAAGATGATGATCAAGGCCCTGGCCGCCCTCGTGGAATGCAACGTCTTCGACTGCTTCCGGAGCGGCAAGGAGCTCTGCAGGTGCCTAAAGCAGAACGCCACCTCGTTCGAGGTGAATTTCCGCTCCCAGTCTCTGAGGCCCACTGAAGGAATGGGTGAGTAGGGCTGGAAGGAACCCACACTTCAAGAGCAGTGAGCAGCGGGAGCTGGTCCTGGCCCCCCGCCCCCAGCTGACGAGCCCCTCTGTCCTCTCCAGCCCACAAGGCGGATGAGGAGCTCCGCGAGCTGGAGAACGAGGTCATCGAGTGCCACATCATTCGCTTCTGCAGGCCGATGATGCAGAAGACGGCCTACGAGCTGTGGCTGAAGGACCAGAAGAAGGACATGCACCTGAAATGCGCCCGCTTCCTAGAAGACAAAGCACACAAGTGCGCCCACTGCCACGGCGGGGACTTCATTCCCTATCACCACTTCATGGTGGACATCCGGCTCAACTCTTTGGACATGGACTCCATCAGGAAGATGGCTAACTTTCAGGAATTCAAACGTAAATGTTCTTCTTTCATAATTAGTCCTATCCACTCCGGTAGGTGTGAGGGTTTCAAGTCCCCCCAGGGCTTGGTCACAGGGAGGGAGAGACTTCGGCAGCGACCGGCGGGCGGGGAAGGGCGGGGTCTTCACGTGGCGGAGTCTGGCAGCAGCGGTCTCTCTGGGAGACGGTCAGTGGGGGTTTGGGGATAAAGATGAAGGCACAGTTCACAGTGAACCATCCCAAGGGGCCAAACAGAACCAGCGGGATTCCCACCAGGCACAGGGGGTGTTGGGGTCACACATGGTGAAGTGGGAGCAAGACCGAGGTCCTTGAGGAGACGACAACGTTGCTTTGTCGATCTGGCTGGACACGAGGCTCAGCAGAAGAAGGACGTGTGTGGGAGAGAACATGCAGGGCCGAGCAGGTCAGGGCCCCGGGGAACAGGCGCCAGGCTCAGGGCAGGAATCCAAGGCCACCCATGAAGCAAAAGTCACAAAGTGATAAATTGACAACACAAGCCTCCAGCCAAGTGACCTGGGGAAACCCAGCGGAGGATTCAGGGTGCAGGAGTCAAGGGCACGGGAACTCAGTTCCCACGGGCCTGAAGGACGGCAGACCCGGGACAGCCATACCCATTCCAGCCCTTGCTTGTGGGCAGCCCCAGCCAATGGCCTTGGGGATTACAGCGGAAGCTTCTTGGGAGAGGAGAGGCTGCAAGTCAAGGAGTCTGTATTATAAGGATATTAAAAATTGGGGAGAAGTTTACGTGCCTAAAGTGCCTGGCATATAGAAGGTACAAAAAAACCCTTAATCATTCTCTGTTTCCCACACATTGTCCCTTGATCCTTATATCAGCCTTGAAAGTAGAAGGTTATTTTCATTTTATACACGAGAAAATTGAGGTTCTGGAAGAGTAAAGAGCTTGTGAGTTGCCGGAGAACAGGTGACAGGGCTTGTTCAGTCTCAGGTGAGTTAGTTGCCAGGCTCATGCCGTGTGCCTTACACCGGGGGTCCCCGATGTGCAGGGCTGGCCTTGCGGGGCACCCTGGCTGAGGAGCCTGGCGCAGCGCACAGGGGCCGAGGCAGGGGTGACCCCGAGAGGCAGGGGCGGCTCCCGTTCCGTCCTCTTCCAGGACTTGATCAGAGAGGGAGCAGCCTTGCCCTGTGGTCCACGCTTACCGTGGCTTCTGCACTCACCCTGGCCAAGCTCCCTTTTTTAGAAAGAGAGATCTGGTTGAGAGCCTTCGAGTACATACACAGAGTCTGTCCGTGAGGGTTCCCAGTCCCTCGTGGGCAGAAAGATGACGAGACATGAGCTGTAGTCTCCTCTCTTTGGGGCAGGGAGGATGTCAAGGGGACCTATTGTCCTTGCTGCTGAGTCTAATGCTTATTACTGCTACTTCTTGCATCCCCCCTCATGCATTACAGCTTTGAAAAATTGGGAATACGTTTTTAATTACTGTTATAAAAGCAGCGTGTGTGTAACATGAGGTCGATACTGAAATTTGTAGCAAGCATTAAAATGCAGTGGATGCTGCAAACCAAAGGGAGCTGAATGGACGGATAACCAGATTCACAAGGAAAATAAAGGCAAATCAGTTCTAGTCCCGGAGCCTTCCTGCAGGTCAGAGACATAAACAGGAGTAAGGGCAAAGAGAGGGCCAGGATTTGGGAAAGGACTTCTCTGGTGAGAGCCCGAGAGGTTCCTGAGCCCCCAAGGTGGCTGCTGCCTTCGTCATCTCAGCCCTGGTTGGGTGTGTTCCTGGGACTCGGCTCGAGTGCCGAGAAGCCGGGGCCTTCCTCCCCCTGGAGGGCCCACGACTGCCCCCAGGAGTGGGGTTGAGAAGGTGAGGGTGGATTCACAGATTCATGGTTAAGGGTACAGAGCAGGCCTTCCAGGTAAACAATCGGAAGTCACCGCATCTGTCCGGATGGAGTTTAAAGTCAAGGGCAGATGAAATCCCCAAGGAAAAAATTTGGATGGAGAAGGGAGTCCAGGACAAAACTGAGGCTTCCCGGCGTCTGGAGTGTTGGCGGAGGGGTGGGAGCCAGAGAGGCAAGGCCCTGAAGGATGGGTGTCAGGAGGCCAGTTAGGGCCCGCAGTCATAGTAAAAGGGTCAATGAGACGTAACCCTTAGCAACATGGTGGCCACAGGTACCCCTGACAGGAGCGGTGTCAGTAGTAGGTTGGAGGCCTAATCAATGTCTCCAGCCCCTGGTCACTTGACCTGCTCTAGGTGGCCGTTTGGGGTGGGTGGTGGAGGGTGATTCAATTGTTTCGCCGTCCAACAAGGACAGCGAGATGGGCCCGTGTGGAGGTCAGTGGGCAGTCATTCCGTGGGAACACAGGCGCAGAGCCCTTTGGGAGAAGGTGACAACGAGGCACGTGAACGGTCCCTTTTAAAAGTAAACCATCTTTGCAGTAATGCATTCGCCTCCCCGCCAGTGGACGGAGGCTCTTGCCCCATCTCCATCGCTAAACGGTGACGTGGAACAAGTCCCTTCCCCGTGCCGGATTCCTCCCCCTCCCTCACTGGAGGGGTGGCCGGAGGGCACCGTCCCCATTTGTTTTCTATTTTAAGACCATTATGGAATTTTCTAACATATTGAAGTAAGGATCAGACTGAAGGTTTTAAATCCAAGGTTCTCTGCCCTTCCGCGCTGAACACCAGACATCGCTGCCGGACAGAATATTTCAATGACCTGTTCAGAAAACCTCATTTGTTTATTTTCTAGCTGAAGAACAGACCAACGTTTCCAGAACAGCAATTCTGAGAGAGTTCGAGATCTTCCCGGGAAATTTCAGGTACGGGCATGTGTGACGGCCGCGGGGCAGAGTGTACGTGCTCGTCTCTCGGTTCCCAGGGCGGCCACAGCCCTCGGTGTGGCCAGTGCCTCTGGGCTCCTGGGCACAGGCCGAGAGCTGCCCGGGTGCGTGCGGGAGTGTGGTCGGTGGCACCGACGTTAGGTTGTCCCATCTCGCTCCTCTCTTCATCTGTAAAGATGTCCCCGTGCCAAAAGCTACGCTGTGTCTGCCCATCATCACTCCCGTTTATTTTTGCATTTGGGCAGTTCCGAGAAAATAAGAGAAAAGATCTTGAGCTTCTTCGACGTCATCATAACCAAAATGAGCCCGTCTCAGGAGGACATCATCCCGCTGGAGTCGTGCAAGTGCGAGGAGGTCCTGGAGGTGGTCGTCATGCCGCTGGCCAACCACTTCCTGGCCCTGGGGGAAAACAGCAAGGCCTTGTACTACTTCCTGGAGACGGCTTCCCAGTACCTCATCCTGAAGGACAACTACATGGTGAGCCTTTCTGCCCAGCTCGCCTCCGGGCCTCGAGACACCTTCGGGGCCGGCCCAGGAGGGTGGGGGAGCCCCAGTGCGCCTTTCACTCCCCAGGCCCTCGCTTCCCGCCAGCACCCCTTTCCTTTGAAAATTGGATTTCTTGGAAAGGAAAGGACCTGGGGTTGAGAAAAAAAAAAGTTTGAACAAATTGCAAATAGCATTTCGTGTCATTGAAAACATTGCCACCTGTAGAGACTTGTCCTGAATTGTCTGCCTGTATGGGGGGGGGGGCAGGGTGCATAGGTCATCCCCAAAATGATGCAAAGAGGACGCTCGGCGTGCTCCAGTGCCCCACAGAGTCTTCCTCAGCAGCGTCACACGGCCTTTGCCCTCCGTTCCCCCAAATACCGGTAGGTCTTTGCTAAGTGCAAATCCGGTCTTGAGGCTGTGGCCTCCAGAGAGGCTGCCCACTCGGGTCTTCAGCACCCAGTTCTCACGTGCACCCTCCGCCTGCCAACGCCCTGGCACACGTCTCTCCAGGGTGAGGCGTCGCTCCCTTGGATGCTCGGGGTCTCCACACCCAGCAGGGAGTGAGGGGAAGCCAGGGTGCAGCGGGCTGGGCAGCACCGAGCCGAGTGAGGCGAAATGGGGTTCTGGACGGCAGGTGCGTCTGGCCTTTCCGAGGCTCAGCTGCAGGTCCCTCTCCCAGAGGGTCAGCTAGCACTGGGGGGCTGCTGTGGTTCTCTTACGCTTTGGCCTGAGGCCAACTTCCAGGGAGCAGCCAGGGCGACTCGCCCCCCCGGAGCTCCCTGGAGGAAGTGCTCCCCCCACCGCCCTGCCCCAGCAGGAGCCCGGGCTGCAGTCCTCCGCCCGTCTCACTGCATTTCACAGTTCAAATAGCAAGCCCTTTTCACCGTTACAAATAGCAAGCCCTAGTCCTCTCGAGAAGCCGTGTCAAGAATGAAAGTCTCCCCGGCACATTTTCCTCGCATGTGTGGGGCACAGGGGGCAAGGCCAGGGAGTCTCAGGGAGAAAAGGTGTGGGGAGCCCCAGGGCCACCTCGCCAAACCTGCAGGGAATGAAATGCTCAGGAAGATGGTGACTGGAAGCTGTGCTCAGAGTGAGGTTCCAGAATGTGCCATCGTCACCCATCTCCCGCCAGAGAAAACCTGGTAGGACCGGGCCGGCTGCACACTTGTGTGTCCCTCCTGTCCCCCACCCCCATTCATGCACCCTGGGCTCAGCACTTGGGGATGGGGCTTCGCCTTATTTTACTCTTCAAGTCGGACTGTGCTCCAGGGGTCCCAGTGCCTGGACCCTCCCACCTAACACCGCCACACAGGAGGTGGGAGGTGAAGGCAGGGAGCGCTCGGGGTCTTACCCTCCTCCCCCATTTCCCGAAGGTGGCCCTCGGGGGGACATGGGGAGGGTTCCACCTCACCCTGCCACAGAGGACAGCGGCTCCTCGTCGATCTGGGGGTGTGTCAGGGGCCACCAGTGCTGGGAGGCTGGGGTGACATCACTCAAAGGCAGCATTGGCCCGGGAAGAGTTTCAGACTGGGCAACCGACGTGACAGAGGAAAAGAACAGAGAGGGTTCTAGATTCACCCTCTGCAGTGAGCAGACAGAGATGGACTTGAAGGCAGCCCGTGTCTTTTGCAGAGCGCTGCCCTTGCAGTTTCTGTCCAGAGTTCAGAGGCCCTTTCTCACCAGGGGCGAGGCAGAGGCGGTGGGGGTACCCGGAGCAGCTCCGGCTCTTGCCCTTCGGTGGAGTCTGGGGCGGGGGGGCCCTGTGGGCCTGACCCCCACTGACCGCATGCCCGCGATCTCTACAGGCATATACCTACCTGAACGAGGGGGAGAGGCTGCTGAAAACCCTCAAGAACGATAAGTCCCAGAGTCATGCTTTTGAGTCCGCCACCTTCTACACCCTCAAAGGGCAGGTAAGAGCCTGTGAAAAGCATGCGTGTTCTGTGACTGGCCGTTGGGGCTGCACACAGAGGCAGCAGACACCGGGCCTGCCCTTTGTCCATCCTCCCCCAGCCCCACCCCAGATCCTATCCGAGACTCTAGAACCCCAGACACTGCTACTCAAACCTCCTCGCCAGCCCTGGTCAGCAGCGACACCTTCCTCGTCTGGGCGTCTTTATGAAATGTTTTTCTAACAGCCCCCAGATGGACACAAACGGGCAGACATTTCCCAGAGGTTGAGGATGCACCAGAGATGCTACACGCTAGTCATCCAACCCTCCTCCCGCACACACAAGCGGGCAACCCTGCCGTGGCGCCCAGGGGCTGCTCCGGGGCCAGGGACTGCATCTCCCAGGAGCGTCCCGGAGGGTCGTGTCACGGGACCCACCACCTCAGCCCAGAACCGGGGCTTCTCCCCTCTCCCTGCAGGTCTGTTTCAACATGGGCCAGATGGTGCTGGCCAAGAAAATGCTGAGGAAGGCCCTGAAGCTCCTCAACCGACCCTTTCCTTACAACATGATCTCCGTGCTTTTCCACACCCACGTGGAGAAAAACAAACACTCTCACTACATAAATCAGCAGGCCAAACAGGGCTCACCACCAGGGTAAGGGGAGGGGCTGGCAGAGCGGGGCTCTCACGGCCCCGAGGAGAGACCCCAAGGCAGTTCTGGAGGCTGGGCAGCCGAGAGGAGGGGTCACACTAAGTGGGGGCCCTCTGGGGGCAGCAGACCTCTCGCTGTGTCCCCCCCCCAAGTGGTGGAAGGGGTGGAGGTTTTGTGGGTCTCTCACAAGAGCAGTAACCGCACTCCTGGAGGCCCTGCCCGGAGAGCCGGGCGCTCCCCGCAGGCCTCCCTTGTGGATGCCCACACTCTCGGTGGTCCGGACTCCGCACGCAGATCTGGGGGAGGCGGCAGGCCACCGCAGAATGCGGCTGTTGGGAACGGCCAGCACCCTCGCTCAGCCGAGACCTGGCTGCCAAGAGGAGTGTGCAGTGGAGGGAGGGACAGCCGGACGGGCCAGCCTGGGGGTGGGCTGTGCAGGTCCCGGCACCGCACCGATCTGGCTGTGTGACTTTGAGTTAATCACTTAACCTCTCTGAGTCTCCCCTCCAGCGTCCGTGAAATGGGGTTGATGATTCTGCCCTTCCTTACTGGGCTGTCATCAGACTCAGATGTGGTTGAATGATGGAAATGGGCTTTTCAAGCAGCTTCATGTAAATATCAATGACTGGACGGCAGATGCACGTAAATTATCTTAGTTCACCCTCACCCAGTCGGCGTTGTGGTCCCTGTTTTGCAGTGGAGAAAATGGGCTTCACGAACCTCGATGCACTGGTTGGGAAAGGCGGGGGGCCTGGGACCTGCGCCCTACTGCCGCGCGGGGGCCGTGCCCTGCCTCTGTGACCCACGTCCCCCATGCGCTTTCTCTGTCACAGGGAGAAGAGGCTGGCGGAACTTTACCAGCAAATCACCTGCTTCTCCTTGCTGTGGAAGATCTACAACCTCAACTACTTTTTTCATTGCAAGTACTATGCCTACCTGGCGGCTCTGATGGGCATGAACGCTGCCCTGGAAATGCAAGACAATTTCCAGGTAGGTGCCGCTGTAGCTGCCGCCTAAGTGTCTGTGCCTCGTTTGGAGAGAAGAGCCTGGTGCGTGTCCGCTGGGACAGAGGACCCATGGACGGAGTGCAAGCCCCGGCTGGACCGCCCTGCGGCCAGCCGTCCTCCTGCGCGCTGGCTCCAGGGTCCCTTTATGTGCCCAGCGATCACTGGGGACCTCAACCAGCTTTCACTCCTATGGGTTGTGTCTATTGATACTATCAGGTAAAAAAACCCAAAACCACGTATTTAAAAATATTTTTCAAAAGTGGTAAATCTATTACATATTAACATAATCAACATTTTCATAGGGGGAAAAAAAGCTATATTTCTCCAAACAAAGAGTGCAGTGACAAGAGTGGCCGTCATCGGTGTCTGCAGATATCCTAACACTGATCTTGCAGGAGACGGAGCCTCTTTCTGCTCCCGCCCTCACTTCGCTCTCCCCGCTAAAGCTTCTCGATGCCTGGGAGACAGTGAGGGTGGAAAGGAAGTTGGGGAAGGAGAACTCTTTTCAAAAAGCTAAAGTCATGGCTCACGTGTCAAAGATCTTACCAGACTGTTTGCTGAGGGAACCACCCATTCAGAGAGAATTGCATGTTTGCATGGGTGAGAATTGCATGTTTGCGTGGGTGAGAATTGCATGTTTGCATGGGTGAGAATTGCATGTTTGCGTGGGTGCAGAAGTCCTCTAGTCCAAGGGCAGTGATCACGGGCGCGCCCCCGAAGCGTTTACATTTCTATGAAAAAGAATCACGACTGCACTACCCGTTTTCTACGACAGCCAGACAGCTGTCTGGCGCTGCACAGCCCAGAGACAGTGAAAGGCAGGGGTGACGGTGGGAGGGGCTGGACAGGACACCCACTACGTTGCTGGGGGGGGTTTGTTTTGGCCCATTTTGATCTTTTACTATCTTTCCTGACACAAATAATGTCTTGATATTATGCGACAAGCTTTGACCTCCACGTGTGTTTCCTGAAAGGGTCCCAGCGACCACACTGGGAGACCCACTAGTGTAGGTCAGAGACAGGGAAGTCTTTGATTAGATGACGAAAACTCCAGGAGACAAGATCAAGATATTGCTGCCCTGACCAGTGTGGCTTAGTGGGTTGGGAGTCCTCCTGCAGAGTGAAAGGTCACTGGTTCGATTCCCAGGCGGGGCACATGCCAGGGTTGCGGGTTCGGTCCCGGTTGGGGTGTGTACAAGAGGCAGCTGACCGGTGTTTCTCTGTCACACTGATGTTTCACTACTTCTCTTCTTCCCTTTTCTCTAAAACAAACTAACTAAGTAAAAGTCTTTAAAAAAAAAAAGTCAAGCAATCATTAAGCTAAATCCGGCTCATTTACTCAGAGTGATCTGGTTCCTTTATAAAAGTCCATCAAGCCCCGGTTTCTCCTGGGAAAGCATCTCTTCCCCAGAGTCTTCAGTGATGGAGCAGTGTACCTGTTGGGGGCTTGAACTCCCACCGTGAAGCCCCTTTGGCAGACCAGGACGCGTGGGCGTCCCATCACGCCGACCACCGTCCAGGTCCGGCCGCCTCTCCTGGCTCGTGGCGCCACCCGTCGGCCACTTCGTGTTCCTTAGACACCTGCGTTCCCTCCCATTGAAGGTCTCCATCCTGGGAGTTCTCTCCACCTGGGGCATCATCCCCTGACCTTGACTGGGCTCTGTGCTCACCGGCTTGAAGGCCACCTGCTCAGTGACGCCTCTCTCTACCGCCTCACCCATTCAGTCAAGCCTGTCGCCCTGTCTGCGGGGCTGGTCCCGTCTGATGTTTTCTGTCCTTGCTCCTTTCTCCGTGGGCGGCCTCTGCACCCTGTGAGGGCAGGTGCCGTGTCCTCTCGGCCGGGCCACGGGCCGAGCCCCCAGAGCAATGTCTGCCACCTTGCATGGGGCGGGCGGGGCCCAAGGTCAAAACTGGAAAGTGAATCCAAAGACCCCGTTGAGGAGATGCCCGTGCTGAGGGCGGACGAGCAGGGCAGGGGCTCCCCGGGGCGTCCTCACGCAGTGGAGGCCGTCGGTGCGGCAGAGCAGAGAGGACCCACAGGAGAGCGTTTCCAGGGCCTGGCGGCCCATGTCCCACAGGGGACGTGGCCTCGGCCCCTCAGTCCCAGTCCAGGCTGGGCCACCCGTTTGCACCTCTCCTTTGCCCCGGGGAGCCTCTCTCATCCTCCACCACCTCCGGCTCTCCTTCCCTTCTGGGGGCATCAACTGAACGTGCGGTTAAAACGCGCCCAGCCCTCCTCGTTCAGTGAAGCTGCAAAAGCAGCGCGTACCTGTGAGAACAAATCCTCTTGCAGAGGTGCGGGGAGCATCAGAGTCCCTCTTCTCCCCCCGCCCCGCGCCCTCTCGTCCAACCCCTTCAGTGGGCATCCACCACCTCCCCTGGGGGCGGTTCCCTCCCGGCTGTTCCCCCCCCCCAACATTTTGTATTGTTGTTCAAGTAGAGTTGTCTCCATTTCCCCCCACTACTCCTCCCATTCCAGGCTTTTTGTTATGCGGTCACATATATCTGTATATATAAGCTCTCACTTTTATTTTCTTCACAAAAATTAAAATTCTTGTTTAAGGCCTCTGTGGGCAAGAGGGACCCTCAAGCTTGTTCTGGGTGATTCGGTGAAGCGGTACCGGATTTAATTTTGATACGGATTTAATTTCAGTACTGAAGCCCATGGCTTGGCCAGCTGGCCAGCCCTGGTCCCTAGCAGACACCGGACGACATGGCTTAGGGTCCCGTCTGGGTCTTCCCCCTTCTCTCCCCGAACGGCCACTGCAGATCATCAAGGCCTACCTGGAGTACTCCCTGCACTGCCAGCTGACCGGCCATGAGGATGTGTGGCTCAAGTATGAGGTCATGGCCGTGGAGCGGATCTTCAGCCTCCCCATGACAAACATGGGCGGTGAGATTGTGGCGTACGTGGCCGACTCGCTGGGCTACACCAAGCTCATAATGGGTAACTTGGACTTGGCCATCGACTTAGGTAAGGGCTGGCCGAGCGGGATGGGACATGCAGACACAAGGCACACCTGGAGACACTCGGCCTGGTTCTCCCCGCAGGCTATCGTGCCCAGAAGATGTGGGCGCTGCTCCGGTGCCCCAACGAGCAACACAAGGTCCTCTGCTGGCTCTGTAAATCCCTCTTGCTGAAAACCAGGTATTTGTCCTCAAGCCTTTTCCCAAATTCGGGGAGGGAGCCGTGGGAATGAGCGCTCTGGCCTCACTTGACACTGGCCGCCGGGTGGGCTGGGGAGGGGGGTTCACAGCAAGACGGCCGACGTCACCGGTCATCAGTCATCCTTTGGGAACCACGCTGTCTTCCCGGAACCCAACCCCACTCAGCCTTTCTCATCTGGTTGTTCTGGCCAGTGACCGGAGGTCACATTGCTGTCCCCACCGTGAGAATCAGGCCTCCGTCCCTGCCCGGTGGAGGGAAGGGGCCGAGTCTCCTGGGAGAAGCAATGCCCGGAGACTGGCAGCCAGTCCTCGAGTCCCAGCGTGGCCTGCCCCTGCTGTGGCCGACACGGAGCCCCCTGAAGCACAGCACAGACTGAGAGCCACCTGGAGAGTTTGGGGTGGGCTTGAAGTTTCAGGGTCACACTCGGCCCTGAATTACCAGGCGGGACCAAGACAGGACCAGGGCCCAACCTGGCGCTCTGCTCCGGCCCCTGCGAACCTGACCACAGGTACAAGCTGATGATCCAGGTGCTGGAGTGGCTGTGGGACCTGTCCGTGACCGAGGACCAAATCTTCAGCAAGGGATTCTTCTATCTGGTCTGCCTGTACATCATGCTCTACGCTGGTGGGTGCCGTCCGGGGCCTGTGGGCAGCGGGGCGGTGGCCAGGGCTGGGGGCCGCTGTCACGAGGCTCCTGGCTGGGAGGAGGCATTGGGCAGGGACGGAGCCAGCCGGCAGGCACTGCACGCTGAGGGGTGTCTGGAGGGGGCAACAAGTGTGAGACCTGCCAGGAGTCTCGGGGACTTAGTCTGGAGCGAGCTGCCAGCCAGGAGCTGCCAGTCAGAGTGTCCCCTCAATGTGCACACACGTGACAGGGACTGACAGTGCCACCATGTGTCCTGGACCATCACTCAGCTACCCTGAGTGATGTCTCACTGGAGCAGGAAAAGCCAAAGCCTGGGCCCTGGCGCCTCTTGGGGACGGACAGACCCTGACACCCTCAGGCTGCCCCAAGCAGGCAGCCCTCAGCGTGTGTGTCAAACCCTGGGGGCCGCGCCGGCCTGGCCATCCCCACGTGGTTTGGAAAGGGGCTGCAGGAGTTGCTGCCGAGGGGGACGCAGGGGTGGGGAGACGGGGAAGTCCTGGGTGGTGTGGAACCTGCCCCCTTGGGCTTGACAGGGAGGGCTGGTCGGAACCCCACTCCTGCCCAGTCACCACGACAGAAGTGTGTCCTGGCTGCACACACGTCCACACAAGCTGGGCTGGACCACCACAGGCAGGGCAGCCTCATGGCCATGGCCGTGCTCGGGACAGGAGAGCGGAGGCCCCGGGTGGGGGGGTTCTCCTCCGAGTCACCCGCCCGCCCGCTGCCCTGCCTCTCGCTCCCAGGCTTCACGTACAGGGCGTTCGATGAGTGTGTGGACTTCATCCGCCGCCACGAGGACCACCGGATCCTCAAGTTCCACAGCGGGATCCTGCTGGGGCTCTACTCCTGCGTGGCCATCTGGTAATGACGGCGGCCGCCCCCCCCAACTGTGAAGACGCTGAATCCCGAGATTTTTTTTAAAAAGAGGGAAGAAAGTGAAAGTAAAAATTATACCCAAGGCAGACTGAAGGCGTCAGAGTAGACCGATGCTAAGGCACCTGGGGGACCACTAACCAGTCCATGCCCCTCCCCCAAGACAGAAGGGGGGAGATGCCAGCCCAACTGTATCCCAGACAACTGGCATCCCTTCTGCCTGGGTCCCATTGGGGTTCCCCGGGGATGGTGCGGAAAGAGCCCTGGCCTCTGAGGAGGGCTGAGGTCTGGGGGACACTAAGAAATAGCACCACTTGCTGCCGGACCCTCAAGACCTAATACTGAAAACCATTGTTAGTAGGGCTGGTGTGCAAGGGTATGGCTGATATCTGCAAGCAAGTGGGCTTCCTGGCATTGAACTCCAGGCTCAGATGGACCCACTCAGCAGCGGGCTATGGGCCCGTCTAAGCTGTGGGCCCAGCTGTGTCCTCCCCCGTGGGGACAGAGGGTCAGGCCCAGGTGCTGAGGCGCACCTGCCCGATTCCTCTCCCAAAGCCTCCAGCCACTCAAGTCCCTCCTCCTCCTCATCAGAGGAGGCAGGGCGGCCGGGGAAGAGCGGGGAGGTGGGCGGCTGTGGAGGGCCCTTGCCTTAAAGGCAAGTTCAGGGCCGAGGAATTAGTGGTCCCGTACCCGGTGAGCCTGAGGCTCCGTCCTTCACCCCGTTCCATTTCTCACTCAGCAAGCCCACGGCCAGGGCCTCGACCTCACAGAGGTGGGCTGGGAGGGCTCACGGCCTGTCTTCCACAGCCACGCCCCAGGCTGGGGGCCATTCCCTGTTCCACTTCCCACCACTAGTCAAGTGCGCAGTCATGTCGCCCGGTACTCAGAGGTTTCGTGAAGAGGTTGAACAGCAGTGCGGAGACCCTCCCACGTGGAGGGCCACAAGCTAGCCCTGTTCCAGATTTGAATAGAGGTCTCCCATGATCCAAATTCCTTGGGAGAAATTCCAATCTAAAGTTTAACCATCCTTGCCAGTTCAAGGGCAGGGATTCAAGTTCAAAGTCAAATTCACTTGCCTCTGTGAGTTAAGGTTCAAGGAGCCTGAGGTTTAGAAGTCATCCTGATTTCTTAGTCTACTCCGTTGTCCCCACAGCGCTGGACCAGGCCCTGCTTCTCACACTGGGGCGGTGGTGGGGACTGGAACCACTGGGTGGGCTTAGCAACGCTGATCCTGGCCCCGTCCCCACCCCCACCCCCAGGGTCCATCTGACCCACATGCCTGGGTTGGACCGGAGAACTTGCATGTCTCAGGGGCATCCACGTGATGCCAGGCTGTGGCCCACACTTTGAGCAGTGCTGGCCAAGGGTTCCCAAGGATTCCATTCATCCCAAACCATCGAACGTTCTGTCCTTTCCTTGCTCCCTGCCACATGATGTCCCCTGGCTGGGCCCCCGGAGGCCCGCCCGTGTTTGGGGGCTCCCTCCGGACACACAGGTCTCAGAGCACCCGCCCCTCGCCAGGGCGACGCTGACTGCCCTTGTTCCTCTGCGGCGGCACAGGTACGCCAGACTTCAGGACTGGAACATGTTTCAGATATTTTTCAACAAAGCTAAGAACCTGGTGCCAAAAAGGACGCCCTCGGCGCTTTACTTCCTGGGCATCTGCGGGTTCATGGAGTGCCAGGTCCTGCATCTGCAGAAGGAAATTGAGGAGGGTGTGGAGAACGCCCAGGACAGCGGCGTGCAGCTGCTCAAGGTGAGGCGGCCCACCCGGTGCGGGCGTCCGGTGCTCCCTGGACGGGTCCTTGTGCCCCTGCGGTGAGCAGGATCGAGGCCGGCTGCGTGCTGTGCGGCCTCTCACAGGCTGTCCGCAGAGCGTTCGGGCCAAGTGCACCCACGTCTTTACCACGCACGCCCCTCGGTCCCAGCGGTGCCCCTCCAGGGAGTCGTCCTGAGGAAGTAGAGGAAGTGCGGCAGTTTATCCATGAAGGCGCTGACCTCGGCTTTTGTTATCATCAAAACACTAGGAGAAAAAAAATTTAAGTTTTTTAAATTTATTCATTTTTAGACAGAGGGGAAGGAGGGAGAAAGAGACAGAGAAACATCCATGTGTGGTTGCCTCTCAGGTGCCCCCTACTGGGGACCTGGCCCACAACCCAGGCACGCGTGCCCTGACTGGGAATCGAACTGGAACCCTGTGGTTTTCAGGCTGGCGCTCCATCCACGGAGCCACACCAGCCAGGGCAAGGTAATGCATATAAAAACTTCACAAAGAAGGTGGATAAAGTCAGGAGTGATGCGTTTAAACACTGGGATATTTCCTGCTTTAAAGCCCTGAATTTCTGACGTTTCTTTCATCAACCGGAGTAGCCGGCCACCCGAGGCCCCACTCCTGAAGAGCAGCCACAGGCTCAAGTTGACACAGTGACGCTTGGGGCACCCTCCCTGGTGTGACCCAGCCCCCTCTGCTTCTTTCTGCGCCCAGACTCTTCTCTGTGCCTCACTCCGCCAGCACTGGGACCCATGCGCCCAGACGTAAAAGAAGCCAGTCATTGAAAAACATGCACAAAAGGACGTGAAAGAGAAAAAAGTGTGCCCCGCCGTGTGATCGGTGTGATCCCAGCTGTGGTGGTGTGAGTGTCAGCGTGAGTGAACGTGAGTGTGTGTGTAAGCATGTGACTGTGTGTGAGTACGCATGAGACTGAGTGTGTGGTTGTCAGTGTGTGTATGTGGTGTGTATGCAGGGGTGTGTGCGTTATTGTGAGTGTGCAAGTGTGTGAGGTGTGAAGTGAGTATATGAATGTGAGTATGTGAGTGTGTAAAGGATGAGAAATAAAATAGTGGGCAAGTATGTAACCAAATATTGGAAATGTTTTCTTCTGGGTGCTGGAGTTGTAGGTGATTTTCACGTTTTTTGCTATTCTTTTCATTTTTCTCCTACTTTCTGAACAGTCAAGTCCCGGTTGTAATCACAGGAAAACATACATATTTTACGGAGTGGTTGCTGGGAGGGGCTGAAGCGCCCACCCACGGGGCACCCTAGGCCTGGACCCCCCACCCGCCCAGTGTCCCCTGCTCACCCCTGCTCCCCCGCTCCGTCTGGGTGACACACGGCCCCACCGGCCGGCGTGCACCTGCGCTGCACCCGGACCCCCCACAGAGGAGGTGCCGCCGCCCGGGCCCCCCCTCCGACTCCCTGGTGCCGTGTTCTCTGCAGAACATGGAGAACCTGGTGTCTCAGAACATCTCGGGCACCATCTTCTACCCGAGACTCTACCACCTGATGGCCTACGTGTGCCTCCTCATGGGCGACGGGCAGAACTGCGACCTCTTCCTGGACACGGCCCTGCAGTTCTCCGAGGCCCAGGGGAACCTGCTGGAGATGAACTGGCTGGACATGAGCCGGGTGAGTGAGTGCCCGCAGTCAGTGGCCGGCCCTGAGCCCGGGCCGGGGAGGCTTCGCAGGCGGGGAGGCCGCCGTGGGCCTCCGGACTCCTCCTGAGTTCTCGTGGGGCCCCCCTCCAAATCCCTGGAGCAAGGTCTTCCCCTCACCCAGACCCTCCCCACCTCACAGTGTGCATTGCACGCGTGTGCCCACCTTTTCTCCCCTCTTAGAGGGTGAGCCCACACGCAGCACCTGGCCCGGCGCCTTAGCCTCAAGATCCGTGTTCGGGTGTGCACTCACAGCTGCATGTCTGTGGCCTGGGTTCACACGGCTTTACAAGCCCTACGACGCGGGCCCGCTTCTGGTGGGGCCAGTCTGGACCGCCGTGGCCAGGAGCGCCGACCGGGCCCCCGTCCCCTTCGCCCCCCGCAGGAATGGTGGTACTCCAGCTCCGAGCCGACCAAGAACACGTGGCCCCTGACACTGCAGAGCCTCCCGTCGTGGCAGTCGGTCGTGTGCGGCAGAGTGAGCATGCAGGAGATCCAGAAGAACAAATTCCTCATGCGAGTGAACATCCTGGATAACCCTTTCTAACGCTGCCTGGAAGGGGGCAGGAGGCCTCGCCTGGGACGAAGCTTTCCTCGCAGCCAGCGCCTCCCAGGGGCTCCTGCAAAACCCGCCTGTTCGCATGCGGCCCTTCCTGGCGGCCGCCTTGCCTCCACCCTGGCTCCGCACGTGCAGGGTCACGACCTGCGGGGAAAGGGCAGCATCACCACGGCAGATGCTGCGACAGAGACCTGTCTAGTCAACCCATTAAACTGAAAGTGTTTATTTTTAAACGTCCAGTTGTTCCATCTTTGCCGTGTAGCGCGGTATTACAAACTGTGAATTCTCCTCGTGGTGGGTGGGGGCTTCTCTGTCACACCCGGCTGCGGCTTCTGGAGCCCTCGGGCCTCACGGGCCAGCTCACTGTGGAAGGAAGTGAAATGTAGAGCGTGGAGGTAGCAGTGATTCTGATGAGCAGCGGGTCGCTCCTCCATGCATAGACGGTGTGTGTTTTCATCTCTAACCAGGCGATAGCGTTCTTCCCCTGGGCGGAGCAGCTGCCCAGAGCCGTCTTCTGGCCCCTGTGACACATACCCCCCGAATCACAGTGACTTCCGGGGGCAGGGTCCACACGGGCACCCCTTCAATAGGCCAGGATTTCACTGTCCTTCTGGAAAGGGGGCAGCTGTGTATTTCTCCTCCACAAAGGAGGTTGGACATCCAGGCGGCACCAGGAGGCTGGTCTAGAGGCCTGGGCCCCAGGCCCGGTGCAGGGATGCCGGCCAGGAGAGCTGAGGGTTGGATCCCCCAACGGGAGCTCGGCAGGAGCAGACTCGGCGGCTGTGCCCGCCTCCCCACCTCTTCACTTCTGTACTTGGGTGGGTGGGTGGGTGGGTGGGGGGCACGATCCTTCCTCCTCCACAACTTCACAGACGCCTTTCACTTCGTGCGACCTAGCCGAAGCCAGAGCAGGCAAGGCTGGGGGCAGAGGGTGGGAGGCCGGCTGTCATTGGAAGTGTGGTGACGGCCATGGCATCCTCTTTCTGGCCAGCAGATGGCAGCACCCACTCTGTGCAGTGGCTGATCCCCAGGGAGCTCTGGTACAAATGCTGAGGACAGAGACAGAGGGGAGCAAGGCTTGAGGGCAGGTTAAAGATTTTTGCCTTCCATGTGCCTGAATCCAGAAACGTGTGCGTTGGGCTTTATAGGAACCCTGACCATGCCACTGGCCTGGGTTACAGGACCACTGCGTCAGTTTCCTTGGGCGTGAACTCAGTTTGCGAGGAGGTCCCTTCCCCCCCATCTGGCTGCAATTCCAAGGGACGGCCATGGCATCCTCTTTATGGCCAGCAGATGGCAACACCCACTCTGTGCAGTGGCCGGTCCCCAGGGAGGAGCTTCTGGTCAACCCCTGCAAGCCTCAGCCAGCAGCACTTGGAACCACTCCGGCTCCCACAGCCACTCCCCTCACTCCTGCAGCAGGTGTCCGGCATCAGGGTTTCGGGGTCATCACTTGAGAAGGGGGATTCTGGCTGCTGGTCCTTTCAGGAGGAGGCAGATAATCCACCAAGGCTGCAGGAGCAGAGAGTGATGGAGGCGTGATCTACCTTCTGTACTTCCACCCCCAGCCCGAGCTCTGCAGGAACCACACAATCACTTCACCTCTCGGTTTCACAGGTGCACCCTGCATGGCAGGAGGCTGAGCTGGCTCACTTGCGACCCCTGTTGGTGCCTCCACTTAAATTCTGTTGTTTGCCCTCGGGACGCCCAGTTTCCTCGCTGGGAGCATGAAGTTTTCCAGGCTCCCCGCCAGGTTCAGTCCTGCGACCCCAGCCTCTGGGCTGGTCCTTCCATCTGAAGGTCTCTACTGGAGTCTTTTGGGTTTCTCCCAAATCCTCCGGCCCCAAAGCACTCTCTCCCAGCATGCCTCATAGGTAGAGTCCATCAGTCCATCCTTGTCACTCCCCAGCAGTTGTCTGTCTTTCCCCATCCAGCTGTTCTCACAAGACTGCGTGGCACTGTCTGTTTGGGGCTGCCTCCTCGCTGGGCTCCCCAAGGGCACGGTTCTGCACCCTCAGCTCAGTCTCCCTTGCACTTGGCATTGGGGAAGCATATGAAGGCCTCGCCGGCTCCATGGGGTTCTCGGTAGCGCCCGGCACTGCACAGTGTGAGGGCTGTGGCAGCAATGAACACACGAGGGATAGGGTGACAGGGTGACGGGGTGTGTGCTCTCCACCCCCAGGATAGCGGCAGTCCCTGGGCCCACCGCAGGGGGGTGGGGCACCCCATCCCCACCCTCCACGCCCCCACAACGAGGGCAGAGGGGTGTGAGGAGGATCAGGGAGCATGTGCATGTAACCAGCTCATTCTTACCCCCTCCCCCCTGCACAGTCTGCCGAGGGGGTGGTCCCTCTCCACACTGTCCACGCCCTGGGTCCCTGCTCAGCCTTGAAATGTGCTCCGTGTGGCCAGGGGTCTGCATCTCACGTGTGATGTGACTTTAATGAAAACGAGTGGTAACGGCTGCGTGCGGCCCGTGTGGCGTTGGGGTGGGGGGTGGTGCTGAAACTGCACTAGCCCCAAAGCGGCGCCTCGGAAGCCCGGCACAGCGGCCAGGGCCCATTCTACAGAGGGAGCTCAGACAGCTGGGAGTGCACAGGGGTTGGGGTGGAGCAGAAAACGAGCCAGCCGCTTGCTCCTGCCGCCACCGCGCTCCCAGGGCGCCTGCCCGGTGGCGCGTGCTTCACAGTGAGCCCACGTGAGTGGCCTGGGCTGCTAACCTGTTTTCGGTCCCTCTGCCTCCACCGGAGAGGACCGAGTTTTGCAGGGACTTGAACACCTGCCCGTGGCCAGGGCGGAGGCCCGAGCATGGCCTAGGAAGAGCCCTCCTCTAAAAGCCGGAATTGAAACAGCCGGAGTTTGTGGCAGAGACTTGAATCTGGCGTTTTCTCCCTGGGGCTTGTAAGAGGACATGGAAGGATGCCCGTCATTTCCAGCCAAGCCGTTCTGTTCTGAAGTAACTTCTCTCCCCCGGGCTTTTCCTCTGCGGCCCTGCCTCAGTGAGCCAGCATGAGATCATCAGATCAGCCCCCTCTTCCCGAGCCTGGCGTGTCCTGAGGTGTCCTGTGTCAGGGGGACACCCACAGTGTCAGGACACAGAGCAGGGGGCCCCTCGCTGGCAGCTTCACCTGTGTGTTTGCCAGAGGTCCTACATGCTCAGCGACAAAGATGCTCCAGCAAGCTTCTCAGAAACACGTCCCCCCTCTGCTGGGGCCGACGTGTGGGGCAGAAAGGCCGACTTTGACTCGGGCGCATCCAGACGTGTTCAGAGCAAACCATCTGGCCTGCTGCTCCGTCCACGAGAGCAAGGGCGGGGCTTTGCAAGACGTCCCACATTCCTCTGGGCCCAAGTGCACGTTCTATGAGATTCCCTACAAAGTAAATTTAGATTTTATGTGCCTTCTTATCTAGTTGAAAGAAACTCTGTAATAAAAAAAACACACCACCATAAAAACTCACTTTAAAGCCAGAGAAAGCAAGGAGGTTGGACCTGGATTCAAAACTCCGGGTCCTTGGAGTCCTTCCTTATCAGGCAAGGGACACTTCAGGCCCACAGCAAGCCAGCCTCAGCTGTCCCCACTCCCACAGGTACAGACGCCTGAGGTCACTTAATGCCCTGAAGGGCCAGGAAACCAGGGCTGTGGCCGCCACGTGCTCTGGAGCAAGCGCAAAGCTGGCTCCAGAGCAAATGTGGCAAATGTGACCTGGCAGGCTTCCTCTTCCCAGATGCAAGGAGATCAAAAAAAAAAAAAAAAAAAACCTAGCCCTTCCTCATATTCTGGAACGCTCCAGGCCTGCTCCACAAGGCCCACCACAAGGAGGGGACAATGGTTCTCACATCCTGTTTGCAGGCAGAACTGAAGCGGGAAGCAGCAGCTCCCGGGGGGACTCCCCGGGGCTGAGAGAGGTGGGTTTCCTTCCTTGCAGACACAGCCAAGGCCCCAGCAGGTGCCAGAGCGCTCCCGGGACCCCAGGCCCTGGCCTCCTGGCCCCGGTTGTTTTTTTTACAAACCAGGTCTCAGCCAGTCTTGGGGCCACGGCCCCCCCCCACCCCACGGCCTCAGGAAGGATGTGAGTAGGAGCACTGGGCTCGGTGGCTGTTGCCCCGGTCCCAGACCAGGGGCTGAGTGTTTCTAAGGCACCAGGAAGCTTGTCTCATCCCGGGCTGCCTTTGACTTGCATTTGGCTTTTGCTTCTTCCATAGTCTGTAGGGACAGATGACTGTTGCAGTGTCATGCGTGGGCGCAAAAACGAGAGACCCGGAAACGACCTGAATGCCCAGGGATTCAGACCTGATTTCAGGTGGGATGGTCCATCCGTGTGAGAGAAGACTCTGGACGGGGGGTGGTGAATGGCCGATGGCCCCTCCCTCCCGCGCACGGGCACGCCCAGGGGAGAAGCAAACCGCAGGGCGCCGCGGCCCCATCTTCATGTTTGAAGCAGGCATGGCCGCTTTCCAGGGACCCCATCTCAGTCCCGGTTTGAAGAAGCTGTTTGTGAAACGTCATTTTTGAGACAAGAAAACCTGAGTCTGGACCAGGTGTTATAGGACGTGAAGGAAGGGCTTGTTTACACGCGTTTTTAACACATTTCCCTGAAGTGTGACGAGACATCCTGGGCACGTACGGGACACCCACTCTTTAGAAGATGCACCCCAAAGAATGTGGCAGTGAACAGTCAGGATTTGGGGTTTGGTGTCAAAGTCACTCAGAACAGAGGGACGAGACAAGAAGCATGGGTGACGTCACTGAAGTGGGCACGTGGAGGTCGGCCACACTGCATTCCTTTCTTTCGTTTAAAGTCCTTCTCAGTCACAGATCTGGGGTACACAGGAAAAGGTGGGGAAAGGGCGCCATGAAGTGGATGGTCAGTTCCTGGCCCTTCAGTCTGTCTGCGCCGCGGTCACCCAGAGGGCTCAGAGGCCAGCGGCGGCCCTGAGCCGGCAAGCGCTCCCCGGGCCAGAAGCCACTCTCAGAAGTAACGGTGTCATCGGCAGGCACAGTCGCTGGGCGGCTTGGAAACAGCCCCGGCAGCAGCGGGCAGCTCCCTGAGACCTGGCTCCCACATGGGGGGAAGCGAGCAGATGGGAGAGCCCGAGGAGCCCCTCAGTGGGCGAGGTCACGGGAGCTCACTCGTCTGGGGACCCTGCCAGCGGTCACTCTTTCTCTCTCCTCGGAGAAAGTGACACAAGCCAGGAGCTTGTCCTGCAGACACGGCAGTCCCTGCAGTTCACAGATGACTGGAGAACTCCAGTGTGTTATTAGTAAGAGGCTCCTGGTGGCACAGCTCTCAGCAGACGGAGACACGTGTTGTCCTCTGACCTGAGAGTAAGGGCCGTGCACAGGCCCCAGTCTCTCCACCACCCGACCGCCACCTCCCTCATCCCCAGGGCACAGGGGGGAGCCGCAGGCAGGCACCCCGCCCGCTGCCCGTCCCCCGTTTGTGCCGATGAGGAAGTGAGGCTCCTGTCTGTGGCTAGAGGGTGAGAACAAGGCCTCGGGCACCAGCTGGGCCTCCCTGCAAGTCCCACACCCTGAGCCTGACACGGTCTTTCTGAAAGTGGGTTTGCGATCAGAGCCGGCGTGCGTTAGCCTGGTGCTGCGTAGAGAGCAAGAAACGCCAAGCACCGGCGCATGAGCATGCAGTCATTACGAGGTCACCTTCCGTCACCCCGGGTAGCAAGCTCCCTGGGGAGCACACCTGGTGCCCACCGACGCCAGCCCTGGACACAGATCTGCAGGGTGGCTGACCCATGCAGCTGGCCACCGGGACCCAGCTCCTGCAAGGCGCCAGCCGGGAGCTGCTCGCCGCACAGAGGACGGAGCAGCAGCCAAGGAGCCGAGTCCTGGCCTCCCCGATACTGATGCTTCAGGAGGGGCGGCAAAAAACGTGAGTGTCAGTGGGCAGGAGAAAACCAGAGCACAGATCAGGGGCCGAGGAGGGCGGGCTGGGCAGGAGGCTGCTCTTTTTCACATGACAGAGGTCCCTCCCAGAAGGTGGCTCTGGGGCAGAGCCTGAGCGGAAGTCGGGGAGCAAACCCGCAAATCCGCGTCGGGCGTGGGCCCCCGGCGGAGGCAAGCCGGCCGGGTGCTGTGGCGGCCCAGGGAGGCCGCTGGTGGGCGTGGGATGAATGGCAGGGCCTTGGGCTCTTTTTCTACTTAATTCAAAATGAGCACACAACACAATTCAGTCATTGAAAAAGATGTATTAAAATATTCACAAAAGTACAACGATGGGCTAAGGAAACAACAAATAATGGACTTGGTGGGTTTCCCTGGGGAGACACAGACCCACTGAGCAGCTACGGCGGGTTTGGAATTTAGTGTCTAAGTCATCGCTTTCCGGTGCCGCCTCTCAGAAGTCACGTGTGCTTTTACGAGGTCTTGTTCCGCCAGTGAGATGGGAAAAGGACTCTCATTTAGAAGCAGCCCCACTGTTGCCATCTGTGGCCAGGGACAGGACCTTGGGGACACAGGGGGGAGGCCCCCAAGACCCACAGCAGGTGGTGTGAGGAGGAAGTGGGACCAGGTGTGAGCCACTTCCCCAGAGGAGCCTGTCCGGGAGCCAGAACAGGTGGCTGGGGGGACCTCTGCCAGGTGCTGACGGATGGGCGGGGGTGGGGCTGGCTGGGTGGGGAGGTCACAGGTCAGGCAGGAGGGGAGCTGAGGGCAGGGAGGCAGCCGGAGTCGGTGGGTGTTGGGGGTGCCCGCGGATGCTGGGGGTCGGAGGAGAAGTGGGCGCGCTTGCTGTCAGGGCCGCCAGGAGTGCCCAGTGTGCTCACAGGGCCTGGGGAGGGAGGGCGAGAGGACAGCACCCCTTTTCTCTGTAAGTAGCGGCTGTCGGGCAGTGTTAAACGGAGACCGCACACCTGGCCTCGAGACCAGGTGTGTCCTTTCTTCCTGGAAGACAGAGGCTCACCAGAGCACTGTTTGCGTCCGTTTGGAGAGTGCAGACAGTTCCACAGCCCGCCCTTCCCCTTCCCCTTCCCCTGACCCCAGCCACACACATCAGAGGGCTGCTGACTGCTCCTGTTTTCAAACTGAATGCAGGAAGTTCCAGGGGTCCAGGGGGACCAGATCCAGGGCCCTGCGGACACGTCTCAGGGCAAGCACTCCGCGTCCCTCACTGGCGCTGGGCCCGGGAGCAGGGCGGAGGGTGCAGGAAATCCTCCGGCCACACACGGCCCCGCAGCAGCCGGTCCCCAGCTGCAGGACACCGCAGGTATGGAGTGTGACTGCGGAGCCCCTTCCCGTGCCTGCAGAGGGAGTGTCAGCCAGACAGGAAGAACCGGTGGCTCCTCGGAAAACTGAAGACCACCAGTCTGCAGGCGGCTGGGAAGCCTCGTGCCCTCGTTCGGTTGTGCTGTGCACGGGCAGCTTGATCCCCTAAGGGTCCCCTCGGAGCCCGGCCTCCAGGCTCCCTCACTGGAGGCAGATGCCCTTGAGGAAAAGGAAGCAGCTTATGACCAACCTCAAGTTGAAGGGGAAAGAAAGGAATGTCCCCACGTGCCCCAGCATGCCCTTGACCTCCCCAGAACTGCAGGCTTTTGGAGCACTTTAAATTAAAACAATGCTTTTACTACCAAGTAATCCCGCAAATGGAGGAATGGCCAATATACATTAGGGTTTAATGATTTCACTTCGCTTGTCCTTTCGGGGGAAAAAGAGAAATTTCAGGTTTGAGGTGGGGTTGGGGGTGGCCAGTGGGACAAAACCAGTTACGGGGAGGATACCCGAGCTGCTGAGAGAGTCCCTCATCTGGTCCACTGCTTGCCCCCACGGGGACAAATGTGGAAAGTGAACAAGCAAACAAACAAAAAAACAGGACGAGAAGAGCCCCAAAGCAGAAGTACTAGCGCTACGTACGTGCTGACCTAAAAATTGAGCCAGTCTGCAACCTCAGGGGTCCGGAGGCAGCGCCAAACTGAGACTGATGCGTCTGAAAGGAGATGGATCCCCAGGAAGCGCTCTGGGCTCCTGCTGACACCCCCCCCAGACCCTGTTTCTGCTGCCTTAGGAGGAAAGGAACCTCCGCTCCTCGGCCGTGCAGGGACCCTGGTCCCCAGCAGGAGGACTCTGGAAAGAATCTAACAGGCACCAGCCCCACTTCTCAGGCAAGGCCTATGTCCTTCTTTGAGGACGTGTAGATGGCATTGGCCTAAACCGCCGAGGAAGCCCTGACCTCTGGCCGTCCCCTACGCTGCTCTCGCTACAACGAATGCAGCCGCTGAGGTGGAAGGAGGAAAGCTTTCAAGTCCAAGTGCACAGCAGAGAGAGTGAAAATGCTGTGTTTCAGAGAGAAAAAACATCAACAGAAATTTCTCAAATTGTCCCCAAATGGCATAGCTCACAGATGTCCCCTAAAAACTACCCCCCAATAGTCGGAGCAGGCAGTGGGTGACAGGCCACCCCAGGCGTGTGTCCCTCGGAGGGCCTTCACTCTCCGACCACAGTAACAGCTAAGACTGGTTCAGCCCTTGGGTGCAAGGGCCATGTCTGTTGGGACTTGAAAAGATCCCTACGTCTCCGTGAGGGCAAACCACACCCAAGCGATGGAGACAGGATGCTGCCGAACTTCCTCCCCCAGCTGCACACGACCCTGGACGCAAAGAAGTACGAAAAGCAGCCAGACGATTTGTATTTATGCACACGCAGACCATCTCCTCGGCACGCACCACCGGCTCCGCAACTCAGAAGATTAAATAGAATATTTACACACGTCCTTTGTACACGTCTTCCGCTCCCTCCGTGTGCTTGTCCTCATCCAAGGCCACAGGTGGTGACGGGCTGCGTTTCCACACCAGAGTCCAGTGTGACTTTGTCTCTTGCTTGGGACACGGCCTGGGCCTTGTCTTAATTTTTCCGGATGTCCGCGTACACCACGGACTCAGACTTGTTGACCTTGTCGCTGCGGGGCCCGCCGGAGTGGTCTAGCTGCGCGTAAATGACGGGGCCCTGGGGAAGAGAAGTCGGGTCAGAGGTCTGGAAACCTGGCGCCCCGTCAGGGGCCGGGGCCGGGGTTGGGCCTGGGGGGAGGGGCAGCATTGGGGTTCCAGAGCGGGATCCCTCTCTGGAAGGCTTTCAGGAGGACTTCTTGGGAACCCCCTGTCCAGGACAGACTTGAAAACAAGATTGTAGGGAACTGTGAAATTTCCACTTGGAAATTTCTGTAACAATGCCCTATTCCTTCTCTGGAAATTACCCTTGTCTTAGATGACCTGGCACAGAACCCCCTGCCCCTTGTCATCGGGCTCAGTGTCTTAAAGAGCGAAAGGGCACTCCCGCTGGCCCGAGACCCACGGGCACAGGCGCCCCGAGGAGGCAACACACTCGCTGCCACCCAAAGACATAGTCTGAACTGGTCACTTGACACAGATAGGTACTTAAAACGATTTCAAACATTCTCCCATGTGCCTCCTCACACTGCGATTCTTTTAGCCTGATCCTATCATAACTAATGAGAATACTGCTTCTTTGATATCTACGATCACGTAACTTCTTCCCATTTTAAACTAAAAAGTGGGGCGGCGGGCTCTGTGGACCTGGGAGGGAACCCCTGGATGCACTGGAGAGGAAGGGGCCAGAGGCGAGCTGCCGGGGAACCAGGCCGCCTGGCGCGGTGTGGGTGGGGGAGGCGGAGATCGGAGTGAGGCCTGGGGTTCAGACACCTGACAGGTGGCCGCACACGGCGACCTCCCAGCCCCAGAGACTCTAAGATTACAAATGGCAACAAGAAAAAGCAAGAGAGCCCAAAGTCAACGTGTCTCCTGGTGACGCCGACACTGCGCTTAAGCGTTCAGTTCTGAAATCGTAAGCTTGGCACCTGAAAGCCCGCGGTTTGACATCAGCGCCCTTTCTGGCCGGAGCCCCAGGACCGCATCCTTCCTCAGTGTGTGAGGTGGGGGGGATCCTGTGGGGTCCGGGCACCAGCTCAGCCGTAAGGGCTTTGCACTGGTGCCTCCATGCCTGGAGGCGTAAACAGAATAACACGGGGCAGGCTAGACCTGAAAGGGGAGAGGCCGCCACACCCGCAGTCCCAAGGCTCCGGGCAGGCTCGTAACCGCTCAATCAGTCTCTCAAATGGCAGTTAACACTGGCGTTGCACATCCTAGGGCTGTGGCCAGAATTCAGCGAGACGCTGTCTCCGAATTGAGCTGTGCCTGACACTGTTGCCCTGGGCACCTTGTTACATAAGCACACTTAGAATACACCGAGGTAGCTGATGACGGGAAGAAGCAAGCGGCCAGGCTCTGGGTGTGTCTTCCGTCTGCAAGTGACAGGTGCCCTGCGTCCGTTGCGGGCACTTAGCCTCACACCGCTCCTACGGAACCAGAGACCCCCCTGTGCAGGTCTCAGAGTGCAAGCCCAAGAGGAAAAGAAGTTCAAAATAAAGCAACTGGCTACAGCTGGCCCTCGAACAACACAGGTCTGTACTGCGTGGGCCCTCTCATTCAAACGTTTTTTTCAACAAATATATTGGAAAGGTTTTTTTGAGATTTGCAACAATTAAAAAAAGATTAACTGCGTAGCCTAGATATATCAAAAAAAATTAAGAAAAAGGTATGCCAGGAAGGCCGGGGTACATGCGGGCACCAGTGTAGTCTGTCATTTCCCGCCATGACACATGCACAGCAATATCCAGTCAGCTCGAAGTAGTTAAGTTATGGGGGAATCAAAAGTGACCCGTGAGTTTTCCACGGCACCAGTGTTGGGGGCCCTCCCCACTCCCCTACCTGTTCAAGGGCCAAGTGCACTAAGACCAGAATGAAACAAAGCGTTCTCTAGCTAACTGACCCATGGTTGCAGTCACTTCTGAGCACAGGACAGACCCCGAAATTAAGTTAATGAACTCCTAGATAACAACGCCCCGTCATAGGTCATAAAGACCCCTCAGGGTGTCGGGGCATCCGTGGGAGAAGGGGCTCATGTCCTGAGACAGGCCACACAAATGGCTGCAGGGTCTTTCTGAAGGCCGACCTGGTGTTATGTTACTGATGCTGAAAAAGGACAATAAATGGACATGATGGCTGAATGATGATCCCCCAGAAAATGCCCAAGTGTGGGCTGGGTGGGGCCCTAGGAGTTCCTCTTGGGACGTGGCCGGACTCTGGCTCAGGAGGGGCAGCCAGGTGGGGTGTCGGCCCTGAGAACCGGGGCTCTGGGTACGTTCACTCCTCTGCTCAGCTCCCTCTGGAGAAACGGACCAGCCCACGAGAAAATGGACCCTCAGCAAGAGAAAGGTCCCCCAACGAAGCCAGCCACCACTGCAGACAATCAGGGCAGCCCGCTGCCCGGCGGGGACCCAACTACCCTGCAAGGAGCTGTGACCAGGTCTGAGAGCCTCAGGTGTGCACGGATGGAGAACCAGGGTCCCTGGGAGTTGGAGCAAAGCTTCCAGCGTGAGACAGAGAAATTACACGAGAAAAAGGGGAATTCAAGAGAAACAGCAAAATCAAGTATCAGAAGGCAACTTTAAAAAAATACATCTTGCAAAACAAGGAAGAATGACAGGCTCCAAGAGATGCACCCAGGAAAACAACGACAGGCTATTCCGATCAGAGAATAAGAAATGGCTCTCGAGAGCCCGTCAGGGCCAGGCCCAGCGTCCAGGGTGGTCACAGGTGACTCGCCGTCTTCGCCAGCGTGCTGGGAGTGTCACTCTCCCCGCCCGACGTTCTTGAGACAGGAATGGAAGTGGCACTTTCCCTGCCCCAGGTCCCTGAAGGTAGACAGAGGGTGAGGCCAGTGTGAGGGGCCTTCAAACGCCACCTCCTCCCTTCCACCCCTCAAAGCGCCTACAGCAGCGACGCCCGGACTTCCCCAAACAACTGGGGCTTCCTCAGAGTCTCCCTTAACCCTGCAGGACAAGAAGCTGCATCAGACAAGGGCCTGGTCGAGATGCTGCTTTCTTTCCGCCTCCCTCCCCTGAACACACAAATACAGATGTTTCTGTGGTGTGGTCCTCCCCAAAAAAGAGAAATAGCTCTTGAAAAAAATTTAAAAGACAGCCGATAATAAATACTCAATAAAAGTCAGAGAAATCTTCTAGAATGAACAAAAAGAGCAAAACAGAAACAAATGAGAAAAACAAAAGGATCGACCCAGACATGGTCCAGTTCCTATCAGGAATTTTTAAAAGAGAGAACATGAAAGGAGGAAAATTTCCAAAGAAAAACAGAAGAAAATATCCTAAAACTGAAGGACGTCGTTTTCAAATGAAAAGAACCGTGAGTAGCCAGCCCAATGAGAAAATAAAAACCCCACAATTTTGTGAAATCTCAGAACAGGAGGAGTAAAAACCATCCGGAGAAAAGGGCGACAAACCCCGCACCACCGGAAGGGGCAGGAGGCACGGCCGCCACTCAGCACTGGAAGCGGGGAAAGCCAGCAGCCCCTCAAATGCAGAAGGAAAGGGATTTCCAACCCGGAATCCTCGCCAACCAGATCCTCCTCCGAGCTCGAGGGAGGAGCCAGCGACCTCCGAAGGGCTGAGAGCCAGTGCACGACCTCCTAGCACCAAAGGGCAGGGTCTGACGCCGGTCTCCCGGGGCTGAACCGAGGTTCCCACCGGGGCTGCAGGGCCAACCTTCCCAGCTCTGCCGAGGATGCTGCCGCGCTCCGGGCTCCTGGCGCAGCCTCCGCCGGCACGGCCAGAGCCTGTCCGGTTCAGACCGCCCTGATTCCGACCCCGTGGCGCCCCCTGTGCTTCCACTGGGCTCACACAGGTAATTCAGGAGACTCCCCCATCTCAGGCCTGTTTACCCAGCTGCGAGACCCCTTTTGACTGGAGAGGTCCCATCTCTCCACCGGGCCCACGGGTGCAGGCATCTTCGGAGGTCACCACTTTGCCTCAAAACTTGTATCTCCTGCGCCCCCTCTCTCAGGAAGTTATGGAGGACACCTTCCAATGCAATATGGGAGTACACCGAACAGGTGAAGACCTGCAGCCCCACGGCAAGTGGTAAGAGCAGTTCTTAGGAGGGAGGCCAGCGCGATTGCTACCCGACAGCACGGAGCTCGGCTGAGCCCCAGATGCTGACAGTGGCGGCTCTGGGGACACAGCACCCCCAGCAGCCGAAGGAAGGGAAGTGCAGGGGTAGCGATTCTGCTCAGAACTTGCAACCGAAGAGCTCTGAGATGGAATGCAAACACATACTCAGAAAACACAAGGCACACATTAGCTCCACAGACACAAGAAAATTGTACGAGGAAGCAACTGTACGCGGTGCGACGGTGGAGAACAGGCACACGCCACGGTGACAGAGAGCTACCTAAATACGGTGAGATGGGCCTCCGGGAAGGGGCAGGTATGCGCATCGTTGGTGTGCGTGCGCCGGGGAGAAGGGCTGGGGAAGAACGAACTAGATTCTTATTTCCATGATATGGAGTCAGTGAATAACATGAAAAAATATAGAAAGAAAATATGAAGGTAAATACCAGGAGAAATGGCTGGAAGAATGGAAAGTGATTGGCTATTATTTCTGTAAAAACTTTTTTCTCTCTCCTTCTCAGACCCTAGTCGGGTCGCTGTAAATGGCACCGCTGTAAACGGCACCGTTACAGCTGCGCAGCCGAGGCGGCATTACCCAGGAGGCGGGCCTGCGCACCACGCCCCCAGGGCTTGGGACCTCGGTACCTCCTACGAGTAGAATCTGCACCTCTCTGGGCTCGCCAAACTTACCAATCACTTAGCCACAGGCTGACTTTCGGTTTCTTGTAAAGAATTCACAAAAAATAATTTTTCTGTTGTATTACCAATACCCAGATCAACCTTGTCTCCCTGATTCCTTGTCATATAGAGAGCACCTCAGGGTGGAATGCAGCTCGCTGGGTTTCTTTCCCTGAGCAACCAACGAAGACTCTCCCACATCTGAGGGAGCCGTCCCCTGAGGCCACATGGGAAGAGGGGGCCACGCCCGGTGGACAGTCTGTTGGTGGTGCCTGACTCGGGCAGATCCTTCTCTGCACGTTTGCATGGGGCCCTCCTTAAGCGGCTCTCTTTCTGTGTCCATCCGTCCGCCTGTCCATCCCTCTGTCCCGGTGTCACGGCTCACACTCTCTCCCGCTCCTGGGGTAGTGGCCGAGCCCAGCTGCAGAGCGCAGCCCGGAGGCGGTCGCCGGTTACCTGGTGAGATGCAGACGGCAGGCTCTTTACTAGACCCTCTGTGTCGGAGGGGGACTTCCGCGGAGCCTGCTTAACCGGAGACACACTCTCTGAGGTGCTGCAGCTGACAGGGTGGCAGTTTGGAGAACAAATGTAAAACAAAAAATGGTTTTAAATAAACAGAAACAAAAATATGGAAAAGCAAGTGACGGCAAGGCGAAGGAGCAGATGTGGAAGAACAAAACACAGCAAAACAACGGTATCGCAACAACCACGTGTCTTGACACTGGACCCCTGCTGCTCGTTGGGCGAATGTGAGCCCTTTGCCAGTTTCCAGTAATGACGTCGGCCAGGCGGGGCTCTGGCTCACTGAACGTGTTAGCTCGCTGCTCTGCCCTTCCCCCGCCATCTACCCGCCTTTGGGATAGAGATTTAAAGGAACGGGTTGTCCCTTCTCCTATGCGCATCGAAGGGGAACCTCTCCTGAATGCATTTCAGAAGTTACAGCTGCCCATTCAGGGTCGCAGTCTTGGCCGGCTGGTTCCTTTCATTCCTGGCTTCTTCATGTTTTGTTTTCCTGCCAAAAACTGGACTGAGAGCCCTCCCCCTTCCCCGAGGAGGTGAGAATGACTGGAGGCTGGAATGGCAGGTCCCAGGGCAGAGCTTCCTAGGGCATCCGGGGCAGTGGGGCCAGGAGGTTACTCCTTAGGGGACCCCCAGTGAGACGTGCCCTCAGCAGAGCTCGGGGGCCTGGGGTCAACCCCACTTAAAGAGTCCTGGCTAAGAGCACAGGGGGCGGTGCATCCCACTAACTGTGCCTTCTCAGAAACGGGAGGTTAAAGGGCCCAAACCAAAACGGTCTGGCTATGCTAACACAGAGAGGGGCTCGGTCATTCACAGTACAATTCACGTATAAAAAAAAAACTGAAACACACGCACACGTGAAGGCATTTCACATGGAGAACACACATAATCACGGTCATAAAACTCCGTGTGTTTGACAGCCCCGCTTCCCTGGGGCGGTGTGCTCAGTATGTTTCTGGCACACACACACACACACACGCACACGTGACGTACTGGTGGACAGACCACAGGAGCTGTGGGGTTAGCTCGGAGCCAGCTGGTTGGTTAGTTGCCAGCCAGGGAGACGGGCTGTACACACACATGAATATTAACAGGAACGGGCAACGGGATTAGTTACCATGTGTCTAGTGGGGCGGAGGGAGACCCGGCCCCACTACGGGCTCAGTGTGGCGTCTATGTCAGCTTTTCTCAACAAGTGGAGGAGAAGCAGGCTCTGATCCCGGCACGCCGAGGCGGAAGGGCAGGGGGGGGAGAGACAAAGTGAGAACAGCAGCACCCACCACGCCGTGCAGGGGTCTCAGGCTCACGCTCTCCACGAACCCGAAAGCAAGAACTACAGCGACCGGCACGTCACCACCCCGGATTAGTCTCACGCTGGAAACCAACACACCAGTTATTCGTGCTCAAGAAACACTCGCCATGCAAGAACAGAGGCATTCCAAGCACGTACTATCTGAGCTGGACCATTCAAGCTCGTTCAAACACAGCGATCCTCCTAAAAACTAGAACCGCAGAGCCCCAAGAGAGATGGAGAAGTAGGGGGGCAGGGTTCCCACCGTCCACCAGCCAGGCCACCGGGCATGCAAGCCTCAGAGCGCAGCCCCGAGGGATGGTGAAGGTCAGCGTGCACCTGCCACGAAGCCCAAGCCCTCAGCTGGAGGCTGGAGGCAGCCTTCACCCTGACCCCGGGAGTTCTAGTTGGTCGGCCTTCCCCCAGAGCAGTGAAGAGAAGGCCCTGCGTCAGACACACCTGGGCTCAGGTGTGCTGTCTCTCAGAAGGCGGGAACGAAAGGCCTGCTCCCCTCTACCGCTGGTACCTGTTGGTGTCCAGCCCTTGCCGCCCCCATTCCGATGAGTCCCACCATGCACTCAAGACAGAGCAAAGCAACTCAGGTGCCAACCAAACCATTAAAAAAAAAGAATCTGTGTCACTGCCTCAGGTGGGGGGGTCATCTATTAGCACAACTGTCCTCAACTCGTTTGAGATTTGCCTAACTGAGAAGAAGAACCTGCTGACATTATCGCCAAAGGATGAACATGACTCTCAGAAACTGGGTAAGTGACGTCTGTGACCACCAGTGGTGGGGTGGGTGGCATTGCAGCCAGAGCCCGGACTGCCAAGGGCTGGCAGCTGCAGGCCGGGGGCAGAGCCTGTGTGGCAGCAGCTCGGGTCACAGCCCGTCCACAGTGGGCCACTGGCTTCTGCTTGGCCCCGTCCGCACACCTCCTGCGGAGACTGCCCGATTCCGGCAGGAAAGCGCGTAGGGGCTAATTCTTCCCAATTCTTTTTCCATAAAAAAAACACAGGGGCTTTTATAAACCCCTCCTCCTCCCCATCCCCCCAGAAGCAGTGTCTCTCACCCAGTGTAATCCCGCTTAGAGCTCTTCCTTCGGTAGAGGACGGCCAGTACCACGCTGGTGAGCAGGGAGAGGCCCACGACCACAGCGGTCACTATGCCCACCACCACCCAAACCGGAAACACGGGCAGCACCGCTGGGGGGAGAGAACAGAATCGTGTTACGGTCCCTTGTGACGAGGAGAAGTGGGATTTATGGCGTGAACGAGCATCTTCCTTTAGCGGTTCCATTCCCCTCTACTATTCCCCGGATTGTGAGACCTCAGATCTAAACAGTGGCACAGGATGCAGTGCACCGAGCACTCCTGTGCACACCACGCCTCTCCGTGTGCCAAAATAAAAACAAAACAAAAAAAACCTGGGGTGCAAATTCACCTCCATCTACTGGGCCAGCAGAGCGGCTGGCGTCTCGGAATGAGACCCAGGACCCTGTGTGTTCCTGCTGCTTCTCCAAAAAGGGAAGAAACGGTGGTGGGGTTTCTGCAAATGTTGACACTTGCTCCCGGAGAACATAGGAAGACAGTCAACCTCCTTTCCCACCGCTCAGCCCATCGAACTGGGTCTGACTTCTAATCAGCGTCGGGCGATGAGCACCCCAGCCGTGGGCCAGGAGGCTTCGGACAGCAGGGGTGCATGCGGAAAGATGGGCTGCTCCGCCTGCGTGGGCCGCAGTCCCTGGCCCCCAGGCCCCCAGAAACGGGGCACTTTGCTGCAAAATGCTCCTTTCACACACCCCCTGGGACATCGGTCTCGTTTTCCACCCCAGCACAGGACAACGGGGACTGAGCCATTCCTGCCGACGTGCCCGGGACGTACCTTTCTCCACGACGTACAGCCGAATGTGTCCAGGCTGGGCAACGATGTCGGGAGGGTTTTTGACGTCGCAGATGTAGGTGCCATTGTGGATGAACTGCATGTTCTCTATGCTGATGGAGGCGTCTTTCTTGTCCAGGTCTCCAGCCCAGCTGATCCTGCCCTTGAAGGGCGGGTAATTCCCGGGGTACTCCTGCCCCTGGGAGTAGTGGAAGAACTGCAACCAGGGAAACAGGGCCTGTGAGCTCGCCCCGAAGGCAGAGGTGCCCGCGCTCCCACGGGCGTGTTACGCAGGACTCATCACGCAGACTCCCTACGGGAGACATCTGTCACCTTGCAAGTCTCGTGTGGAATCTAAGCCAGGCAGGGGGTGGGGAGCCAAGGGGTTCAGTCCTGGGTCAGCTGCAAAAATACACTCGGGAGCCATCTCACGCCCTCTCGGTGTCCCAGTGACAGAGAGATTAACACCGTATTTTTATGAGTGAGAAACTGGAGATTCAAAGAAGCCACTGGCCCCGTCAGGGACGTCTTCAAAGCCAGCGCTCCTAGGGTGACACCAGTGAATGCAAAGGTCTGGGTCTTCACCACAGTGCACCGTTAAGATACAGAGAGAAGCCTAACTATCCATTAATCCGATGGGTTTCTCCCTCTTATTTATGGGTTTCTCACGGAACAAGGGAACCAGGCCCAGGCAACCCAAAAAAACTCTTGCCGGCCTCCCCAGGTTCGGCCTTCAGCCCCTTTCTTTTCCCTGCTCACTCTCATTTTGCAAAGTAACATCATCGAACCCAGTGCCCGGGAAGCTAGGCGAGGCCGGGTGGGGACCCAGCCCGACACTGGCTTCGATGGGGCAGCTCGGCTGGAGGCTTCCGGCTGGTGCCGTGGTCAGGGTTGGGGTGGCGGTGGGACGGGATTCTGTACTCGAGTCCTGCTGGCGTTCCAACCAGGGCACTTTCGGCACCTTTGAGTACACGGGAAACCCCTGTGCCAACACCTACTGACCCCTGCATGTCCTTACGTCCTAAACCTCCCTCTACCTGCAGGGTCCCTGAGGTCTAGGGCCTCCCCCGAAGGCTGGCTCATGCCACCACCCAGCTGCCCCGCCCTCCAAGCCTGTCACTATCTCCCACGAACTTCTCCCACTTGGGAGCCTCAACCCGACTGGCGGTCCATTCCCCCTCTTGAGGGTCTCTCTCTCCTCTGTTGACCTCCCACGGACGATGCTGTACGCTGTCATCCTCTCAGGCTCCGCCTCTTCCCTGGTCTCCAGCTCCTCTAACCCGCCCTCCCGATGCCTGAATGCCCACTGAAAACGTCAACAACTGTAACCATTTAAAATATGTGCCTTGGGCTCACTGTCCCCTCATCCTCAGGCACAACCGTGAAGGCTCATCGTGCCTTACCCTCCTCGCACATCTGTGACAAGTTCACAGATGCTGGGGGAAGACACAAGACTCCTGAAAACTCTTCTCTCCGGAGAAGATGCAGAGACAAAGGACCTTATTACATAGCACACAGCACGCAGCATGTTGTCATTGGAGTCCCACAGGGACGGCCTGGGGGGCTCAGGTGGATGCTGGTCCTTGGAGGCTTTGATTACAGTTAAGGAGCCCCAAGCTTAGGGAACCCAGCGGGACAGTAAACAGACCTGTCCTCTGCCCCAGAGACACTGTCACTGTCACCCTAGGCTAGTGTCACTGTGCAAGAAAGGCCACCACAGCCTCTGCTGGCCAGGTGTGCAGAAACGTGAAGCACCGTGGAAAACGGCGCTCCTCACGGCCCTGCCAGGTGAGACCCGCCTGCCGGAGACTCCCGGAGGACAAAGGGAGGCTTTGTCCTCACAGTGCCTGGCCCGAGAGAACAGGTCTCAGTCCCACTTTACCCTCACGCCACCGTGTGGGAAGCCCCTCCTCTCCGTCTCACAGACCAGACTCAGGACCGTCGGCCCCGCGTAGCGAGCACCCGGCGTCCAGCTGTGGAGGCGTCTTCCCTCCAGGCCCCGGGGCCTCGGGCCTCCGGCCCTGGGTTTCTGTTTGGCCACTTACCCTGGTGCGACATCACCCACATGCCACTCTTACTTCTAAGGACAACCCGAGGGAGACCAGTGATTGTTTCCGAGTTTCTGAGGACCTTGCCAACCCGCAGTGAACTTCCGATGCAGGCCGCCGAACCAGACGGACCAGGTGCATGTCAAGAAACTCAAAATTGAGTCAGAAAGACTCTGTGTGTGTGTGCGTGTGTGTGTAAAGAAATACCAATGAAAGTGGGGCAAACGGACACTCCGAGGGGGCAGGGTGAGTCTCGATCAGTGTCAGCAAGGCTCGCTAAGGGTTGCTCTATGGGAAGGACACATTTCAAAATGGGCCGAGAGGGTGGGGGCAATGGGGGGACGGCAGGGTGACAGCGACCCACAGGGATGTGAAAACGCTGTTTTTAAGGGAAGCCAAGCTGAGTTTGCCTTTCCCCGGACAGCCTGGAGCAAGAGAAGGGCCCTGCAGTCTGACCGATGGCGGACACATCGGTTTTGGGAGTGACGGGTCAGGGGGACGGGTCACCGATGACACAACAGCAGACAGGACCCCGCACGCGAGGCCGGACTAGGGCGCTCCTACCGACATGGAGGTGTCCGTCCCCTCCGGCTGGAAGCTCCAGGACACTGTGGTCAGCATGCTGGTGGTGTTCGCAGACTTGAACGTGCATGTCAGCTTCCCTTGCGTCCCATTGGCTACGTACATCTCTTTCGGGGTGTACACCTCCAGGGCGGACACGCCAGCGGTCACTGGGGGGAGAGGCAGGGACAGGGAGGCTCAGGAGCAGGGTTCGGCAGGAGCACCCCAGAGCTCGCTTATCAGAGAAGATGACACAACAAGTGCAAGGAAATTGCAGGACACACACAGCCACGAACCGGACCCCTCGCTGACGGCCTGGGCGCGTCGGGTTTGTGTTTTAGTAACAAGACGCTTTTACTAGTCCTGAACTTTGTCCATTCACCTACTGATGGACATCCCAGCTGCTTCTCGATGGTCCGATTTTAATGGCATGGGGGCTATAGTTTTACTACTTTTTTAGAAAAGATTTTATTTATTTATGAGGGGAAAGGAGGGGGGACAAAAGAAGGAGAGAGACATCAATGTGTGGTTGCCTCTTGTACCTCCCCTACTGGGAACCTGGCCCGAAACTCAGGCAGGTGCCCTGACTGGGAATCAAACCGGCAGCCCTTTGGTTCACAGTCCGGCACTCAATCCACTGAGCCACACCAGCCAGGGCAGTTTTGGTACTTTAAATAGTTCTCATACTTGCCCGTTACATTTTGCTGGCTAGCACACGGAACTTTTCTCATCCTCCACGTATAAGGCAATTAAAACTGTTCTAGTCATGTGTCATTTTAAAGCCATGCCTATTCTTCAACCGACCCCTTTCCTCCAAAGGATTTAAGGCAAAGAAAATAGCACACCATGGCACACTTTCCTTACCGAAATCTTACCGCCCATCCGACTTCACTGGGGTCTGTTCACCCTCAAGGGAGACGGAGGACCACGCCGGCCACGTGTCCGTTCACCCCATTATGGTTTTCCAGGTCGCCCAGGCCCAGGAACTAGTATTTGAAAGGCATATCACTTGGAATATAAAATACAGCTCTTGTTCACAAGATCTATGGATACTCAGAGGCAACCACAGGAATTACTAAGGATGGCTGCTCAAATCATCTTCACTTAAAAAGAGACTCTGTCAGGGATGTAATAAAGGTGAGCAAAACACAAATTTGGCCCAGGACAGGAAACAATGAGAACGAATACAGAAAAGACAAAAAACACCCATCTCCAAAATATGATATTTTAAGGAGAAATCATTGAGAGAGAATCCATATCTGCCATTTTCCAATGACTCTTAGAATGTCACGGATGAGCAACACAGGGAGGGGCGTGGTGGCCCGGGACTGAGGGGCACGTTCAGAAGGACGCAGGCCAAGGAGCAGAAGTGCATCCCCAGCCTCCTAACTGTTTATTCTCAGGACACAAAGTGCGCTTGTGGCTATTCTTTTAAATAAACTGATAGCTGTACTGCATCGGGCAAGTTTTTTTTTTCCTGCTAAAGAGGGTGGATTATTATTACAGGGAACAATGGGTTATTATTTGTGGTCCAAACCTCAAAACAAGCCCTTCTTTCACCCGAGTGGCAAACAAAAGGCTGTTCCTCACTATTGTGGGCAGACAGAAAAGCAGCCCCCTGCACGTAGTTCAAGGGGAAGGCCAGAGCCCCAGCCCGGACCACCTGACCCGTCATTCCAGGAAGCAGCTTGGCTGGGAAACCTTTACTGCACATGAGTCCCTCCGGTTTCGTCCACAATGACGGGCACTGTGAGGATGGCCAGGCTGGAATGTCGTCAACCACGAGGGGCTTTCCCACTCCACGCCCCTGCCCCAGGACCTGGCCCCAAGACCTGGGCGCAAGACGGGCGCCCTGTGACGGGACAGACAGATGGAATGAGGCTGAGGGTCCAAGTTGCCACTGGGAATCTTCACTAGAGACCAACCAAGTCCCTAAAAGGCTCGTAGGCAATCTGGTCACCGCAGACTTAATGACACTGCTGCCTTGGTCTGAGCCGCCGCCGTCTCTCGCCTGGGATTTTCAGCGGTTTCCTAAGCTGGTGGCCTTTCTGCCATCACCCACACACCTGCAGCTGGTCTGGGGAGAGGCCAGAGACATCCTGTCAAAATGCCCATCACAGCTTCTGCGCCTCTGCCCCAAACCACGTGTCCCCCTCCAAACGCTGCAGAAGAAGCCACCCCTCATCTGCACCCCCTGCCTGTGATGAGCGCCCCCAAGTATAGAGACTGGAGGTGTCCCCGGTGATCCTGGGGCCCGAGACACGAGGGGTGAGGGAGGGACGGTGTGAATGGCTGAGACTGCTCCGCTGACCCCACGGAGGAGGGTCAGGCGACAACCTCACTTAAAAGTCCCCACACGTGGGACAGACGCCAAAGTGCTTCCACCAAGCACGGCGTGGCGCGACCGTGGCAGGTTCTGACCAACTGCCCAAGTGACAGGGTCGGTCCAAGGGCTCCTTCCACGTGGGTGACATGAGGAACCGAGCACGGGACTCCCCACAGCAGAGCCGGGGTTGGGGGGACGCACTGTTCCCCTAACAACTGCGAATGGTGCGCTTTGTCCAGACCGTTCTGAGTGACTGGGAGGGTTGTGGAGAAACACAGGGAAACCCTTGTGGAACCCAGATGGCTCGTCTCCGGAGTCGTAAGACAGAGAGAGGGGCTAGAGGGGCTCAAAATGCAAATGTGTGGGACAAGGAGACAGTGGGGAAACTGTGGTTCTAATCCACACCATGCCTGTCACTGCTGCTGGCATCCAGCCCGAACAGGACATTGAGTAGGTTTCTCTTAGGCCCCAGACGCACACTGAGGCCACAGTGGCGAGAGTCACTGAGCAAAGGACGGCAGCTTCCGCTTGAAAACTCGGCGATGGGAGAAAAAGCGGCGAATCCAGGAAAAACCAGGTGCCTCCGTAATGAAAACACAGGAAGGAGATGAAGTAGAAGCGCGAAGTGGTTCACCGATGTTTTCCTGTCCTGCCAGCTCCGGATTCTGAGACACGCCACCTTCCACACGCCTTCTGCACGGTCACGGGGGCGGAGCTAGTTTTCCTTCCGAGGAAGGAATCCCGCCTTGGAGTTTAAGGGCGAGAAAACAAACAAACAAACACAGCCCATCTTGGAGGAGACCCATTCAGATGAGAAGAGCCTGAAAAGTCATTTGAGAAGTAATCAAACAGGAAACCCAAAAGTTGATATATATATATTTTTTTGGATAGAGAAACAGATCCATTTGGGAAGAAAAAGAGAAAAAAGCGAGTAGAGGATACAAACAACCTTCGTCACAGCCACAAAGAAAAAAGCAAATTCAAGAACGGTTTGCCCAAGAGGCTGTTTCCAGACGGAATCTATTTCGATACTTTAAAGTGTTGCATCGATATAACACAAGTAGCCCGGCCGCTGTGGCTTGTTGGCTGGGCGTCCTCCCGAAAAGCGGTGCGTCACTGGTTCTAGATGCCTTGTGGGGGCGCAGGCCTGGGTTGTGGGTTTGGTCCCTGATGGGGGCACCACGACGGCAGTCGATCTACGCTTCTCTCCGACATCGATGTTTCTCTCCCCCTCCTTCTTTCTCCCTCCCTTCCCTTTCTCTAAAAAGAAATGCAGTCTTTCAAAAACACATATAAGTAATGGGCTCCAACGAACTTGTCAGTCAATACAATGTTACTCCGCGTGAACCCCAACTCTCGTACCACAAAGTCACTTGCGATAACAGTCCACACTCTCCGGGCCCAGATGGGGGTTTTGAAACCGTCATTGCGGAGACAATTCCTGGTCGGTGCCTGCTGGGTCGGTGTTGTGCCCTGGTTGTCAAAACCTCGGCCTTTCAACAAACCAAGTTAGGGCTCTGCTGGAAATGGGGAAAAAAAATGAAGGCTTTTGTTTTGAAAGTTTTTGGAAGCACTTTGAAGTCACCAGTATATTCTCCAGCTTCAAAGAGTACAACCAAGGAATTCATTTAAAAACAGCCCTCTGGCCTGTTTGCTGTGGGTAGGCAGTGAGAGTCAGAGGCTGCAGCCTCTCCTAGCAGAACCATAAATAGGACCTTTTACATCCTGCTGAATGAGGGGAACCAGAGAGAGCGCGACGTAATTCGGACTTGTGGTTACGGCCGGCACGGAGCGGAGGGGGCAGGGCGAGAAGGCTCCCCTCCCCGCTGAGGGCCATGTTCTGACATGTTTTTTACATGTTTTATTTTTGAATATATTTGATCTTTCACAATACAAACTGCTTTTGTGAAGAAGAGAAAAGGAGACATCAGTTAAGTGATGAGAGTCGCCTCTTTACTTCCAGTGGCAGCAGCAGCAGCGTGTGACCGGGCTAGGGAAGCAGGGACAGTGGGGGGAGGGGCACGGGGGCAGCGTGGGGGAGGGGAGGAAGGGGAGGGGAAGCACAGTTCGGAAGGGAGAGCGTGTACACAAACACGGAGCTGCGTTTTAAACACACACAGTCCGAGGCAGGGAGGTAAGGCTCAGCGGCTTGGTCCACAGTCCCGCCTCCGAGCCCAGCACGGTGTCAGCCACTCAGTTACATGGATTCGCGCTGGGTCCTGTCAGACAGGACAGGGGAAAGCTAGGAAAATTCCTTGGCAACAGGAACAGGAAAACAGAGACAGATTGCCGGACACACTGGCCCAGCAACTGACAGCCAGGTGCAGATGGTCCCCAGGGGGGAAGGAAGGCCCGGCGGGGCAAACGGGAACACACGACCTCACCCCCGGGGTGACCTCTCCCCTCCGCCCCCAGCCCCTTTCCTCCCTGGAGACATCTAGGCCCCAGTGGTGGTTCAGCTCCAGGCCCAGAAAAGCAGCAGAACCAGGAGGGCAAGGCCAGGACCAGCTGCAATGACTAAGGACCCCCTGCCGCTGACCAATCAGGGGAGCCCGTGACCCTGAAAGGACACACCTGGGGAACTGACGAATGTTCTGCGGAGACCCTCCCCTGAGACCTCCCCCAGGATGCCCGCCTGCAGGAGAGAGACCAAGGCCGCAGGCCCCAGTCCCTTCTCCCCCACACTTCTCTCCCCCCAGGCAGGCGCCTCCTGAACTCTGAGGCAGCTGGTCCCAGGCTGATCCCCCGAACCCGTCCCCAAAGCCCCCTTTTCTCCGACTTCCCAGTGAGCTCAGGCAGCCCAGCCTGGGCGCTCCTGTGGCGGCTCCCTCTGTGCCAGGCCCT